AAATTTCAGTAACATTGTAGTAAATTCTAGTAAAATTCTAGTAAATTCTAGTAAATTCCAGTAAAATTCTAGCTAAATTCTAGCTAAATTCTAGTAAAATTTTAGTAAACTCCAGTAAAATTCTAGTAAAACTAAAGTCTAGTAATGCTGCTTCCAATGAAATTCTAGTAAATTGTAGCTAAAGTCTAGTAAAGCTAAATTCCAGTAAAATTCTAGTAAATTCTAGCTAAATTCTAGTAAAATTTTAGTAAACTCCAGTAAAATTCTAGTAAATTCTAGGCAAAGTCTAGTAAAGCTAAAATCCAGTAAAATTCTAGTAAATTCTAGCTATATTCTGGTAAAATTCTAGAAAATTCTAGCTAAACTCTAGCTAAATTCTAGTAAAATTCAAGTAAAATTCTAGTAAAACGCTAATAAATTCTAGCTAAATTCTAGTAAATTCTAATAAAATTCTAGTAAATTCTAGTAAAATTCTAGTAAAACGCTAGTAAATTCTAGCTAAATTCTAATAAAATTCTAGTAAATTCTAGTAAAATTCTAGTAAATTCCAGTAAAATTCTAGTAAATTCTAGCTAAATCTATTAAAATTCTAGTAAATTCTAGCTAAATTTTATTAAAATTCTAGTAAATTCTAGCTAAATTCTAGTAAAATTTTAGTAAACTCCATTAAAATTCTAGTTAAACTAAAGTCTAGTAAAGCTAAATTCTAGTAAAATTCTAGTAAAAAAATTTGATGATTAAAATAAGTTGATTAAAAATAAAATACAATTGGCATCCCCAATAAAAATCTCTAGATCGGCGAAGATTAAACCAAAAGTTACAAAAAAAAGAAGAAAATTAAATTATTAAGTAAATTGGGACACATTTACAGAACCAAAATAATTTCAATGTAGAATTAAAAAAAAAACACTACCAAAAATTGATACTAATATTAATTTAGAAGAAACTAGACAAATACCCAATTAAAATAAATACGAAATATTAATTGAATTAGAAGATTAAAATACCAATACGACAAAACTTAAAAATATGAAAATTATTAATTTTTCCTCTTTATATACAGAAATAATTATATATTTATAGGAATTCTTCTGTTTCAACAGAATTTTTCCTATTCGAGATTCTTAATTTCCTCTCAAGTTTCATCATCATTCGCAAGAGACGACAAAGTCCCGAAGAGAAAAATTCTTCCAAGTGCGAAAAATTGCATAAAGACATGACCGGTCGAGTGTAAACTAAGTGCTATTTCAACGAAGCTATTATATCTACCATCTCGCCACCAACTGCTTTCTTTGTCAAGCAATCTCGTGGAAAATCGGTGTTTCCTTGCTCTCTGATGGCAAATATTCCTGTCAATTCATTTTTCCCATTTGGGCTTAAAAAAAAAAGAAAAAAAATTCCAGCATAGCGAAATTTTATATTTTTTTTTCTCACGATGAATTTAATTTCAGTAATTGGCATTAAACGTTGCATGAAAGGAAAATTTCTTTCTGAGAATCTTTAATATGAAAAAAAAAAAATCTTACGCTTACATTTAAAAAAAATAATAATTTTTCTTATAAAAATTATTTTTAAAAAATATTTTAAATCTGTCGATAAATAATAAAGAAGAAGAAGAAGAAAACAATGAATATTGCAAAAAGGGCATAGACGCATTTTTTAAGAGTGAAGGCGAATTTAACGAAGCTGACGCAATATTTACTGCGACAGAACACATTAAAAAAGTGTTGAAGTGAGAGCTAAGCCTGCAAACTTTAAAAAGGACGACATTGTAAAGCTCACGACCGAGGCGCGCATCCTGGTAAAAAGGGCTTTTAATAATAAAGTCGCACGAACTCTCGAAAGTTTTATATATTTTTCCAGGCCTGCGAGAATTTAGCGCCTTTTCTCATTCGCAACTTTTATTTATTTTTTTTTTTTTTATAAAACCAGATGGTTGCATCTGCGCTTATTATAACCAACTTTGATAATGTTCCTCTGCGACATCATACGACAAAAAAAAAAAAAAAAAAAAAAATATGCTAAATGAATGCTTTTCATCGCAAAAGCGACTAGAATTCTAAGTATAATTTTTTTTTCCCCTAACAATATATAAGAAAACGTCAACTTTTTTCGATTTTATTTTTTTTGTAACTTTTTTTTGAAATTTAATGATGATATAAAGTTTAATAAAGTTAAATTCAAAATATATTATAGATATTTAATTATATATGCTTAGAGCTATTTTCATAATATAGATTCGTTAAAATTACTATATATATATATATACAGCAAATACTGTGACAATATAACTTTATAATAAATTATACGTAACTTCGAATTAATATGAAATCGAGGGGCTGTTCACTGAAAATCCAATTGAACAATATTGGAGAATTCATTAAAGATTTTTAGGACTCGTACGTATTCGGCTTCGGATTCGAATGGAATCGCACGGACTCGTTGATATTCACAGTATTTTCACAAATTCCTTCTTTGCGCTGCTTCGTGTTGCAGACTAGATAATAATAATAATAATAATAATAATAATAATAATAATAATAATCGGCTGCCGCCGAATTCGCTCGTATTTCTCCGTAACCATTCGTGACTCGCAACAATTCTTACTGCATGACTTAGGATTTTACTGTAATCGACGAGATTTGTTGGATTCGCATAGTATTCGACAAATTCGAACGTCCTTTTCAGTAATCGCCGGTAATCTCCACTTAAAATACAATTTATTCAGAATCAAGAAATTTATATTTTCTTATGTTAATTGATGAATATTCGGAAGATACCTAGTATATTCTCTACATTACAAATCGGGTATTTGAGAGTGAACAGCCCCTCGTATGAAATCAATAATTCTAATTGCGATGCAACCTCGTTACAAATGGACGAAATTTGTCACCGCAAACAAATTACCCCCGGAGCTTATAACAATTTGAATGATGCTATGTATTAAATATACCACGATTTTCTTTTTATTTAGAAAATATTATTTTTTGTACACTGAAAAAAAAATTTATTTGATTCAAATACTCGATTACTTGACTATTATCAAATAAATATATTTATTTGTATCAAATAATTATTATTTGAGTCAATTAAATGGTATTTGTTTCAAATACAAAAATTATTGGTTCAAATACAATTTATTTAATTCAAATAAAAATTATTTCGTTCAAATAAATATTTATTTGATAATACTCAAGTAATTGAGTATTTGAATCATATAAATTTTTTTTTTTCAGTGTAGCTACACTCAAAGAAATCATTTATTTGAGACAAATAAAATTTATTTATTTAAAAAAATAAATTATTGAACAATTATTTATTTCAAAGTATTAATAATTTTTTATTTGTTTCAATTGGTCCAGCGGATGCTGAGCTAGGTCAAAATAAATTTTTCCAATTTTTTTGAAATACCACTTTTAAATTTTGAGAATTTTTTGAAAATTTTTCATTTTTGGAAAAATTTTTAATATACTAATTATTTTTTTACAAAAGGAAATAAATCTCTTACCTTAACCTACATGTTAACATATTTGTTTTGGACGCATAATTTCTGCAGGAAATGCACACGCGATTTAAAAAATTTCGAACACTCCCGAAAACGAATTTAAATAATTAATAAAAATACTTTTTTCATTAAGATTTGAACGATCGCGATTTAAAGAATTTCGAACACTCCCGAGGTAAAAAAAAAACTTTACTAAATTAACAAAAAAAAAAATAATAATTTAAATAATAATAATTATAATATAATAATTGTAATTATAATAAATTATTATATATTATATTATTATTATTATATTATTATATTATAATATATATTATAATATATTATAATATATTATAATATAATTATAATATAATATTATAATTATAATTTAAAAAATTTAAATTAAATACAATACATTGAAAATATATTACATTGATTTTAAAATAATATTGACCACGTCTAAACAGGTCAATACACGAATGACAACGGAATTAATTATCTTTGGAATTTTATGACCTTTGGTTTATTATTTTTCCCTTATTTACCTCAATAAATTCAGCTCGGGATGCAGGTATATATAATTCCAAAATCGCTTTTGAAACATTTTAAATAATACTTTGGAAATTATAATTATTTTTAAAAGATTTGAATTTAGTTTTGTAATCATAATTTTCTGATTGGATAAAAATTCCCAGCTTTTTTCTCACAAAAATCCAAACTAAATAATTAGTAATTCAGTGAAAAAAAAACCCTGAATAATAATATTTTTATAATTGAAAAAAAAATATTTGAATTAATATTAAAAATTTTTTTGATTCGTCAACAAAATTTTTATAATCTCTACACCCAGAGAAATAATTTTCCATTTATTTATTATTCTCCTTCTATATTTTGGGAAAAAATTTTTAATTATAAAAATAAAAAAAATCGTGTGAAGTTCCGATTAAGATTTTCAAAAAAAATTTCCAAAAATCTAAAATTGAATGAAAATTTAATTTTACCTTTATGAAGAAATTTATCAAGTTCATTGTTAGCTCAGTCCACTGAGTCCTTACCAGAGAACCTCTAAATAGAATGATTTAGGTGTGCCGGCAAATACGACCTTGTCTACTTTTACACCGGCATCAGCTGGATCAAACTGACTTGATTGTAGATGTGCAAGTATAAAAAAAATACGCAGACCAATTGTGTCTATTAGTCATGTCTATAAGTGAAGATTTTTCCCTAGACGGTAATAACGATTCTAATATTTCAATCATTTTCTTCCATTCTTCGACGTGCAATCATTTCTCTCACACAGTTTTCTTTTTCTCACAAACTGTACTCACCTTGATATTCTGAAAAATAAATAAAAAAAAAATTAGTATTTTTTTCGAAATATAAAAAAAGTATTGTTTTTGTCATGTATTTTATTAGCAAAAAAAAAAAAAATAAAACTAATAAAAAAAAAATTCTAATTTCTAAATTAAATTCGAAAATTTTATCACGTTTTGAAAAATATACATCTTGTATAAACAGTTTTTGAAAATATTTTTTTAATACCTAATTTTCATATATTTATAACGAATATACGAGTTTATAATAAGCGTAATTATCGATAGCACCCCTACATACAAATCTCACTTTCACTGACGACACACAAAAATAATTGGCTGCGGTACAAAAAAATATGATAATAAATTTTCCTTTTTTTGAATTTTTTTTTCCAATCATTTACATTTTTTATAAATTCTCTTTTATGATTGAAACAATTTCTGCTACCAATTTTTCAATTTTGAATATTATTTTCTATACTTTTCTCTTCTTACTTATTTTCTATTTCTTCTTATTCTAATGGTTTGAAAAAAATTCTAATGAGAAAAAAATCGAAGATTATAAAATCGCACTCTTTTTATAAAGAAGTGAAAGCTTTCTCAATTGCAAAACTTTACTTTTATTGTCGGGTAATACTTGGAAAGGCACTATTTTCTTTGCGGAGTAGAACAAAGAGGAAAAAAGGGAAATTGCAAATCGAAAATTCAGGATGAGTTGTAAAAAAAAAAAAAAGAAGACAACATAAAGGAAAATGGAAGAAAAGCGTAAACCTTGTCAGAGCACTACACACAGAGTCTTATCCTTTCTAAGTGCACTTGAGTTTCTTTTCGTTATACGATCGTTTAAGAAAATCAAATTTCTGCTACCACGTCTCTTCCACAAATCACCAGTTTCACAATTTTTTATCGATTTCTTTTTTTTTTTTACAATCGATTGATTATTGAATTATTTTGAACAATTTCAATATACAACTAAAAAATAATAATTCTTATAGAAATAAAAATTTATAGAAAATAATGAATAAAATTTATATACAAAAATTAAAAAAAAAAAAATATTCAAAAATTCAATATTTATATGAATTTAAATGATAATTCGTTACCGCAGCCATAAAATATTAGATTATTCGAAAAAATATAAATGTACACATCGATTTTTCTTAAATACCACTTAAAATTAAATCTATAAAAAAAATACTAGACTTCTAAACCAAAAACTCCAATAAAGAAGATAAAAACACTATAACTAGTAATTCGACGAAAAGTAAAAATTAAAATCATTTAAAATTACTTTCTTTCAAGAAGAGTCGTTTTTTTTTTTTTTTTTTTGTTCGAGAAGAAATATACTGGCATCGTGATGAAAAATATTTTCCTAAATAATTTTTAAGGAATAAAAAAAAAGAATTTGAAATATTAAAATGTATCTAAATGAATGGCATCACTGCTGACACACGTGTTTATAAAGCACATTGCACTGTCAGAATTGTCTTCCAGTTGTTCTGAAAAGCTGACCAGAACCTGGAAAAATAACAAAGCTACTTTATTCTCCACTGATGAGGCAAAAATATAATAATTAACTTTTCTAATAATAATAATAATTAGCGTACTCATTAAGGACCAAATGCTTCTGACAATTTTTTTTCCCCCAAAAAGAACAATTTTTAACATAAAAAAAATTTAACAAAATATAATTAGATAAACAGAAAAATTTTTGTTAATTTTAAAAAATTAATTAATTTTCCAATTAATTTTAATTATTTAAAAAAATGTATTAATTTTAAAAAATAAATAAATTTGATCAGTATTTAAAAGTATAATAAATTGCGTTTGATATAATGAAATGAAAATGAAGGATTTTGTTAATTTTGAGAAAGAATCACGTTCATCTGTAACTGACTAACAAAAACAGTTGGAGAGCTTGGGGTTCATTTAGAACGAAACTCGTGAATCGATCCATCAGACGAGACAGTTTCGCAATCTTGTGATAGTAGCAACACCGCTTGTAACGTGCGACGAACTCTTATCGCAATTACCTGCCGTCTACGAACATCGATTTCAAGTTAAAACGGTTAGGTATAAAGACGCGCACGTGATGCGACCCAAAAAAAATAAAAAAAAAAAAAACTAATTCGTTTCCGCAAATGCCACACGAAAATTAATAGATTTTTCCCAATTTTCACCGCATCTTTTTCATCATATAATTTTACGTTCAACAATTCGTCTGAAATAAATTTCCAAAAATTATCAAATAAAATTTAATTTACTAATTTTTTTCCCTAATAGAAAATTTATTGAATTTTATTTAGAAAAAAAAAAAATTATTAATTACTTTTCTTAATAAAATTTGAATAGTTTAGAAATTATTTTCCAGAATGGAAAATTACAAGGATAATTGTAACCGGAATCACAGATTGTTAAAGGGGATTATGTAATATTACAAAAGTTACGCAGGAGTTTATAGGGATTACAAAAGATTAGATTAAATCATCACATTGAGAAGGAAATTAGATCTGCGCAATTTGGAAATTATTTTCCCTCATCAGAAAAAAAGGAATATAATTTTTTATTTTGCATTTAATTGATTTTAAAAAAAAAAATTGAATCAATTTTTTTTAAACTTTGAAAAATAAAATGAAAATTTTATTCAAAGAAATTAACTGAATCGAGTGTTTTACGACTGATTTGCATTTTTCCAATAACATGTTAACGAAACAGAGAAAGAGAGAGAGAGAGAGAAAAAGAGAACAATAAAAGAAAAAGACTCAAGTTCAGATAAATTTATCCTGAGGAAATTTCCATTCGTCGTTTCCATATTCTTTTAATAAAATCCTGAATTCTTTTTTTCTCGATAAGCTTATGAAAGAGAAAATCCGCATCTAATAAAATCGATTATATATATACAAAATCATTTACTTTATCCTATATATTATTACTTTTTATTTCGAAAACCTTGATCTAAATTTCCTTTTTTACAACCAAACAAACCAATACTTATTTTTATTTTTATAACTTCTTGAATTCTAAAGTTTTCAGAAAAAAAAACAGAACAATCCTTATACAATTTTTCTTATTTTTCAAGAAGAAAATAATTTATTGTAGCTGAATAAAAATTACTTGAGTTTTAAAAATTACTCGCAAGAAGAAAATATTCCAAAAATTAAATTGTCTGACTGAAATGGACTTTTACTACTGATACTATAATAATACGAAAATTAAATATTTTACGAATATATAAACGTCTGACTAAAATTTACAACGAATGCAAAGATTACAAGAATTTTCCACCGCTAATTAAAATTTACCTTCACTATTGACGCGAAGATTACAAAAAAAAAAAAATTTCCAACGTTGTCTGACTAAAATTTATCTTTTCTACTGCTACAAAAGTTACAAAGAACTAATTGCTACTAATTTCAAATTTATCTGTAATTTTTTTCCCTTTTTTTCTATAATTAAATTTTTTAATCCCATTAAATGATTAATTCGACAAAATCGAAAACAACGTTTTTTTTGTTATCAAAACTAATGAAGAGTGGCTGACAAAATAATAAAAAAGGGACAAACCCTTAATCTCTCGAAATCAATAATAATAATAAGAGAAAGAGAATAAGTGGATTAGCCTTGGACATGGGCTATAATCACAAATCGAAGAATTTATGATTTATGTGAACATCGCGTATAAGCGGCTTCAGGTCATCGTGTCATTAGTTTTGCAAGCATCCTGCCCAATCGCATATATATGTGGATGCTTGGTACACAGAAGCGAGTTTCCGGTTTGGCTACGACGACGAGGCTCATATATAGGACCATGTGAGCTAACCAGATCCATTAATATCCCTCAGGATAGGTTGGAAATGGTATGGGTGGTTCTCTATGGTAGTACATCATCTGCGAGAGACACGACCTTAGAACATCAGCCGTTCGAGGCGAATATACCATGACTATACATATATATATATATGCCTATATCCCTGGAAACCCTTAAGTCAATGCTCACATTCTGTCGTCCCTCAGATTTCAGACTAGTCTGATAACGATCAATAAATGACACCTATTATTCACGATGAAAATTATGCCTTGGATAAATTAATCATTTTCAAGTCCTTCGCTAGAAATTCATATAAGAAAAATGTTATTCATAAAATTATTATTGTTCTTGCTAATTTTTTTGTAATATAATTACTTTAATTATAAAATAGTTTAATACCAAAAATATATTCAGAGAAAAAAAAAATGTTTTCCATTTTACAAACTCAAAAAAAATTGCTCTTAATTTTTATCGAAAAGCTTTTTAAATAAAATTCCAATAGAAATTCAATCAATTCATTTATATGATATAATTCCCAAACGTTCACTTATTTTCAGATCGCACCACGAAAAGCCTTAGAAAGTTTCAATTCCCTCAAGTCTCATTCAAAACTAAACGCAAGTTGTGATACAATTAAAAAAAACCCCAAAAAGAGTCAATTAAACTCTTAAGAACTAAAAACCAAAAAAAAAATTATTTACTTATTAATTAATTAAATTTATAAATTTAATTTTGTTTAAATGGAAATTTAATTAAACGAATTGAAATTGAATCCAAATCCCGAAAATCACTAAGCACCATATATATATGTATATTTACATTTTCAACTGAAAATGAATATATAAGCGAATATGGTAATGTACATATATAATAATTGAACAAAACGATATTTATATAGAAACGTAATTCCGAGGCATCAATAAAATTTTCACAATATATATCAATTAATTGTTTGATTTAGTTATATAGTTAATAAATCAAATATCATATTTTGAATTTTCCCTGTTTGTAATCAGAAATAATTTTCGTTCAATTTGACATATAAATATTTGTATATATATATATGAATATTTAAAAAATTGTTAATGGAAATTTTCATGAAAAATTTATATATACTATATTTATATATTAAGAGATGAGGTTTCAACTGACCTGATCTAAGGAACTTTGTGTTAAAGTGAAGTCAGTGGCTTGAAGATCCTCAGCGAGACTCTTCACTTTCGTGAATGTGACACTCAAAGTTATATCCTGACCTCGAGGTATTAGAAGACGTGCGGTTCTTGCTTGCCTCGAACATACAATAGCTTTTGGAATGTACTTTGAAATTGCTTCCTTCAAATCATCAACCGTCAATGACTGATTCGTTCTCAAAAAAACGATATATCCTTCACCAAATCTAAAATAAAAAATAATTTATTAAAATAAATTTTTCCAATCAAAATAATTCCATGTCTGGAACTTTTTTGTCTTCTTTTTTTAAATAATTTTAAAAATTTTTTTCTCAATTTCAAAAAAAGAAAATAAACTTTCAAAAAAATAAAATTTTGTGTAGAAATAAAATTATACTGCAATTGAAAAATAATTGAACGATTTTAGATTTGGTTTCAAATTCTAAGTTATATATAAATATTCTCCCTCGTCGTACTATTATCCAGTTTGCCAATGATTATGTCTCTCGCAGTATGTAGAGATTGCTCATGGTTGTAATCAGCCTAACATGCAGAGTGAGTATCGATAACCAATAATGGATACTTCCCCCGATTAATACCTCCTAATTTTGCAAAATATCGACGTTGTTTAAGAACAAAGTACACGCCATATAGAGAAGATGCAACTTGATATTGTAATTATTATCAGCCAACAAAATATACATAAAAACACATTTTTTTTCTATTAATAAAATTTTTTCATTAATAAAAAAAAATACTGTAATTAAAAAATAGAAATCAAATTATTTTACTCTTTCACAAATTTTTTAATCACAAACCGAATTTTAAAAAGTGGAATTTATTAAAAAAAAAAAATTTATTGCAATATTGTATTTTATTCTCACGATATTTACATATTTATGGACTTTTTTTTTTGGAGACACCACAGTGTCTAAAATTACAGCATCTTTGTGTATATGTATGTAAAGGCATATCTCAAGTGTAATGTGTCTCAATTAGAGTAAATAGCTGTTGGGTAAGTGCCTTTCCTCTTCTCTCAACGTCTTTCTTACCATTTCTTACCCACACCCCGAACTACAAAGTTAGGTGGCGAGATAAAATAATATATTACAACTTCCACTCTCTTGAAACGATACAGACTTCCAAAAAAAAAGAAAACTTTTTTTCACTTTACAATAAAACTATTTTATCAATCAATTTCTTGTTTTTATAATTTGATTTAAAAATAAGAATCAAAAATAAAAAAATTTTAGAAATTCTTCTTAAAAATGGAAATTGAATAACGAAACTTTTCTTTTATTTAAAGAAAAGAAGAAGAAGAATCGCGGTGATTTGCACAGCAAAAGAGCCATTTTCTCATTTGGTCGGGGGTATTCTTATCGTTAAAGAGAAACACAATCGAAACTCACGTAAAACTTTATATATACAAGGGCACAAAAAGAAAAGTGGCTGTTGAAACTCAAGAGGGAATACAAATAAGTCCGATATAAAAGCCACGCATTATTCGAACATTTATCCACTGCTGAGCTATCAGTCAAGAGACGAAACGATCGTTTTCCAAGTGTGTGTGTACTTTCCTGCAGGGTTATTAAGGGTTTACGGTGCCAATTTTATATCCACCAAGTAGTTTACCGATTTCTCGTAAATGAGCAAGAGTATTTCTTCCTCTTTCCTTAAAATGGATTCATCAAAAGAACAAAAAAAATAATTTCTACCTACGAAAAAAATTAATAAATAAAAATTTTTGTGATTTTTTGAAAAAAAAAATGAATGTAACTTGATGTACTATTTTATCGTTCTTATAACTGTTTTTATCTTCGTAGCAGTATTTTTTCTTCACAACGATAAAATGTATGTGACTCAAAAGATTACGTAATTGTTCAGACAAATATAAATATACAAAAAAATTAAAGCGAAGAGAGAAAAAAAAATTGTGTAAATTAAAATCACCTGTGTTTCAAATGTTGAGGACTGCCAATACATCTGAGACCCGCTTTTGCCAAAATTCCAACTCTTGGACAAAGTTTCTCACATTCCACAACACTGTGCGATGTCATAATCACTGATCCCTGATTTCTTGTCACATGACGAACAGCATGTGAAACCAATTCCTTGGACGCTGGATCCATTCCACTGCAAGAGAAAAAATTCATTTTTTATCTTTTTTCAAAATTATAAAATTGAAATATAGAATAACAATTAACCTTGTGGGTTCATCCATTAGAACAATGGACACAGGAGCCATTACACTGATAGCAGCGCAAAGTTTTCTCTTATTTCCCCCACTTAGACTGTCAACCCTCTGATGAGCATATTTAATAAGATCAAATCTCTTCAACATTCTTTCCACAGCCTAAAATAGAAATATAATTTTTTTTTTTTTATTCACAATCACAATTATTCTATAATAATAAAATGCTTGGTCTGTCCTTCTGTCCTAACTTGAAGTTGGTCTTTTATGATTTCACGTGTTTTTTGAATAGTAATCTTATGACGTGTCAAATTTGTGTCAAATTAAACTTGAAAATTTTAGAAATAATTAAATTTCAAAAGATATTGTTAATTTTCAAACAATAATAAAATTTTACAGAAATAAAAATAATTTATCAAAAAAATTTTTGGAAAACATTTTTTAAATTTAATTGAATTTTCAAAAGATTTAAAATTGAGATTTTAGAAATTAATTGAACTTCAAGTGATTTTAATTAAAATTTTATATGATTTCACTAAAAAATTTATTAGAAATTACAGACAAAATACAATAATTTGATAATCATTTTTAATTGAAAAATGGTTTCAGATAGTTGAATTTTCAAAGAATATTATGAAAATATTTAAAAATAATTGAATTCCCTTAGAGTTATAATTGAAATTATTAAATTTCAAAAAATTTTCGATGGAAAATTTTAGAAATAATTAAATTTTAAATGCTTTTAAATTCAAATTATTGAAAATTCAATTAATTTTGAATTCAAATTTTTTAGAATAATTAAATTTTCTTTAATTTTGATTTGAAATTTTGGAAAATAATTAAATTTCAATTAAAATTTTGGATAATAATTCATTTTTAGTTGATTTTTTATTGAAAATTTTAATAATTAATTTTGAATTGAAATTTTAGAAAATAATTAAATTTTATTTGATTTTAAATTTAGAAAATAATTGAATTTTAGTTGATTTTGAATTGAAAATTTTGAAAATAATTGAATTTTCTTTGATTTTGAATTGAAATTTTGAATAATAATTTAATTTAAGTTCATTTTTTATTGAAAATTTGGATAATTAATTTTGAATAGAAATTTTAGAAAATAATTGAAGAATTTTATTTCATTTTAAATCGAAAACTACGAAAATAATTGAATTTTAAAAGATTTTGAATTAAAAATTTGGAAAGTAATTGAATTTTCTTTGATTTTGAATTAAAATTTTGGAAAATAATTGAATTTTTGTTAATTTTCAATAGATAAATATAGAAAATATTTGAATTTTAGTTGATTTTAAATTAAAATTTCGGATAATAATTGAATTTTATGTGATTTTAAATTGAAAATTTGGAAAATAATTGAATTTTAAAAGATTTTGAATTAAACATTTGGAAAATAATTGAATTGTCTTGGATTTTGAATTGAAATTTTGGAAAATAATTAAATTTCAATTACAATTTTAAATAATAATTCAATTTTAGTTGATTTTTGATAATTAATTTTGAAATGAAATTTTAGAAAATAATTTTATTTTATTTGAATTTAAATTGAAAATTTGGAAAATAAGTGAATTTTAGTTGATTTTGAATGGAAATTTTGGGTAATAATTGAATTTCATTTGATTTTAAATTGAAAATTTGGAAAATAATTGAATTTTAAAAGACTTTGAATTTAAAATTTAATAATTTGAGAATTAATAATCTGTGGCCTATAAACATATAATTTTTATTTTTATCATTTAATATGGAATAATATTCTAATAAATTTAAATAATTATTGATAATATTAATTTTTAATTTCTCTATAACAAATAATGAAATACTCAATTTGGCGCGCTTGCGCGCGTTTAATATTGCTAGTTTTAATTATAATATCAAAAAAAATAAAATAAAACCTTACCCTGGAGACATCAGCAAGACCGCAAACTTCACCGTGAATTGTCAAACACTGATGTGGAGTTAGAAATCCATCAAGTGCATCGCTTTGAGGACAATATCCAACTTCACCATTACACAATGGACCCATTCCAATTTCTTTGTTATTAATAAATATTTTTCCACCCGTTGGCATTATTTCCGTTGTTAACATTTTGAATATTGAACTTTTACCAGCGCCATTAATTCCCAATAATCCAAAACAAGTTCCAGATTCAATGCCAAAACTTAAATTTTGTACAGCAATATTTTTACCATAAAAACTTTTATATTCTTTGCGTAATTTCACAATTTTCAAAATATCTTCAACTAATTCCTTTTCCACACGAAGTCTCTCTCTTGCAACATCTGGATCTTCTTTCACTTCCTCGTAAGAAACTTTATGCCTGCAATCAGTCATGGTTTACTTTATTTCGTACGCTACTTAAATTTATTTCCGTTTCTACAATTCGAATGCATTTCGGGTTGAGGGTCGAAAGGCATTTTAATTACTTTATTTATACGAATAAAGTAATTAAAATTTTAATTACTTGAATTGTAATTACAAATTTAATTAATTTTTATATAAATTTATAAATAATAAATCTTTAACGGAAATTTTCCCTCAAATATATATTTAGTTGTAAATTTAAATAGTACTTCATTGACAATTAAAACGACTTAATCTTTCGGAAATTAACCTATTAACTCGTCTATATATTTGACGATTAATAAAGTTATCCTGTACCGGATATTGAGTATCTCTCTCGAAACTCTATCTTCGATAATATGATAGCTGTTAATATTGAACTGATGCTATTACAAAGCCCTTTGAAGCTTCAGATGATACTCAGAAGTATATCAAATTATATTCTCTTGAATACATAGACAAACTAAAATATCAATTAATCATTCTTTTAATACTAATAATTAATATTAATTATTCAATAATTTAATTTAATTATAATTTAATTTAAAAAAAAGAATTTTCTTAATATTATTGTCCATATAAATGTGAATGTAAAATTTTAATGGAATTTAATTACCTCTTCCATGAAATGTCAGGCAGTAGTCGGCACTCAATGGCAAGATTTGCCAAATATAGAATAGTACCAACTACGAAGAGGCAGACATAATGTAAGCCAATTAAATCCCAACCTAAGGGAGATTTGTACGTATCCATGTTGAATCTACCGAGTAGTTCAGCAGTGATGTCGTTCTTCGTGATTTGCACAAGAGCATCGCCGAGTGCATATTGAGGTAGTAAAAGCAGTACGTGATGTAGAAAATCACGAACGTCTGCTGCCGTTTGACTTTTGCCGAGAATGTCAATTACAAGGATCGTCGTTAGAGATGCTACACCCAAAAATGTATTCACACAAAAGAGAACCATATTTGATAAACTTGAATCGTCAAAGGCCTTTTCTACAAGATGAGTAAATGGCACCACCGCCCATCTGTGAAATATTCAAATAATAATAAATTAATAAAAATAAAAATTAACATAAAAAAAATAAATTTCAATATCAAAAAAAAATACTTACGCGAACATACACAATAATAAAGTAACACCCATTAAATTATCTCTTTCAACGTAGGCGGGAAGACCAAAAATTTCAAAAACAATAATTGCCAATGTAATTGCAGTTTGAAAGACCTAAAATCAGATTTTTTTTTTTGTTTTTTTGTTAATTATTTTTTTTGAAAAGAATTTTTTTTTTAATTTACCATGTTGTCCCAGATTAAAGCTGTCGTCCAATAAGTCACAGGATGCACGCCAGCAAGATATAAGATTCGTTTCTCCTCCGATAATCTCTCTCTAACCAATTCCTTAGCTCCTTGGGCTCCAACCAAACTAAATGCGACCAAAAGAACTAAGGCGATTCCAACATCAGCCACGTGTTGCAACCTGAACAAAGAAATCTCTTTCGAATTATGTCTCTTTGAAAATTTACTTCCTCTCTTAAAGAGAAAGAAAATAAGCTCTTTGCAAAATTAAAAACATCTTTTTTTTCATTATTCAATGATGCAGGAATATTAAATTATTTATTAAATATTCAAATAATTTGAAAATTTATAAAAAAAATTAAATAAACAATTTTTCTAGAAAGAAAATTTTAATTTTCATCACCAGTTATTTTATTATAATTATAATTTCAATAAAATTGGAATTTATAAAAAAAAATATATATATCACGTTCGTTTCGATTGTTAATGAATTTCAGTAAATAACCAAATGTCTCATGAATAATATGGAAATTGAATTATTTGTAATAGGTAAATTCGGTTCACAATGGACGATTTAATTATTTCTCACTTTGCCATAATGAGGCTGGTGATAATGTTTCAAAAACAGAACATGTCGCGGACTTGGCAATAAATGAGAAAACAATTCACAAAAGAGAGAGAGAATTCAAAATCAAAATGATTATTTAATTGTTCTTTTTTCAAATTCAAAATTTTTTATTAATTTTTCATTAAAATAAATAAAAATTTTTCAATAATTTCCAAAAATTTATAATTCTAACGAATTTGAAAAATGAGAGTATTTTTTTATAAAACAAAAATAAAAAAGCAAATACACAAACGTGATTTACGAGGCAAAAAAATTTCGTTTTCCACAGACAAATGGTTCTAGATTTCACTGACGTGGCAACACACAGTGATTCATACAAATTATGGAAAACATTTCTATGATCAATTTTATCTTTAGATTCGCGGTAAGAAATTAATGAGAAGTGAAGAAAATGAGAAAGACGCCTTTCGGATTTAATAAAGCATCAATGTTTTAATTTTTTTTCTCTTTAGAAAATATTTTTTGATCATTTTATATTATTTTATAAATTTTATAAATTTTATAAATTTTGCAAATAGATAAAATTCGTTTTAATGGAAAAAAAATATTTTTAAAGACAAATTAATCGTTTGAGACAAAATTCAAAGAATTTGAATACTTACAATGTAGTTCGATTTAATTGATCACTGGACAACTTCAAAGGATGATTAATAGTAATCAAATATCCATCAACTCCTGAAGCTCGCATGATCGCTTCGTTCAGAGCATTAAGGTAAGCTGGCAAGGCATGATGTCCTTTATTATTAAACCAAACAACAAAGAGAGGATCATCTTTCCAATGCGATAATGACCATCCACCATATCTAAAAAAAAATACCAATTAAATATCTTCAAATAAATTAAATATTATCTTTTTTCTTACTTTTCTAATGATTTCTAATTTTTTTTAAAATTTAATTTATCTAAATTCTTATTATATCAAAACATCTACTTTTCTAATATTTAAATTAAAATCTAAAGTTAATTTTCTAATTATATTTGAGAATAATTTAAAAATTAATTTTGCTGATAAGATTTTCCTGAACTGATTCTTCTAAAGTGGAGTTTAAATTTCAAGTGGGTAACAGAGAAGTGGATGTTAAACGAGAGTGCAAATGATTCCTTTCCAATTTGTAGATCAATGTTTGCCAGTCACCTCTTCTCTATGTACTCCTGATGAGTTGAAACTATCCAGTCAAGAGTTGGACGTCCAGGTGGGGTTTGTAACAGACCCTCGACAGCTTGGGACACTCCACGACAAACTTGTTGACCCTCGAGACATTCGCACGTGCCGGTGTCCTGAAAATCGAATTCAATTCAAACTTGTCTATGTGTGAATCAAAAAACAATTATTAATCCAATTTTATTTCCCCTTTAGAATTGAAATACCAAAACTTTTTTTTTATACTAAAAACAAAAATAATTTAAATCATTTCAAAATTATCCTAGTAATTTAATTTAAAATTTCTTTTTAATAAGAATAGTAAAAAAGAAAAATTAAATATATCGTACATTTGGAAGAGTTTGCCAAGCTCCTGCCGTATCGCCTCCAAATCGATCCTGAAGTTGCATTGACACGTGTTGAAGAAATGGATCATAGTCATTGTCAATACTGTAAGAAAATAAAAAATTTTTTTTTCTAAAAATTTTTTTTGGATAAAAATTTATTTGTAAAAATTAAATACTTGTAAAAATGAGTTGGATGTGCATTGTATAGTTTGGGCTTTAAAATTAATGGTGGTTCATTCTCGGATGGTGGTCTAATTAATGAGAATCCCATAGCTACAGCAACGAACACTGTTGGCAAAATTAAAGCCGCCAATGGTGATCTCCAATCTCGAGTAAAATGCCATATTCTCTTTTTTATCAAAGCCTTTCCTTGTCGATAGGCCGATGGTTTTGGTTTCGGTTCAAGGCCAATTAAATCCACATCATCATTCATTGGATATAATTCTAATATAATAAAAAAAATAAAATTAATTATTATCAATAATAGAAATTATCGCAAAAATAATAAAATAATAATTTACCAATTGACGGTGCAGAGACAATGCTATCTTGACTTGCTCTTAAAATTGACGATGATCCATTTTCAGCATCGGAACAAAGATCCAAAAATACTTTCTCCAATGTATCACATTCGAGCGAAAAATGTGTAAAACCAATTAAATCCTTATTATCCTCGATAATTTTAAGAGCCGCTGCAATACTAAAAAATAATTCCAATATTACTGAAAAAAAAAAATAATTATCGAAAAACTACATTTTCGAAACTTACTCATTCATAACACCATTTGTACCGAGGAATGGTAAAATAACAAGTATCTCGGTTTTCGATTCCTCGCGAATAAAAGCATTAGAAACGACATTTTTGACAAGTGACGAAACACATTCGTAGAATTTTTTATTAATGGATTTCGATTCTTCTGTAATCGAGAATGATATATGAATTTTATATCCCTGGTTGAGGGTCATCTTTAAGGTTAACGGTGATCCGGCACGAAGGATTTTCCCTTTGTGCATTATGACAACAGTGTCACTTAACATGTCAGCTTCATCGAGATGATGTGTGGAGAGAAGGACAGTTCTGCCAACTCTATGTTGATCTATTAATCTCCAAATCCTACGTCTCGCTGCTGGATCAACTCCCGCTCCCGGTTCATCAAGGATCACAAGCTTTGGCGAGCCAAGAAAAGCAAGAGCAACACACAATCGTCTCTTTGTCCCACCAGAAAGACGATAAATTGGCTCATGCTCCTGACGACCCAATTCCAACGATGCCATCATTCTAGAATTTTCATTTTTATTCCAAAATCATTTTTTAAATTCTAATTTTTTTTCTAATTTTAAAATCAGAATTTAATTTAATTTTTTTTTTTAAATTATCAATTTAACTTACATATCGACATTTCTCGTCATTTCCGAATGATCGGAGGGTTTTTTCAATTTAGCGTAAAATATCATGTGTTCTCGTGGTGTTAAAGTTGGAATGAGAACATTGTCCTGTGGACAAACTCCAATATCCGGTTTAGTACCTTCTTTTCCGTTTAAACGAATTTCGCCAGTGGTTGGAGCAATCATTCCAGTTAACATTTTTCTAAAAAGTAAAAAAATATTTAATTTCAATTTAAAAAAATAAAAATTGAATTCGATTTTGATATTTTGATAAACTCACATAATTGTAGTTTTTCCAGCTCCATTTCTTCCCAAAAGACTTGTCACTTCGCCTTCGCAAAGCTTCAAAGTAAAATCATCTACAGCGACTCGGGTGCCTTGTTCGATTTGATATACTTTACGAACTCCTTCGAAACTAACGCCAGCTTGTGCCTCATTCACTGTCAAACTGCTCGAGTCAGTTTCCTCATCTAAATTTCAAGATGAAAAATTTAATTAAGAGGTCATTTGATTTTTATAACTTTCTCTAATCCCAGGAAAATTTTCTTTTTAAAAAAAAAACTAACTTAAAAGTTAGTTCCTCGGTAAAAAAAAAAATAAAATCAATTTTCAACTCACGAAAAAGATGATTAAATACTTCAGTTATTATCAACCCAGCAAAAGCGTAATGAATTATCTACTAAATACTGATGATTACGAAAATATGATCCTTTTTTTTAAACTAGAAACAATAATAATTAAGATCCTCAAACAAAAAGGGTTTTTTTTTTATAAGCGAAAATGATAATATTTTGAGGATCGAATTTTTTTTTGAAGCTTTTTAATAGCATGCGAATGTGCTAGCGTGAGGATGAAACCTCAATACCTTGATAAGTGTCTGAAGGGTGTAGAACGTCGTTAGTGAAATAAAGGTTGTTGATGAAAGCTAGATAGCTAGGTAGACCATATAGGGTACGGTTGTTACCCCACCATAAACTGCGAGATCGTAATCCATGAAAACCCTTGCCTGTAATTTAGTTAACTTTGGACAAACAGTACTTACTTTTTTTTTCAAACGACCCCGTGATTTTTTTTTTTTATTATTATTAATTATTATTTAGTAAAAATATGACCAAACACAAATATGACAACTGCACAATATCCAAGGTAGTATTAATAATATATTATCAAAAAAAAGAGTATTAAAAATTATTCAATAATATTATAGGCGTTAATATTAAATTAATATTTAAAAAATAAAAAGCAATTATAAAAAAAATTATCAACATCCACCGTATTATTTTACGATTTTATAATAATTATTGATGTGACGTCAATGTGCCCGGAAGCACATTCAAAGCCAAAAGGCAAGAACTACATAATCATCCACCAATAAAAGACAATAGACAATGATCGATAATGAATTTTCCATTATAATTTCTTCACAATCAGAATTTACGAGTTTTTTATTTTTCCGAAATTAAAAATTTTGAATTTTTAATGTTTTTAAAAATTTTAATTTTTGTTAAATAAAATCTGATTGTATTTAGTGGAAGAAATTATAATTATATATAGACAAACACAAATACTTGATAATATATAATTTATAACAATAATGAGAATTGAAATAAAAATTAATTGAAAAATTTGGATAATACGAAGTGATTAAAATAGAATTTGATAAATATTTTTCGTTACCTGAATTGATGTATTTGGCTATAAGATAGCCAATGAGAGAGTAAATGCAACCATCTACGAAAATCATAATGAGCACCAAACCTAGTGACATTGGATCACCGGGAGTCGATTCCTCCCACATTGAATTCCATTGTAAACCAACTCCCTGTACTTCTTTTCGAACGGCAAAAAGACATCCATAGGAAAAACTCGTTGACATACTCAAACACTAGAAATAAAAATCAACAATTTTTTTTTTTTTGTTCTTATTGTTAATGAATTATTTTATAAATGCAAAATTTACAAAATATTGATTTATCAATTATAAAAAAAATTAGTAAAGTAAATAATATGTTGTTCTTACGATAAGTAATTTATAACCAAGACCCATCGCAGCTTCCATGGCAATTACGATAATATAAGGCATGAACGTCAGCAAAAACATGGTCACTGCTGTAACAGCGGCCAAACTTGCTGAACTGAACATTATTGAAATCATATAGCTGAAAATAAAAAATATTGACAAAAACAGGTAATTTATTTTCAAAATTGAAAAAAAAATAGAAAAAGCTTACCAGAAAGCAACAATTGAGAAAATATAATCGAAAAATAATGTCAAAAGCAATAATGGATCAGATTTTGGAAGAATTTTTCCAGCTACAAGTATTAGGGCAATACATAACATTATTATTGATAATTCAATGAAAGATGTTATCCACCATGCAGCAGTGTTCCTCCATGGTTTCAGACCCATAACACTCATGACCTGAAAAATTACAAAAAAAATTGTAAACAGAAAATTTTTATTTTTATTTTTCAAAACTTCTTTTTTTATCCATTGAATATAAATACCATTGAATTTTGAGATTCTCGTTCCCAAACAATGTGTCGAATAGAAGCTCCAACACACATCATCAAAGCAAAAAAGAAACAAACTATCACTCCTTGCGATTCATAAAGTGTTGATTGGAATCTGCAATAAAATTATTTTTCCAATAGAAATAATAATTAATTATTTTTATCCTTTTTTTTTAAATTTTACTATTTTTCATTATTTCACTTACGGAGCAAATTTCCAGCAAGGATAAGGCATCTGTCGAATAAGTGTCATCCAATCTTGATTGGTGCGTGATTTAACTCTAATAATTGCACGATCTATTGAATCTTGCAATTGAATAAATCCTCGCATATATCGTAAATGTTCCAAAAAATCGGCTTCCGGTCCAGGTAGCCAAAATTGATTTTTCAATCTTGTTGTCGTTTGTACATAATCAACATCCATTCTTATTTTATAAGTCACATTATGCGGTAATTCATATTCCAATGATCTCTTATGACGATTATCATCAATAAAAACAACTCCCGCTAAAAATTCATGTGTTTCCATTAAATTCTCAGCCTCCATTTCTAATTCCTCCTCTGTTGCAAATCCATGATATCGATCCAATAAAACACAATCCATCAAATCGTTCAACATTTCAATCATATTTATTAATCTATTAAATAACATATTCAATTTTAATATAACAATTTTTAAAATCAAAAGCAAAATAAAAAATAAAGAAAAAAGAATAGATTGACCTTAAAATTTTACCTTTCAGAATTCTTCAATTCCCAAGCGATTTCCGTGAGATCAATATTTGACAAATCCGTATTAACATTTGATTCACTCGATCCACTCATGGATTTGACGGCAACTTTCATAACATCCGATGACATGATATTTTCCAAATCCTTTAAACTGTCACCCATTTTTGCGAGATTTTTCAATGCAACGAGTGTCATTTGAAAACTATTCATGAGCGTTGAGAATTTTTCAAATTCAATAAAACTTTGATTGGAAATTTTTATCACTTCCTGAATTAATGTTGTATTTGGTGTAAAGAGAATACGTCCTCTTAATAATGGTTTTACATATGACCAAATTATTTTACCACCGGGCATACTTAAAACATTTTTATAAGTGTCTCTGCAAAATTCAGCTGTTGACAGACGATTATTAAATATATATAAAGGATTTTTCGATTTTTCATTAAAAAAAAGAAAGAAAAAGAGAATTTTTTTTGGAAAAATAAAAATTTAGAGGACTTACTCGGCAAGGTGCTAAGTTCTCTCTCATCAGCGGCTTTTCGATTGTCTTCCAAAGACGTGATCACCTTGTAAAATTCTCCGCCTTCTTGGACCAAAGGTTTGCTGCACAACATTTTGCTCGCCTCTCCCAGAAATTGACCTCCTGAAAGAAATTTAAAAAATATTTTCATGAAATTTAATTTAAAAGTATATTTTTAAAAAACAATTTTTTTTTTAAATAAAAACTTTTATAAAAATAATTTATTTTAATTATTAAGAAATTATTAATATTAAAATCTGTCGATATTATTTTAAAAATAAATAACTTACTCGACATCGATTCAGAAGAATTTTTATTGACTTTAGCTCTCGCTGAAGAGAGACTCGATGTGAGTTTTTCTTTAAAATATGGCACAAGTTCAGCAACAACTCCAAGATTATCCAAAATAGCTTTTCCATCAGATTCTGTTAAATTTGCATTTAACAAAATATTTTTTACATTCGCACTCATTAACTACAAAAAGAAAATAGAATTTTAACAAAAAATAACGAAATTAAATAAATAAAATATATTCTAAATACGTACGTTTTCGAAAATATATTGAAAATTAAGATTTGAAATAAGCGTAATAGTCATATTTTGACTTTGTTCACTGTCCATTTCGCATAAAATCGAACTAACTTCTTCGGCGGAAAGATGTGAATTCTCAAAACTCAACATTTCATTTAATTTCGTTGGCGAACAAATTGTATCCTTTAAACTTACGGCTTTTTTTTCTTTTAAAAATACAGAAATCATGTCAACTTTAGCCCCACTCATAATATTCATTGCTTCATTTGGAATACCAGCTTTTTCAATGAGATATTTCTTAAGCACATCCCAATTTCTAAATAAATCATTCACACCATCTGAAAATTATTCAAAATTATTAAATATTAAAACAATTAATTTTGGTAATTAAATTTGTAAAAAAAAAATTACAAACATTTCATATTCAGGAGTCCTAGATTTTTGAAAATTTCCATTGATTCAAATGTTTGTATCATAGTTCGAAGATCTCTTTTTACCTCAGGATCTTCAATAAATGGCTCGACATCGTCAAGAATTTCGTTTATTCTATTCGAGGAAAAAAAAGAAGTTTAATTTATAAATAAATAATTCATAAGAAAAGTATTAAAATATTAATTTAAAAAAAAAAATAATTTACCCCTCAAACAATTTGTCTATTGTTTTTCCATTGACAATACTGACAACATCGTCAACAATATCAGGAACTCCAAGTGTATTGGAAACATTTTCAAAATCAATTTTTCTTGCAACGTCAAATAAATTTCCTCCCTCTTCCATGACAGTGGACACGTGTTTTAAAATATTTCTTATCCACGTCAAATTAGTGGCAGCTTCCTTTCGCCAATTTAAAATTTCACTTTCAATTAATTCAAAATTCAAACTCTTTGAAAGTAATTCGGCAATTTCATTCGTTGAGTCAAAATTTGAATTTTTTCCATTAAGAAGAATGAGTTTCTTCACTTGCCTGCCACTGAGAATATCATAAAGAATTGTTAAATTTTGACAATGCTTCGGAGGATAACATAAAGTATCTTTCACTTCACCAGACAATAAATTTACATTGATTTTTCCATCTGGAAGCAAATTATTCATTTTCTCTATGTCTGAAGTTTCAATAACTTCAGAAATTGGTTTCCAAATGGGCAAATATTTCTCAGCCAGGGCGGTTAAATTTTTTATTTTCTCATACGTCATAAAATTGTTGAAAATTTGAACATTTCTGTCTAAAGTGTCGAGGATTCCGTTCATTACCATTACATATCTGCAAAATAAAAAATTTAATTTAATTATAATCTGAATTAAAAAATATTTTCAAATTTTTAAAAAATTTTCTATTATAAATCAATTTTAACTCACAATCCTGGTCTTGAAAATGAAGGGCCTCCAACTAATTTATAAAAGCATTCTGTCACTTCATTTTTATATGTTTCATTATGATAATCAACTAAAATATCCGCTATATAATGTAGAGAATTTTCCAAAGCCCCCATAAAACTTTTCAATGTTTTCTTGTTATTCAAATATTTATAATCCTTAATCTGCAAAAAATAAATCAATTTAATAAAAAAAATTTTACACACGATATATATTTTTTTAACTCTCACCATATTAATTGTTTTATTCCAATAAAAATCTCGTAACATTGTATCTTGAATTTCCCTCACATTCATTCGTCGCATTTTACAAATTAATTTCGAATATTCCGAATGTTTTATTAGTTGAGAATTTACAATTTCTATCATAAGCGTATGACACCAGGAACAATTTCTAAAAATAGAATTTTAAAAATTACTTTAAAAAATTTGTAAAAAAAAATAAAGGAAATTAATTATTAAAACACTTACTCCTCGTGAGGTGTCGAATTTAAAATATTATATAAAACAGCAACAGATTTTTTCATTGATGAATGTGCTAATTTTCTCATATCCTTGCTTTTGTATTTTAATAAAAATTCTTTTAAAGTTCCCTCTTTAAACGAAATCCACCAATTAGGAACTTCAATTTCCTGAAAACCTTCCGATGCAATTTGTATCAAAATTGCTTGAAGTTGATACATTTTTTCCACAAGATAAGTTTTATTATAAATTATCAAATTCTCCGGTCCTGAATTTATTCTCATTTCATACAAATGTTCTTTCTGAAAAATTCATTTAAATGCAAATCTTCTTTTTTTAAATTCTAGATTTAAAAAATTGTTCCAAAAAAATTTCCCTACCTCAGCATAAAAATCCAAAGGTAAAAAATCCTCAGCCTCAAGTTTCTCGGCGCCATTCACAAATTTTTCACAAACATTCGTGATACTTGTAAGAATTTTTTTCTTTTTAACAAATTTCGATGGTATCAAATATTTATCAATATCGCAAAGATTCACTTTTCCGGCAAAAAGTAATTCAGCAAAATCATTGAGTCTTTCGGAATTGACAAAAGTATCGACAACAGTTATCACAAGATTTGGTAAATCTTCAACGATAGTCAATAGGGGTTTTATTTTTGAATCTTTATAAATTATTTCCAATTTTTGCCAAATATCACCACCGGATAAAAGTTTTAAAACTGATAACAAAACCTGAGGAACCCTGTATAGAAAAAAAAAAGAAAAAGAAAGAGATTTATGATAAAAGTCAATTTAAATTGAAATAAGAGTAATTTGTTGAATATAAACAAACCTGTACATTTGCCCCATGAATGAATCATTTGGAAAATATTCACTGACAAATTTATTCACCCACGAAAGTTCCGTACGATTAATTGATCTCCAAGTGAGGCCGTCAATTGGAATATCCCTCCAAGTGGTGGCATTAAAAATATTTGATTTGAAAATTACTTTTGGATTTTGAGATCGTAATTTTATAATTTCGTTTAATAAAAGTGAAACTGATTTTGAAAGTGGTGTTACTCTTTTTAACACGTCCGTGTGACCGTTTGCTACCATCTGAAAATTATATTTTTCATAAAATCAAAAAAAGAAATAAGTTTTTCTTTAAAAACACTTACGAATAATTCCTCACTGGTTAGTGTTTTTAGCAATTGATCAAAATCAAAAGAACAAATACTGCTTAAAAAATGAGTTGCATTTGGTTGAATCCACATTCCAGATTTTGGATGAGTTGTACACCAATTTTTTTTAAAATGTTTGATTGGATAAGGTTGCATCGTTTCCGGATCAATTTCACTAATAACAGCAAAAAATGAAATCGCTTCCCTTGGATAACTTTCCAATAGTTTCACAAGCTGATGAACATCACCTTTTTCAAATAAATCCCAACTATAAAGTTCATTATTCTTCAATTGCAATTCACTCAATGTTTTTGCCATTTTGTTTATAACTTCCGAAATACCTTCCACTGCTAAACGATAATTTCTACCTTCTGGATTATTCTGTAAAAAATTTGAAAAAAAAAATTATTAATTTTAAAATTAATTCTTACAACTCAAAACTTACACGAAGTATTATTCCACCAACTTCTGGAACATCATCATTAAGCTCACGACTCAATGTCCTTGCAATATTATTCAAATAATTTTCATCGAATGGAAAAACAATTTTCATGCCATTTTTAGTTCGATTTACAATTTTTTTCCCCAAATCAGATAATTCAATGGCTAAACTGAAAAAATATGATTGATAATCAGCCAGAGATTTTCGCCAAACTGTCGATTCTTTCATATAGAGATCAGTGAATGCATTAAAATTATCAGCGACAAGATCGCAGGTGAAATTTTTCAATATTCTATATTCATCAACAGTGAGATCAACACGTGAATTATCGAACCATGAAAATATTTCCGAACAAGATACACGTCCATTTTTCATTGCATTTATTGCTTCACTGTCAATTGTTGGATCTGACATTCCATTTATAAATGTTGCTAAAATATATGGTAAACGTTCATAAGCAATTGCAATTGCACTTTTGTTCTTAAATCCAAGAAGTGTTAAAAGATTTATATTCTGTTGATCTGAAAAGTATAGAAAAAAAAAATTAAATATTTACTAAAAAAAAATATTAATAAAATTAGTTAAGAGAATTTTACCTCCGCTGAATGAATCAGAAAAAATTGTAAAAACATCATGTAAAACGTTAGAAAAAAATTTTCCAAGCGCTAGAAAATAATCAAAATCCCTCGGAGTTCCCATTGAATCCCAAACATTTTTTGCCGATAATTGACTATTTAAAATATCCACTCCTTTATCAATTTTATGATCGATAAATTCCACTATTTTTCTGAAATTAATTTACATATATATTAAAAATAATAAATTTAGGATGAATTTAATTAGTAATTAATTTTACCTGCTTTGATCTTCAGACTCGGGAAGACTTTCAATCACCATTTTCTTCACCTCGGGTAAAAAGTTTTTTATATAAACAGAAACACTTGGCGCATTTAAAAGTTCAACGTCTTCCGGCGAGTCAATTAAAGTATTCATTTTTTTTACCAATCGACGAAAATTTAAATAACCTTGTGTCCAATTAAAAGGTGGCATTTGAACATTACTGTCACCCTGAAACTAATTCAAGAATATTGTAAAATTTATTTTTTATTTTATTTAACTATTTAAAATTTTTTAATTATTATTTTCAATTTATAACTTACGATCTTATTAACTTTTATTAGTAAAGGTTGTTCATCCCATTCGGTCACTAAAGGACTAGGATCGCAGGATATCTTTTCAATTTCTCGCACCAATTCTCGACTTCCTGTTCTCAGTTCCAGAGCCTCTCCAATACTCTCATTCATGATGCACGGCCAATTTGGTTCACGATCTTTATAATCATCAATTGCCGACATCTAAAAAATGTTTTCAAATATAAAAATTTCTTGTATATTAATCATTTAATTATTATATTAATTATTGATCATTTAATAATTAATTTTTAAAAAAAACAATTATATTATTTGAAAAAGATTAAAGTATTTTACTTACAAAATGTACAGGAATTTTCATAGTCATATCAACAAAATCAAGTGTTATTGGTGCAAGATTTCTCAATAGTTTACTTAATAAAATTTCTGTCTCTGGCATTTCAATGAAAATATCCTTTAAATCGACACTGTTATTTTTTCTCTGAATTTGATCGACAACATTTTCAATATTGTCAGCAATTAAAGATGAACCCCAAGCGACTGCATGTAAATCCGACCAATTATCTATTGTTTTTGCATTAAAAAGAGGATATTCCATAATGGTGAACAATTTACACAAGACGCCTACGCTGCAAAAATAATCAATTGTCATCAAAATTAGAGTATTTTTTCATAATTCACAAAAAAAATATATTTCACAAAATAAAATACAAAAGTAGTTTTTCAAAAATATTACAAAAAATACGAACCTTGCTTCCCATGCATCTCTCGCTGTCACATAATCAGTCCAAGCTTCTCTAAATTTCTCCACTACATTATTTAAATATGTAACATTTCCTTCATCTTTTTGATGTACAAGTGAATCAATATAATGATAAATTTTCACAATTTTCTCATTAAAAAGAGTCCAATTGAAATTTTGATTTTGAAACGATAGAGTTGCATCATTTTCCACATTTATTAGATCCAAATTAAGAGCTGATTCCACTGTTCTTATTGGACGACAAATAATGTTCATTAAAAAAGTAGCATTTGTTCCCATTGGAAAATTGAGAAAATTTGACGAATTCTTATCCATACAAACGGTTTCTGTCATATTTGAATATTCCAATAATTTTAATACCTAAATTTAAATAGGAAAAAATAAATTTATTAAAAAAGGGAATAAAAAAATATATATAGGAAATAAAAATGCAAACCTTTGGTCTATCAGCGACAGTTAAATAAAATGATTCAATTAATTCAGATTTATGAAATCGAACATCAGCGATCCATTCAGTGGGATGAGTTTCAAGATCTCTCAAAACGGAACTTGCAATAAGATCCATTTTAATTAAACTTGGTAAAATTGTTATTATTGTGAGACTTATTGATCCAATTGATTTTGCCACACTGAGATGAAGACTCAATCTATTAATAAAAATTAAGAAAACTATTGAAATTAATTTACCTAAATTAATTAAATTTAAAAAGAATTATAATTTTATATTTTAGAAATGAATAAATAATTAGTAAATAAAGTAAACTCACATGTCTTGACGTCCTTGAATTTGTGTTTCCTCAAACACTATTTTCCATTCGTTTGGAATTGAAATTGAAGACGACAAATTCGCAGATTCCAATCTTTTTGATTCGGGATCTTGTAGATAGGTCACAAAAGAACGAACACTTCTCACCATTGCTGTGAGATTTGATTTTTCAAAAATCATCGGCTTTCTTAGAGCCATAGTTTTAAATGTATTCAAAGTATTGTCAACCTGAAAATTCGAAAAATTTTTAAAAAATTCAAAAAAAAAAATTTCTGAATTCAGATTTTTTTAAACTTACAATTTCACTGAAATTTCTTAATTCCATGGCATTATAAATATCGGAGAGGAATTTTTTTCCTTCCTCGCTACAAAGTGAATCGTTCAATTTTGATAATTGACTATCTTTGTTTTCCAAATTGTAAAATACTTCTTTGAAAATATCATCTTCACAAAACAGATCTTCAGCATTCTTTGATGGTAATTCCTCGACAAATTTCTGGGAAAATAAATCGATACTTTGATCAAAGATGATTGAAAAAAAAAAAAAAATGACACTCTCATTAGTCAGGAGAATGTAATAAAATTCAATAATGACAATTTTTATCTCATTTTTAAAACTGACCTCAACAAAATCCAATCGAGAAAAAGAATTTATAATTGTCCTATAAACATTAGGTTCAATAGTTGTAAATATTTTTTCCACAAATGATTGATGATTGACTACAATATTCTTGAATTTTATCAATAATTCCTCGTGAATAATGGCAACATGATGAGTCATTTGAACCACATTATCAATCATTGATACCAAATACGAAATGTTATAAAGTATCTTTTTTGAAAAGAAACTTTTTAATCCATCTAATATTTCTGCTGCACTAAAAAAAGATATTGAAATTTTTTTTTCATATCTAAAAATAAAATAAAAGAAAAATTTCCATAAAAATTCACTTACAGCTGAAATTGATCTTCATATTTCTCAATTAATTTTTTTGTAAGCTTAATACTATCCACTAAAATAAGATATGAAATATCCAAAATTTTAGTGACATTTGTCTCATATTCATGATAATATATTGATACAGTATCTTCCACATTTCCACCAATTCTTTTCATCACACTAGAAATAGTTTCATTATTCGTGTCCATTTTTTTAATAATATTCTTCACCAAACTAAGAAGATCATTTAATTTCAAAAAAGCACTTCGAGCAGTTTTCCAATCATTTTCCCCCTTAAAAATTGGATCCAATATTGTTACCGTTTTATTAATACTGAAAATAAATAAATTAAAGCAAAAACATTAATTTAAAAAAATATATATATATAAATTACTATTTGCAAAAACTTACAAGAAAATATCAATTTCTTTGAATGAGGTATTTTTAAATAAAGGAATAATCTTTGGCACCCAATCACGCAGTCTTAAATAATCGGGAACATATTTCTCAACAATTCCCAAATTGAGAATAGTCTCAACGGTTTTTTTAATATCTTTAAGAAAATCATAATCTTGGAATTTGGCCATAACACGACTGACCATTTCCAAAAGTGAAGTGAAATCTAAATGATTTGTCAATTGTTCAAAAATACCGGGAATCTTTGATGGATCTATTTCGCAAAGTACTTTTGATATTTTGACTAGATCCATTTCCTTTGGCACAATTAGAAATTTTTTTAAATTCTCCGGAACGCAAACAGTGTCTTCAATATTTGTCGAACCAAGACCCTCGACTAACTGTTTCGAAAAAAAAAATTAATCAGTATTTTTTTAAATTAAAAAAATAATAATTGATTAATATTTACAAATTTAGAAACTATTTTTTCGATATAATAATAATAAAAAAAAATAATACTCACGTAGATCAATTTTATTGAGGAATTAAAGAGTCCATCGAGCAAATGATCAGTTGCTTGTGGTATTTGATTTTTCAAGGATCTTTTAATTGTTTCGTGATTGTTAAATAAATCACCGAGAAAAATTCCCCTGTCTAAAAAAACAAAATTAGATTATTATAATGAATTTTTCGATTTAAATTCAGAATCTACTTTTTTATTTTTAAATATTTTTAAATCTTTTAAATTTATAAATTTTTATTCTATATAATTTTATTAAACTGAATAATATGAGAGAAAATAAATTCTTCCTCAGTGAAAAAGCAAAAAATGTACAAAAAAAAAAGAGTAAAATATAATTTAATTAATTAATTTTAAAAATTACTTACCAAACAATTTTTTAATTTCCGGCTTTGTAAGAATTTGAGCCATTGATGTAAAAAGTTGAACGCCTTTTGGTAAATAAGAAACTGCTGACAGAATCGTATCATTTCTCAAAACTGTTTGAAGTTCCACAATCAAAGGACTCAACCTGAAATACGCAATTTTTTTTTATTATTTATTTTACCTAATTTACAAATTCTATTCTAATTTAATTTTTATAATTTATCATTTTTTCAAAAATTCTAATTTTTTACAATTACATTTTTTTAAAATTATTTTTTGGTATCGAAAAAAATATATCTATTCTAATTTAATTTTTATAATTTATCATTTTTTCAAAAATTCTAATTTTTTACAATTACATTTTTTTTAAAATTACTTTTTTGCTATCGAAAAAAATGTTTAACAATATGAAAAATTAGTTTCAATATATAGTGAAAAATTAAAAGATATCTGATGAATACTAAAAGGACGATTAGTAATTTTTTGCAAAAACAAACTTTAATTTCCCGTGATTATGCAAAGATTATATGAAATTGTGTTAAATAGTCCTCATTGTACTGTTATAGACTTACATTGCATTTTTATAAGATGGTACTTCCTCGTATTCTGACAGTGGTTCACATGGATTTCCCACACCGCAAACGAAGCTTTGAACAAATGGCAAGATTCCATCTTGAGGCATGAATCTTGCCGGGAATTGACATGTGGGAAAATATTCTGGATCGATATTATCTCTCACCGTATAAAGAAGCATAAATACAAAAATTGGCCATAGAAATACCAGGCTCATAATACCCTGAAATGCAAAAAAAAAAAAAAAACAAAAAATTAATCGAAAAATAATTACAATTGATTTAAATTATAAAAAATTAAAAACTCACCGGTTGACGTTTTCTAACAACATAATTCTTCCAAAGGAGGAGACCAAGCTGGTCACCTCCCATCTTCCTGCTTCGAGAACCTAAAATTAATAATTTTAATAATTAATGACATGTAAAATTTAATTTTCGGAACGGAAATAAATGTAGATATCAAGCTAAAATTAGAATTTTATCACAAATTTTCTTTCCGGTTTGATGGAAGATAATTTTGACAATTTGTTTTCTTGCTGTTTTAATAAATAATATATAATATATGAATCATCAATAATATAAAAATAATGTAAAAAAATTTTAATTCTAATAATTAAACATCGTTTTTTTATAAAAATAATTAATCGTTATCGTTATCAAATTCTAGTTAATTAAATTTAGAATGAAATTTTATATGTAACAACACCTTCCTTCTTACTTTATCAGCAAAAAAGTGCAAACTAATAATGAAATTTAAGCACATGTGTAGACGTTGGGTCATTGTACTTTATTTCTCAATTTTCTACAATTAATTATATATTTTGTTTTCTTTTAGCAAAAAAAAAATATTCAAATACCAAAAATATTTTCTTTTTTTAATTTTTTTTTTTTATTAGGGTTTTTATTTACTCTTTTTAACAAATAAATTATATATTTCCTAAAATTACCTGAAATTGGCAGAATATCAATAAAATTTGAATACAGTCAACCCTCCCAATAAAGCCGCTCTCAATAAAGCCGTTTCTCCACTTGACGCTCGAACTCGTACCCCCACTCACGCGCCAGAAAGTCCGTCGCTTGAATTTGATCTACCTGTCTCCCAATAGAGCCGCTAAGCAAAACAACTTTTTGTTCTCTTACACATGTATATTTTTTGTAATAATGCGCCGGCATTATTGAGATAGTGTGCGGAAAACTTTTCGCAGCTAGGAAGCATGAGTAGTGGGGGAACTTGAGTTCCACGAAAAACGCTTCCCCTTTCCGCGTAGACCGGCTTTATTGGGAGGGTCGACTGTATATTGAATTGAATATATTGAGGAAAACGTGAGTACTTTTTTAAAATTCAAGACAATGAAAGTTCAATGGAAAAGACAATGAATTTTTAAATCCTTAACTTGTCAGATCATTGTTTATTATATTAAAAAAAAAATAACAATATTTCACTTGCGTGATTTCCTATATAAAGTTAATTCGATGCACGTGGTATTTTTTTTTTATCAAAAAACTTTCATTTATCACTCAACAAAAAATTTCCTGACAATAATTTATTATAATTTATAATCCTTGAATTTAAAATATGAATTTTCGAATGTCAAGATTTTCAAATTACGATTTTTTTTTTGTAAATTATCGTTAAAATTGAAAATATTTTTGAAATTTATCCAAAATGCTCAAATTTGAAAATATTTTGACTGATATAAAAAAAAATTTGTTTTTTTTTAAATTTTTTCTTTAGAAATTAATTAGAAATTAATTTTATATGAAATTTTACAATTACGCGAATTCAAAAGGCGAAGAAGTTCATGGTTCAAGGCCATCGACCTGAACGTCATCAGTTGAATGTAACCTTAGCCTTCCGTAGGAAATAAGGAAAATCTCGGAAATAGTGGTCGAACTAGTTTCTCATCAAGGAAAAGAGACAAATCTTGGTGATGATAATCGTATTTTTTTTATCAAATATTTTTATTGTTACGTAAATTTAAATAAATTTATAGAAAATAATTATAATTAAAATACAAATGTCACGGAATTTGAAAAAAAATTAACAAATATTAAAAATTTTTAAACCAATAAAAAAATGTATATGTCTAATAAATAATAATAAATAGAAATTAACATTAATTAATTAATTGAAAAATTAGATAAAGTAAAATTTTAATTAATTAAAAAATTAAATTAAAATTTTTAACAAATTTCTTTTTTATATATATTTATTTTCTACAATAGAAATGAAATCAAATTCTAACGAATGATAAAAATGGATATGATTAGAATATTAAAAATTATGATTTGAAAAAGGAAAGTTTTCATTAGCATTTGTTGCTAATTAGAAAAAACAATTCATTTTGTATGCCTGACAGAATTTTGCAAGACAAATTTACAACTGATAATTGTGTCAGTGACCGCGAGAGTATACTTTCAACTTATGAGAATTACTAATTTATTATGTAATTAAAAAAAAAACCATGTCACTATTAACAAAGGGATTAATTAGTCCTTATATTTATGATCGGATATTATTTTTAAAAAAAATTCAATTGTTAAATAATTTGAAAAAAAATCATTAGTAAATGTCACGTATAAGTAATAATAATTATATAGTGTCGCATCTATTATTTCCTCAATGTTCGATAATTAAATTTTATTACACAGGATTTTTATTTTTTTCGAATAATATTCTATGAACTTTGATTTTAATTATTAATTATATATGAATAATTATTATCAACTCGAAATATTGGACAAAGAGCATAATAATTTTTTAACAATAAATCTTTTGATATTTAATTTTTTTTTCAAATGATAAATCCTTTCTTGATTGTTACTATATAGTCAGAAAACATATACATTGTAAGATAAAAGATTAAATTGAAAAATTTCCTCGAATTAATTAACACAATTTATGCAGATATTTTTTTTCGATATTTCTAATAATTTTATATTCCAGATATAAAATTTTGTTTAACGTTAAATTAATTATTATCAGAGAGAAAAAGAATAATATTTTATTTGCATACTAATGATAATTTATTCAATTTACTTTTTATTGCGTGATCTGAATTGTTAATAAAATGGTTTTCATATTTTTTTTTTTTTGCATTTGTTACTCCTAATTTATAAAAAACATTTTAATAAATTACAAAAGTGTCTCTATTAAAAAATTTTAGTAACGATTTCTAGTTATTAAAATTAAGATTTTATTTTGCAAAAAGTAAAATAGAATATTAGACAAATCTCTGTCACCTTTGCTAGAATTTTTTTTTGATAAAGTTCAACACTAATGACAAAAAGGAAAATCAAAAAATGTTATTGAATCTCGACGTAATCAGGCTATTATTATTATTATAAACAATGATGTAACAGTATTTAATTCATTGCAATATAAATTTACATTGATTGATAATCAATTTAGTTTAAAATAGAACGTGCGCAAATTAATAAGTTCCAGTAAATTTTAGTTCGTTCAACTATATTGCAAATAAAAATTTTTCAATTTCTCTCTTACTTTTTGAAAAATTAATTAGAAAAACAAATTTATTTATGAAATTTATTAATCTATTTGATTTAAAAAAAATAAAAAATATTTTTTTTACTCAAAAATGAAACTGTAATAAAAAAAAATAATAAACAATGTTAATTATATATTTGTAGAATAGAAAAAAAAATAACATAAAATCATAACTTTTGTTGAAAATTGGGCCTATGCTATATTATATATCCGCAGGCAATTATGTATATACATTGTTACATTTTATGAATTGTATATGTGAATAAAGAGAAATATTCACTGGACCATAAAAATCCAATGCATTCTTTATACTATACACAGCAATTATAAAAAATTTTTACAACTGTTTTCCTATAGTTAAAAAAAAATTATTATTTTGTATTTCCTTTTTCATATTAGAATAACATAATTTTTATTTTTGAAAAAATTTTAGTTTTTCTTTAGCTGATTTAATTATAATTATATATAATTTAACTGAGTCAAAATTAATAATTGTATTAAATGCAAAAATTATTAAATTAAATTAAAATTTAAATAAAAGAAAAATAATTTTGCAGAAATATTTTACCGGCTCCAGAAAGCTGACAAAGGGTTTCATCCGTACGAAATAGCCTTGGAGGGAATATTAAAAAAAAAAACTTTAAAAAGTAAAAACTGAAATTATCTTTTGTTACACGGGTTTTTCTTTTTAATTTTAAAAAACACTTTTCTTTCACTCCTTGCTTCTATAGTATATTAAAAAAAAAATTATTTCACTTTCTTTTTCAGTCAGTATTATTAGCTATTGTATACAAAATGATATATTGTATATAAACTCACTATAAGAAATATTCGCGTGCCTCTGTGGCGAACGGCGGCTCGAGTTCGACTGTCGACCTTACGAACCGCAAGGGAGTACATGACCACGTGGTTTCACTCTCTGTAAATCGACAACGTATTTGCACAAAACTTGCAATTTTTATTTCTTCACTTTTTTTTTTTTTTTTTTTGATTTCTTTGAACAGTGCCTCCAATTGTTTGGAATGAAGAAGAAGAAAAAAAAGAATGCAAAGAAGGACGTTCGTTTAGGGAGAAGAAATAATGCAATATTTATACAGATACGGCACTGGACCAACAGAGAGATTCACACAGACCATGGCTGTTTACTATAAACAACCGCGGCAACCGGTTAATCAAAAATCAACGATTGACTCTCGAGGTCGACGACAATCGATCCCCCATCTCATTTGTAAACTACCTGCTTTTACTTTGATTTTAAATATATTATAATAATGGATAAAGAGGGATTTTGAAATTTCATTTACAGTAAAACCTCTTTAAGTGGGCACATTTGCTTTTTCAATGCTCGTTCACTGCCAACTAATTTTTACTGACTGTTAATATTATAAACACTATTTTTTGTAATTAACAATAGCAAATCCTATTTTTTGTAATTACTACTAATTGTAATCAGTAATTGTAATTGCAATTGCCACTAACAAACCCTATTTTTTACTATTTTATTTTTATTTTTTTTTATTTTTTTATTTTTATTTGTTTTTTATTTTACTATTTTTATTTTTTACCCTATTTTCCTATATTTGGTAATTACTACTAGTTGTAATCACTAGTACTTGTAATTATTACTAATTGTAATTACTAGTACTACTAGTTACAAATCCTATCAGTTGTAATTACTATTAATTGTAATTACTATTTTAATTTTTAATTGATAGTTCAGTTGTAACTACTATTGGCTGCAATTATTTTTTTTCGTCGTACTGTAATCTCTATTAATTATACTATAAATAACTATTAATTTGAAATATTCTATTAGTTATTAATACTATAGTAGTTGTAACAATTAAACATTAAATTTATACATACCAATTTAATTAATCTTGCTGCGCGAAAAAATCCAACACTGCAAGGGCTCGAACTCCCGAACATTGTATCACAAGACAAGAAGGCTTACCACTCGGCTACGAACCCCAACGAAGAAACTTTAACCCAAACGTTGTGTAGCTCCGAATAAAAGTCCTGAAAAAACAAGAAATAAATAATATTAGTAAATGAATAAATAAATATAATAACAAATAAATAAATATATTAATAAATAATTTAAATATTATTAAAATAAATATATAAATATATAAGTAAATGAATAAATAAATATAATAACAAATAAATAAATATATCAATAAATAATTTAAATATTAATAAATTAATTTACGAAAAATCAATAAATAAAATGAATTAATTATTAAATTAATTTAATAAAAATTAACAGTAACTTCTATTAATTGCAATTGCAAATGACAAATGATGATAACAACCAACAATTAAACATTATAAATTCACAATCTGTCACAGAAACCAGATGTTTATTCATTTTTTTTTTTATTATTATTATTAATTCAATATTTTTCAAATTAAGTTCTTATAACTGAAAACTAAATTTTTCTAGAGGCCAGGAATGCAAATCGAATTTTTTCTTTACATGTGTCAATTTTTGTATTTTTTTTTTTTTTTTTGCAGTTTATTATTCAGTAATATAGAATACAGAGAGGAGATGATGAAAAATTATAGTATATATCAAAAAAGAATACGTAATTTATTGTTTTCATAAGTAACCCGAACTAAACGGTTACATATCATTATGCACGAGCATTATTTATGCTTTAAAATCACTTTATACCATGAGTTTGCATAAAAATACCAAAACTCATTAAACTTTAAAGAAACATTTTTTTACCACAAAAATCTACAATCGAGATAATTACAAGTATACTCTACTATTAGATTTTTTCTTTGCAAACGATCGTTTTATCAACAAATTTTTATTTATTTCTTTATAGTAATATATTTTCAAAAATGATTACACAATTAATAATTCATTTTTCTAAACTTTAATCCAAATATTTTAATTTATTAATTAGAACTAGATTGTTTTTTTTTTAAAGCAAAATTAATAAATTAAATTGTTGTTTTAATTATAGTAAATTAAATTCTATTCCATTTTAATGATAAATTAGTATACAAAGTTAACGAAGCTAAAGTACGCAATGTTTGTATAAACGATTTTTAAAGAAATAATTTTTAAAAATGAAAAATTCTATAATTTTTTGCCTAAAAAATATTTCTTGTAGTTTTCATTAATCAACAAATTATAAAAAAATATTTCTTGAGCAAAAAATTATAGAATTTTTCATTTTAAAAAATATTTTTTAAGCAAAAAATTATAGAATTTTTCATTTTAAAAAATTATTTCTTTAAAAATCGTTTATATAAACGTTGCGTACTTCAGCTTCGTCAAAGTTATGGATCAAATTAATAAAAAAATTTTAAATAAACATATTTTTAAAAAAATTAAAACTGTGAAGGAAAAAACGGCCTAAAAAAATTATTATTAATAAACATTTTGATTAATTTTAATTTTGTATTGTCGAAATGGTGAAAAATTAATTTGAAATCAATAAAAAAGATTTATATTAAGAAATGTTCTTAATTATCCTCTAATGATATATTAGAGAGAATTCAACGTAATTGAACATCAGTAAACCAGCATCGCGTTATTTTTTATTAATATGATCATCGAATAATCACTTCCGTCGAATTCAGATTGCGAAACGCTTTTATTATAATGTACAACTCGAGTTGTTATTATCAAAAATAGAAAACACTTGAATTCTTATGGTGTTCTTCATATTCAAGAGCCCCTATAAAATTAACTATTATTAATTTATTTTATAATTAACATTTTTTTTTACATTTATTTATTTAAATGTATTTATTTAAATTTAAATTTTTATTTATTTATTTAATTTGATTTCTTATTTTAAAATTACAAACGATTCCAATTTTCATAAATAATTATTAATTTATTTTGTAATGTAATTTTTTTTAATTTTATTATTTTTTCACCATAACTTTAAAACATTCGTGAATCTAAAAATACCACAGAGTGCCACTTAAAAGAGAAAGAAAGAAAAAAAACCCATAAACTCGTCCAACAAGTGCGGGCATAGAGTCAAGCCACAATTGTTATTATTCCTGGAAAACTTATTACCATTTTGTTCACCATAAACTTTTAGTAATATTTCTTTCAAATAGAAAAAGAAAGAAGAAAGACGAAAAAATATATAGTGGGTGTTCAATTAAAATTATTTAAAAAAATATTAACTGAAGTGTTAACAGCTCACATTAACACTTCATGAATTCGCAAATATACGTCATGGAGAAAACGAGATTATATATACATATATATATTAAAAAAAAAAAAAAAAAAAAAAATTTGCAATATTATGAGTATTGTATTACGTATTAGAGGTAAGATGATATGCAATCGTTCGTGAGGCAAGTATCCAGACTGCACACAATACAACAAAAAAAAAAAGGTGTAAAGTGAAGACAACATAATTTAAAATTTTAATCACGTATTTTAAAGATAAAATAATTTATGGAGTGTCAAATTTTTTTTTAAAAAAATTAAAAATGTTTTAATCACTCGCTTCTGAAAAATAAATACAGATTTTTATGGGTAGGATTTTTGACTACACAGAATATATAATAAAAGAAATTTTTTTATTATTTGAAGAGAAACACTATTTTAACAATATAGATACATTTTATTTGTATATAAATATTATAACATATTAAAAATATGTAAAATTCGATGATAAATTAAAGAATCAGGCACACATTTTCAAAAAAAAAGATAATTTTTCCAGATTCTCGAATTAAAAGAAGCATGAAGAAAAAACCGACAAAAAGATTTGTCAATAACATGCATTTTATAAAAGTCAGGTTCAATGTCAAACTATTACGACAAGGATTACCAGCAAAAAAACGTAATAAACAATTTAAACAGTTATTTTACAATTACATATTACTGCTCTGAATCCAGGCAAAAATTAAGGATTATAAAGAATCCTAAAAAAAAAAGAAAAAAAATGCTGAATCAATTTCTATCGAAATTGTAAAATAAAAATAATATTTTTTTTTTTAATCACATTGGATTTTTTCATTTTCTACTCTTATATATTAAAAATTTTTCATTCTTGAAATATTATTTGATATCTATATAACTTATAGATAACTTTCTTTGAAAATTGAATTTTAATATTTTTTTTTTATTTAATTTAATATTTCCTTACATTTTTACAAATATTATGCAATTATTTAACTAGAAAATGGCAACTTAAATTTATATTATCAAATTAACTTATAGATTATGCTTTTTTCCGAAATCACATTAAATATTATATTGAACCAATTAGAATTAGAATTATATTTAATCCATTCATTTATTATATATACAGCGATTTCAAAAATCAATTTCAAATCGAAATTATATTCGAAAAAAGTAAAAATTCGATCCATATGTAAAAATTTTTTTTTTAAATATAAATATGTAAAATAATTTTTGGATTGAATTGCACTAAAAAATATCAAAAAAATTTTTTTTAATTTTCAAAGGAAATTAAAAAAAAAAACTAAAAATACTTCAAACTAAATACTAACTGAAAAAAAAAATTATAAAAAAAGAGATTTAAAATAGAACACGCAGAGTAAAATATTTTATACCATTATAAGAAAAAAAAAAAAAAAAAGTAAAAATTTTCATGTAATAGCATAAAAATAAAAAATATTATGCCTAGTACAAAAAAAAAAAAAAATGTACAATATTTCAGTCTTATCTTTAAGAATTCTTTCTCCTATAAAATTCTTTTTCTTTTCTTTTCCTCAATCTTTTTTCAAATAGGAATAAATTCGTTTTGTCTCATGTTCATTATTAGTTGATGTGGAAATATAATAAAAATCATAAATTGTTGGAAAATATCCATTATAATTACTTGTACAATCAACAGCATAATGTATCATTTGCTTGAGACTAAGCATTGGTGATTTTCGTTTAATTTCCTTCATTTTTATTGATGTACGATCAATGGATATATATAAAATAATACCATTTTCACGTCGTCTCGTTGCATTAATTGCTGTTCTCACTAAATCTTTACTTATCAATGAACAACCACTGAGATTTAATATTTTTAAACCATTTGCAAAACGAATTATTCCCATTAATGATTCATCAGTTATACTCATACAATTTTTACAATCCAATACTTCTAATTGTGGTATTATTCCAAAATATTTACCACTTACATTATTTATTCCACCCAATGCTAAATAATTTAAATTTGGCAATGTATTTAAACGTTTTGTTCCCTCGTCCGTTACACTTTGACAACCTGTTAAAAAAAAAATACAAATAAATATAAATATAGAAAAATATTTTTATTTTTTAAAAAAATTACTCACCACTAAAATTGAGGAAAGTAAGTTTTTTGCAAAACGTTGACAATTTGTAGAGAAATTCATCATTAACATTGTCGTTCAATTCAATATTTAATTTCTCAATATTTCTCAATTGGCCAACTGACAGTGACCACAGTAAATTATTCGATGAAAATGACATAGTGATTCCTAAATTTTTTATCGGAGAATTGGCGGAAAAATTTAATCTATCGCCAGCTGTTAAACCACTCGAGCAAAATGTATGTAATTTAGTCGATTTTTGTAATACCTAAAAACAAATATTAATTAACAAAAATAAATATAAAAAAAAATTAAAAAATTAATACTCACATCTAACAATGGATTAAGTTCAATTTGACCGCAATTTTCCATTATTAATTCCTCAAGAGATTCAAGTGGAAGATATTTAATAAAATCATCACCAATAATACTGTCAATAAAAAATAATTTCAAATTTTTCATCAATGACAATAAATAAAATAACATTTTATCCGTTAATATCATTGATTGATGTGCATAGCCAAATTTTGTTAATTGTAAAGAATAATATTTCATCCATTTAATAAGTTCATTTATTTTATCATTATCGGCAGTAAATGGATATGTTAAAAATAATGTATCAATTTTGTGACAATTTTCCAAAACATCACAAAGAAATTGTACACTTATTTCTTGTCGTTTAACTATTGGATATTGACGACTCAAATCAATTGATGTAATATAACGTGCCAATCGCATTATTATTTTTTTCGATGTATTATCATCGCGAAATATATTACATGGTAAATTCCAAGAATCATGATTTATTGAGAGATTTTTAAATTGATAATGACACCATGCTTTTTGACATAAATGTTGCCATCTCTTGCAAACTGTAAAGAAATTTCGAAATTAGAATTTTTTTTTCTAGTATTAAAAAATATTAAAATTTTTTTTATTATTAAAAATTTAATTATAGATCAATTAGAAAAGAGTTTCAAAATATTTATAAAATATTTCTTCTGTAATAAAGTAAAATCGAAAAAATAGAAACAATTAATAAATAATAAAAATAAGAAAATAAAATATAAAAATAAATAAGTTTCAAAAGGACGAAAAATCAAAACGAAATTACAAAAAACATACACAATTTTAAAAAGGAAAATTTTCTAATTAGAATATAATGAGTTTTTAAAGACTTACCCTCCTCGGCATTGAGTTTATCATCAACTGTCAAATATTCAAAAATATGTATCAAACAGTAATCGTTTAAAATTTTAATATTTCCAGAATCCACAAATGTCACCTCATCATTAAGGGACTCCATTTTCTAAAATTAAAAACACTGTTATTTATAATAATTAATTAACTAAAAAAAATTCCCTTAAAAAACATAATATATTTTTACTTAATTTTTCAAGTTACTTAATGTTAAATTTTCTCCTAACCTTTTGCATTTTTAATTATTCTCCATAGAATTGAAGTCAGTCGAAGAATAATGCAGCCCTTTTATTCCTTTGTCAATAGGGTAAAAGTCATATACAACTCCAGGTAAAAATCTCAAAATTCATCTATTTTGGAAAGCACGAGAAAGTAAAATATACTCCGAAATATTTACTCTAGTATATTGATTGAATGAAAAATTAATTGTTAAAACTGAAATAGAAAAAATTTTCTTATAAATAAACAATATTTAAAATTATTATTTTTATTATTATATTTACCTGATTTTTCGCATTGTTATATTATTTATTTTTTCTCCAAAAAAAAAAAAAAAAAAAAATTGTTATTTACACACTTTCAACACTTGACGCGACTACACACCGTATGAGAACTCACACCATGATGATCATAGCTGGGAAACATTTTGCATAAAATTTTTTTTGAGAAAAATTTTGATATTTTGAAATTATTCATTTATTATTTCAATTGTCATAAAAAAATAATAAAATAACAAATATTACAAATATTTGTATAGTAAATAATTTATCCAAAAATTGTATAAATATTAAAAATTAGAAAATGATTGCAAATTTTCAAATTTGAACTACCCAATCCTGACTCTTCAGGAGGGGACATTGAATAAAAATAACCAGACCCTTAAAATTTTGAAATTATTTTCGCTTTTAATGTTAAAAAAAATAATTATTTTTTATTATTAAATCTCTTTTATTGGGTAAATAAAAATGTTAACAACAAAAGAATAATTTGGTTGAATTTTGACAAAAAAAAAACCTAATTTTTATTGCGTAAAGATTTTTCAAATATATTTGTAATTACATCCCTGAATCAGGAAAGTAACAAGAATATTGTGGACCCTAAGGTATTTTATTTAGAAAGAAATATTTGAAATATTTAAACATATTTAAATATAAATTATTTAAATAATTTACATATTTCGAAAATTTCAATAAAAAAGAAGAAGATAATAATTAAAATTTTTTTTTTAAATAGTATTAGGTAAGAAATTCTTCATAAAATTATGTAGTTCTTGATTTCCAGGCTTATTTTTTTCAGCATAACCCGGAAGATTTTGCTCACATAATTTTAGCCATGCTTGAATATTTGGATATTTGTCCAATGATCTTAAAGCCTAAAAATTTTATAGAAAAATAATAAATTCAAATAATTATTAATAAATAATATATAAATATAAATTCAAATAATTAATTAATAAACAATTAATAATTAATTCTAATTAATTTTAGAATATTTTTACAATAAATCAATTTTATGTAAATTTCTTTACTATAAGACTGGAAAGAGTTGAAGCACAACTAATATCAGCCAAAGTATAAGAATTGCCAACGAGCCATTTTTTTCCTTGAAGGCATTTTTCCAAAATTTCAAATGTATTATTTAAAAGTTCAATTTTTTCCTCAGGAATATCGTATTTTCCAATTATAAACCATGGTCTCTTAAAAACCATATATAATTAATTAATTCAAATATAATTTTTTTTATTTAATTAATAAATATATTTGATTATTATACTTTATTTTGTTTATTAATAATAAATTGGTTGCTTATTTGTATAAAATATTTTTTTTTAATTTTCTTACAGTAATATTTGCCAATGTACCAAATAGATATTCATTATCAAACTGAAGAAATTGATTAATTTTTGCTCGAGTCTGCAAATCCTTTGGATAAAGAGAATCATTTTTGGCATATTTTTCCACTAAATACTGCGATATTGCGTGACTAAAAATAATAAAAAAAAATTTTCTTATCTACAATTAGGAATAAAAAATATTAAATAAAAATATTTTAAAAATTTTTAAATAAAATACCTGTCCCAAAGAATAAATCCATTATCATTCAAAGTGGGAATAGTGTGTTGTGGATTTATCTAAAATTTTATAGAAAAAAAATAATTTGGAGAATAAAAAAAAATTTTAAGTTAAAAAAAAAAATGTTTTTTGAATTTAAAAAAAAATTATTAAAAACCTTAACAAATTCTGGTTTCATATTTTCTTCAGTATGAAGATTAATTTCACGAATTTCTAAATCAAGTCCAATAGCTGCTGCTGTTAAAAAAACACCTCTACATGGAGGGCTTATATCTGTGGCATATAAAATAGGACGTGGCATTTTTCTAAAAAAAAAGTAGAAATTAATTTAATTTTAATTAATTTAAATTTTATATTATTTATTATTTTAAATAATATTATTTTTTTTATTATTTTATTTAAATTTAAAATTTTTAATTTAATTTTTTTTTTATCGTTATTTACATTTATTTAAATTCATTAAAACTGTATATATATATATATATATGTTATGTAATTTTAAGGTAATTGAGAATTCACAAATTTAAATTTCAAATCAAACAGAATGAAAAATAAATTAAATTTTAAATTTTCCAGAAGAAAATACAAATTTTTTTAATATTTATTTATACGTAATTTTGTAAAAAAAAAGTACCTTTTTTTATACCACGTTACATTAAAAAATAAAAAATAATTAATTAAAAACAATATGTAGTAGAAAAAATTTTACTAAAGAATATTTATCCATTAAAAATTATTAAAGTGGAAATAAATAGTATATTCATTTTGGTAATTAATTTCAAAATTACAAGTTTTATATTAATTTATAAATATCAAATATTTAAATTTAAATAAATGAAAAACTTACAATTTTTTTTTTAGTAATAATAGTTTTAAAAAATGTATGCTTCTTCTCTTACAGTTCACTTTAAAATGAATATAATCATTCATACAAATTGCAAAAATTAACATACAAGTATAATATATTGAGAATCATTAATATTAATATTAAAAATAATATTAAAAATATTACGAATCATTTTCATATTTTAAAACAATTTTAGTATAGAGAAAAATTTTTGCAATACAATTTTTTATATTATTATTTTTATTTAAAATTTTTTTTTTAATATGCCTCTGGAATAAAAGAGAAAATATTTAAATTTTCAAAATTAGAGAGAATGAGGCAAGATATTCGTGAAAAATTGTTCCACTAGCTGATTTCCAGGTGCATTTTTTTCTGCATAACTCGGAAGATTTTGTTCGCATGTTTTTAGCCAAGCTCGCATGTTTGGATATTTGTCCAAAGGCCTTATAAACTAAAAAAAAAGAATTGGAAAATTTAATTATTTCACACATAGGTTTCAATTTTTTTTTTTATTTTTTTTGAAATTTCTTTTTAATTAATAATTTTTATTAATAATTTAAATTGAAAAATTTAATTAAAAAATTTCTTTACTATAAGACTGGAAAGAGTTGAAACACAACTAATATCAGCCAACGTGTAAGAATCGCCAACAAGCCATTTTTTTCCTTCAAGGTACTTTTCAAAAATTTCATATGCATTGTTCAACATGTCAATTTTTTCATCCGTGACACAATATTTGCCACTTAAATACATTGGTCTCTATAATAATTTTTCAAAAATAAATAATAATTATTATTACTATAATAATTACTATAATAATTATTATTAATATTATATAAAATAATATTATATCAATAATTTCTTACAGCAAGGGCTCTCATTGTACCAAACAAATATCCTGTTTCAAAATGAAGAAATTGATCAATTATTGACCGAGTCTGTAAATCCTTTGGATAAAGAGAATCATTTTTGGCATATTTTTGGACCAAATAAACCATAATTGCATGACTAAAAATAAAATTTGTTTATATTAAATTAAAAATAAAATATTAATTAAAAATAAAGTATTTTTACCTTCAATTAAAAATAAAGATAATTAATTTAATTTTGTTCAATTATATCATTAATCAATTTTTAATTACCTATCACAAAGAATAAATCCATTATCATCCAAAGTGGGAATAGTGTGTTGTGGATTCATCTATATAAATTAAAAAAAAAAAAAAAATTTTAGCAAAATAATAATTTCAAAAATTTTTTAAGTTTGAAAAATAAAATTGACAAAAAATTTAATTTGTTTGAATTTTATTTAATATTAATTTTTGACAAACCTTGATATATTCTGGTGTCATATTGTCTTTTGTTTGAAGACTAGTTTCGCGAATTTCTAATTCAAGTCCAATAGCCGCTGCTGTTAAAAAAACACCTCTACAGGGAGGACTTCTGTTCGCGGAGTACAAAATAGGTCGGGACATTTTTCTAAAAAAAAAAAAATATATTTTGTTAAATTAATTTTTTAAAATAATATTTTATTAATTTATTCATTAATAAATTTTAATTTATTTTATTTATTTAAATTATTTTAGACTATTATATTCTACTAATTAATTTATAGTTTTCATTAATCAACAAATTATAAAAAAATATTTTTTAGGCAAAAAATTATAGAATTTTTTATTTTAAAAAATTATTTATTTAAAAATCGTTTATAGAAACGTTGCGTACTTCAGCTTCGTTCTTTTTGAAGATATCACCTAATTTCTTTTAATATCTTTTTTCTTCTCTTAATATGTTAAGATGCAATAACATTTTTATTTTCTTTATAAAATTAAAAAAAATTAAATTTAATTAAATAATATTAAATAAAATTAAATAAAAAAAAATTTTAATTGAAAATTAATAAAAAATTATATAAAAATAAATAAATAAAACAAATAATATAAAAAATAAATAAATAGAAAGTTCTCAAGGAGTACTTTTCTCGTAGACAATGGAAAAATGACCTCAAGATACATTTATTAGTACTAGTAAATATGCACACAGAAACCGATTTTTAATTAGTAACACATATTTTATTCTTTTTTGAATTTTCTTATTTATTATTTTTTATATTAATTGTTCAATTTTCAAATTTTTCAATCCTTTATACATAAAAATATTTATACTGATAAACTCTACTCTATATTGATAAAAATTTAACAAATTTTAATCCTTTCTACAAATTTAATTATTATTAACTACTTAAAAAAATGTGAATATGCATGATATAATTTCATTAAAAAATACCACGAGAAAAATTTTCAACGATGCTGAAGTACGCAACGTTTATATAAACAATTTTTAAAGAAATAATTTTTTAAAATGAAAAATTCTAAAATTTTTTGCCTAAAAAATATTTCTTGTAGTTTTCATTAATCAACAAATTATAAAACAATATTTTTTAGGCAAAAAATTATAGAATTTTTTATTTTAAAAAATTATTTATTTAAAAATCGATTATAGAAACGTTGCGTACTTCAGCTTCGTAATTTTCCATAAATATTATTTTATAAAATATGCAAAAATAATAAATAAATTTAAATGAATAATAAATTTTTAAATAAAAAAAAAAACTTACGAAGTTTATCACAATGATGATATTAAGAAAAAAAAATTGCGTGCTTCTTCTGCTGCAGTTCTCTTTAAAATGAATGAAATCATTTAATAGAATCATTGAATCATTGCATTCATTTTAAAAGGAACGTAACATTTAATACAAGAACCAGAATCAAATTTTTTTTTTACAAAAAAATCTATATTATATATAATTATTGTATTACATAATAATATATAATGCAAAAAAAAAATAAATTTCATTATCATATTTAAAATAAATCATCTACAATTCTCGTTATGTAAATTTCATATATGTTCAAACAAGATATATATAGGTAATATCATCATTTAGATTATGCAACAATTACCTTGAAACAATTATTAAATGACAATTGAAGAAATTAATAATAAATAAAAATTTGAAAAATTTGTAAATTCAAGGAATATATCGAGAATCATTAATATTAATATTAAAAATAATATTAAAAATATTACGAATCCTTTTCAAATTTTAAAACAATTTTAGTATAGAAAAAATTTTGCAATACAATTTTTTATATCATTATTTTTATTTTATTATTTTTTAAAATTAAGTTAATTATAACTTCAGTATATAAATTTTTTTTAATATCCCTCTCGAATAAAGAGAAAATATTTAAATTTTCAAAATTAGATAGAATGAGGCAAGAGATTCGTGAAAAAATTATGCAATTGCTGATTTCCAGGTGAATTTTTTTCTGCATAACTCGGAAGATTTTGCTCGCATGTTTTTAGCCAAGCTCGCATGTTTGGATATTTGTCCAAAGGCCTTAAAACCTAAAAAAAAAGAATTGGAAAATTTAATTATTTCACACATAGGTTTCAATTTTTTTTTTTATTTTTTTTGAAATTTCTTTTTAATTAATAATTTTTATTAATAATTTAAATTGAAAAATTTAATTAGAAATTTTCGTACCATAAGACTGGATAGAGTTGAAACACAACTAATATCAGCCAAAGTGTAAGAATCGCCAACAAGCCATTTTTTCCCTTCAAGGCACTTTTCAAAAATTTCATATGTATTGTTCAAAATGTCAATTTTTTCATCTGTGACACAATATTTGCCACTTAAAAACATTGGCCTCTATAAGAAAAGTTTTTTAAAAATAAAAATAATTATTATTATTACAGATATTAGAATTATTATTATATCAATAATTTCTTACTGCAACGGCTCTCAATGTACCAAACAAATATCCTGTATCAAAATGAAGAAATTGATCAATTTTTGACCGAGTCTGTAAATCCTTTGGATAAAGAGAATCATTTTTGGCATATTTTTGGACCAAATAAACCATAATTGCATGACTAAAAATAAAATTTGTTTATATTAAATTAAAAATAAAATATTTATTAAAAATAAAGTATTTTTACCTTCAATTAAAAATAAAGATAATTTATTAAATTTGTTCAATTATATCATTAATCAATTTTTAATTACCTATCACAAAGAATAAATCCATTATCATCCAAAGTGGGAATAGTGTGTTGTGGATTCATCTATATAAATTTAAAAAAAAAAATTTTTAGCAAATAATAATTTCAAAAATTTTTTAAGTTTGAAAAATAAAATTAACAAAAAATTTAATTTGTTTGAATTTTATTTAATATTAATTTTTGTATTGGCAAACCTTGATATATTCTGGTTTCATATTGTCTTTATTTTGAAGATTAGTTTCGCGAGTTTCTAATTCAAGTCCAATAGCCGCTGCTGTTAATAAAACACCTCTACAGGGGGGACTTATGTCCGCGGTGTACAAAATAGGTCGGGACATTTTTCTAAAAAAAAAAAAATATATTTTGTTAAATTAATTTTTTAAAATAATATTTTATTAATTTATTCATTAATAAATTTTAATTTATTTTATTTATTTAAATTATTTTAGACAATTATATTCTACTAATTAATTAAAATTGATTAATTAGCGTAATTAATTTAATTTAATTCATAATTTAAAGAGAAAAAAAATTATTCTGATTTTTATTGAAAAAATTGGAATAAAAGAATCATTCATAAGATAAATGCTATTCACATTTTTTATTGAGTCTTTATCTCTTTTTGAAGATATCACTAATTTCTTTTAATATCTTTTTTCTTTTTTTAATATGTTGAGATGGAATAACATTTTTATTTTCATTATAAAATTTAAAAATATTAAATTTAATTAAATAATATTAAATAAAATTAAATAAAAAAAAATTTTTATTGAAAATTAATAAAAAATTATATAAAAATAAATAAATAAAACAAATAATATAAAAAATAAATAAATAGAAAGTTCTCAAAGAGTACTTTTCTCGTAGACATTGGAAAAATGACCTCAAGATACATTTATTAGTACTAGTACATATGCACACAGCAACCGGTTTTTAATTAGTAACACATATTTTATCCTTTTTTGAATTTTCTTATTTATTATTTTTTATATTAATTGTTCAATTTTCAAATTTTTCAATCCTTTATACATAAAAATATTTATACTGATAAACTCTACTCTAAAATTGATAAAAATTTATCAAATTTTAATCCTTTCTACAAATTTAATTATTATTAACTATTTAAAAAAATGTGAATATGCATGATATAATTTCATTCAAAAATACCACGAGAAAAATTTTCCATAAATATTATTTTATAAAATATGTAAAAATAATAAATAAATTTAAATGAATAATAAATTTTTAAATGAAAAAAAAAACTTACGAAGTTTATCACAGTGATGATGAAAGAAAAAAAAGAAAGAAAAAGAACTAAGAAAAAAAAATTGCGTGCTTCTTCTGTTGCAGTTCACTTTAAAATGAATGTAATCATTTATTGGTTACTGTGATTCGTATATGATATTATATACACGATACTATATAGAATCATTGCTTTCATATTTTAAAGGAACGTAACATTTAATACAAGAACCAGAATCAAATATATTTTTATAAAAAATTTCTATTATATACATAATATTATATAATAATAAAATGCAAAAAAAATATATTTCATTATCATATTTAAAATAAATCATCTCTACAATTCTTTGTTATGCAAAATTTCATATATGTTCCAACAAGATATATAGGTAATATCATCATTTACATTATGCAACAATTACCTTGAAACAATTATTAAATGACAATAGAAAAAATTAATAATAAATAAATAAAATTTTGAAAAATTCGTAAATTCAAGGAATTATATTAATATTTTCTTTATATTTAAAGAAAGTTCTTATAATTATTAAAAATATTCGTTAATAGAATAAATCAATAATAAATTTTTTTTTCAAATTCATTTATATTTTCTAATTTTTTTTTTGAATTTTTTAAATACAACACTAATTAAAAATGGAAATTCTTTTTTTGAATTTATATACAATTTTCATTTTCAAATTTCATCGGGAAGTACACTTTTTATGAATCCAAGAACCATTTTCCTTCCTGGTTCATTTTTCTCAGCATATCCCGGTAGAGTCTCTTCACATCTCTTCAAATATGCTTTTATATTTGGATATTTGTCAAATGATCTCATTGCCTGAGAAACAAAAAAACAAAAAATAATAATTTGTTTTTTCATTTTTTTTATAATTTATAAAATAAAAAATTTACCTGTATAGTAGATATAGTAGTAGCAATACTTATATCAGCCAAAGTATAAGAATCGCCCACTAACCATGTGCGACCTTCTAAAAGTTTTTCTAACGAATCATAAGCTTCATTTAATTTTGCAATTTTGTCATTTGAAATTTTTGGATCTCCCGATAAGAGTCCATACTGAAAAAAAATAAATACAATGAAAATTAAATTAATCAATAATTATAATTGTTAAACAAATATTAAGAATATACATAAATTTTTTTTATAACTTACGAAAATATTTCTCATAGAAGAAAATAAATATCCATTGTCAAATTGCATCATTTGATGAATTTTTGCTCTCACTTGTAGATCTTTTGGATAAATTGCCTCGTTATTGCCATATTTATCAGCCAAGTAACAAATAATTGCATGACTAAAATTAAGAAAAAAAAAACAAAATTAGAAATTTTTTTTAAAAAATCAAGTATTTCATTTTTTTTTTTTCTCTCACCTGTCCCAAAGATAATATCCATTGTCATCTAAAAGTGGAATTGTATGTAATGGATTCATCTAAAAAAAAAAATTACTCGATACAGATCCTCAATTATGAAAAATTTTGAAAATATTTATTTTTTAAAATAAAAAATTTTTTATTTAATTATTAAAATTTTTTTTCAATAAAAAAAATTTACCTTCATAAATTCTGGCGTAAGTTGTTCACCTGCTTGAAGATTTACTTGACGAAAATCTAAAGCAACTCCAAGGGCAGTAGCTGCCATTAAAACTGCTCGACATGGAGGACTTGGATCCGTTGTGTATAATATTGGAGTCGTCATTTCACTTCTATAAAAAAAAAAATATTATTATTTAAAATTAAAAAAAATTAATTAAGGTAATTAATAAAAAATTAAAAATTTGGAAATATTTTTCTAATCTTTTTATTATCAGTAGATAAATTATGTTTTAAATTCAGGATTCCTACAGACCCGAGTAAACCTTGAAAACCTGGAAAATAACCATGAATTTTTTTTACAAGTTTCTAGAAAACCTGAAAAATATCTTAAATTTTAAAAATGTGTCTAGACAATTTTTCGATAATGCCCCCTTTAATTTAGTTCTAATTAAAATTTAAAAACAATTAATAATAAACAACAATAAAATTTATATAAAAAAAATTATAAAACTGATAAATTAAAATTTAATTTAAAAAAAATTTGACTCCCCAAAAAATAAAACGCGAACTGCTAAAAATAATTATTAAAATAATTATTTAATTAAATTTTGACCTGGAAAATCTGGAAAAGAACCGGAATTTTGTACCCACATATTTTCTATAGGAACCCTGAAATTTGTTTTTTAATTTAGTTTAGTAAAAAAAATGTATTTTAAATAAATAAAATTTTAATTTATTTATTGAATATGTAATAAATAAAAAAATAAATAATTACTTATATAGGATTTATATATGGTTTTTTTTTGTACTTACATTATGAAATATCAAAGTTAATAAATTTTATATTCACTGAAAAATTTAGGAAGTGAACAAGCTAATTTATATTGCAAGTTCTTGTGGTACGGGAAATTTACAATTTTGACATAAAACGATAAGTCATCAATTGTAATGATATTGGATTATATGGTCTTTTGAGCACTAAATACATCCTTTGATAATATGTTTATGTTCACTGATTTAACCAGACGATTGTATAATTTTTCATATTCCCTTTAAGTAATTCTTAAATTAAATCCAATTCACCTTTTAAAAATAAAAAAAAAAATTCTCATTATAATTTTTTTTTTAATTTCATAAATATATTTACGAATTGGTATTTAAATTCAAATTTATTTTTAAACTTCATTTAATACTGCAAACAAAGCAATAATTAATAAAGCAGAAAATAATTAATAATAAGTTTAATAATTATAATAATAATAATAAAAAAAAAATAATAGTAATAAAAAAATAATAGTAAAAATTAACTAAAATATTGAAAATTTTATTTACTTATTTTATTTATTTATTATTATTTATTATTATAATTATTAATTAAAATTTTTTTTTTATTTTAAAAATATATAAATAAAATGACATTCCGAGTAAAATAAATAATTTATTGACTCGAATTTATAGGTATTTTTAAATTTATTTTTCAATAAAATTTTTTTTAAATGTTTTATGCAATATACATATTATACGCACATGTAAAATGCACTTATATGGCAGATACATTTTCTGTATAAAGGGACTTGCGCGAGCTTTCTCGTTCACACGTTAGTCGAACATTGGCAGTCTCTTGAACTATAAGTTCTTCGTTTATAATCACTTATTAAATTCAATAAAATAATTAAATTTTTAATTAGTGTTTTAATTTTCCACTAAAATTTTGCCAATGACAATTGAATTTCAAATATAAATTTTCTGAATTAATAAAAAAAATTTGAAACGTGATAAAAATATTATTTACCAAAAAAAAAAAATAGAAGCATGACATGTATTATAATCAAAAATCAAAAGAGTTTCGGCTTTAATGATATCGTAATCGATGTTTATTAAATAAATTAATCGTACCCGGAAAAAAGTTGTTATTCCCATTAGAATGGCGTGTCCGCTTGGAAATGGATTGTAAGTTTTTCTTTTTTTTTCGAAATTTTTGTTTATAAATCAAATTTAATAATAAATAATTTCAAAATAATTTTTTTTTATTAAATTAAAAATCATCAACTTTTGAAATTTAAAATATGGTAAATTTTTTAATTTTTGAAATAAAGGAATTTTAATTATTAATATAATGTTATTTTTAATTGCGGTAAAATTAATTATTAATTTGGGGAATTTAAAAAAATTTTTAAATTATATTTTCAGTGATGATTTTGGACAAGATGGAGAACAATTAACGGAAGGTCCAGGACTACTTTATGGAGAATATCTTCACCTTGATAAAATTCTCTCGGCCCAAAGATTATTGAGTGCAGAATATAATAAAGAAGTGCATGACGAGCATCTTTTTATTGTAACACATCAAGGTTCAAATTAACAAATATTATTTTAATTAATAAAATTAGATTAATTAATGTATATTTAATTAATTGTAAATTCTAATAATAATTATAAACTAATCAATGATAATAAAATTTATTATTATTTTATTATCATTATTAATAATTATTTAAAAAAAATTTTTAATTAATTAATTAATTTTTTAATTAAAAAATTTAAAAAGCAATTTTTTTTCTCATTTAGCCTATGAATTATGGTTCAAGCAAATAATATTCGAATTGGACTCAGTGAGAATGCTTTTCACATCGGAAAATGGACAAGAAAATTTACGGGACCAAGAAACTAATATGGAACAATCATTTGAAGGACTTGATGAATCAAGGACATTGGAAATTTTAAAGAGACTTAATCGAATCGTTCTTATCCTCAAAGTATGTCAAGTTATATCCTAAAGATCTATATTAGTAATTTTATTATGAAAGTAAGGGGTCAAGTATCTGCTTGATAAATAAAAAGTTCAAGTCAACATTCAAGATCATTTCGATATCTTTAAACTATTTAATTATTTTAATAATTATTTAAAAATTATTTAAAAATTAATTTTTTGAAAATATTTTCTATAAATAAAATATAATTTCACAAATAAATTAATTACAAAAATTTAATCCGTAAAAAACTAATATAAACTCAGGTAAATAATTCTCTATCAGTTCTATACTAAAAATATACAAATTTGAAGATTGCATCTCTTATCTTATCATTAAAAAAAAAAAAAAAAAAAAAAAAAAAAAAAAATGGATTCATTTTGAGAAAATTTAATCTTTTATTAAATGTTCCACTAATGAAATTTTTGTTTTTCATTTCGGAAAAAAAAGAGACACTTATTAACTATACATTAATTTTGCAATGAATCTTAATCATGAGTAAAGAACATGATATGACTAGTGTTGCCACTATATAAACCATTCATAACGCAATCGTTTTGACGTAACTCAAGAACATTTTCACATTTTTCCAGTGTCAATAAAATTTATAAAAATAAAATTTCTCTAATCAGAATATATAATTAATTCTTTTATTCTAGTAAATATTATTCATGTAAAATTTGCTATTAGCAAATTTGCTATTAGCAAATTTTTGAGTTGTTTAAAAATTTCATTTTTGAAAAATAAAAATTATTTTTTTTCACAAATTTTTTGCAAAATAAATGCTTCTAATCATATTTGTGGATGACAATGAAAAGAGTGTTTTGTTCCGAGGGTGAACAACCCGTAAACGTGAAGCCGATTAGTCAACTGGAGTGTTGAGGGTGTCCCCTTACCATTGCAGGGGTTCTAATCGAATTTCTCTCCGCAAATAACGAGCAAACTAAGCAAAGAAATGTTTTTTTTTCACCTATTTTTTTTTATTTTAAATAAAAAAAAAAAAAAATAAATTGGGTCAAGGTATCGTGATAAATAAATTTTTCATATACATATAAGCTCATTTGTTATGGTTTTTGATTGGTGAGAACCCATAGTGCAAAATGGTCACTCCACAGTAAATTGAAAGGAGACACCATTTGACGATATTGGATACCAATGAGTGACACTGGCCAGTTCTTATATCTCGTTAGGTAACCATCCCATTGGAGTTCTTTTATATATACCACAAAATGTGGTTAATGCAACTGTAGTCATTTCATCTCATTCCTTGTACTACAAAAGTATTATTAAATATTACTTAACAAAAAAAGTAATAGAAAAAAAAAAGAAATAGAAAAAATGAAAAAAAAATAATAAAAGAAAAACAATGCAAAAAATAAAATAAATAATATTTTTTGATAAATGGAGAAATAATAAAAAAAGAAAGAGAAATCGAAATATTTTTTTTAATCAAAAAATTTTTCTATTGTAGAATTTACGAATTTTCTTTTTTCCCCACTTTATTGTGTATAGTTGTACTTTAATTTTCTCAACTCGCGAGAAAAGGAAGAAGCCCCACATATTAGTGTCTTGTATATACAAATGTACTTATTTAAAAAGTGAAAATATTTCCCACACACAATAGATAATAATTAAAATATAAATTTTTGCAATATAAAATTAAATAAAAAATTTTAATTTAAAATTTAATTTCATAATTAAAAATACATTAATTAATAATGTAAAAATTATTTAATTTCACAATTTAATAAATATAATAAAAAATTTATAATTTTTAATTAAGAATAAAATTTTCAATTTAATTAAAAAAAAAAAAAAAAAAGTTAATTAATTTAATTTTCAGCTACTTGTGGATCAAGTGACAATTTTGGAAACAATGACACCATTGGATTTTATGGCATTTCGCGATTATTTGTGTCCAGCATCTGGTTTTCAATCATTGCAATTTCGATTATTGGAAAATAAATTGGGTGTAAAACAAGAGCATCGTGTAAAATATAATCAATGTTACACACGAGTTTTTGGAAAAGATCCAAAAGCAATAGAAGCTATTAAAAAATCAGAAATTGAACCAAGTCTCAGTTGTTTGGTACAAAGGTGGCTGGCACGAACACCTGGTTTAGATTCAAATGATTTCGATTTTTGGGGAAAATATAAAAGAGCTGTCGAACTCATGTTGGATGAGCAAAAAGATGCAATTGATGTAATTCAATTTTTTTTTTTTTAATTAAATAATAATAATAAATGCAAATAAATATTTATAAATAATTTATTACTATTATTTATTTTTTAAATAATAATATTAATTATTAATTATTAATTATTAATTATTAATTATTAATTATTAATTATTAATTATTAATTATTAATTATTAATTATTAATTATTAATTATTAATTATTAATTATTAATTATTAATTATTAATTAATATAAAGTACGAGAATAAATATTATTTTTATTTTCAGAAACAAACAAACGAGCAACATCAAAGACATTTAATGTCAACATTATCGTCACGTCAGGCGGTTTTTGATACAATTTTTAAGGAATCATTGCACAATGCCCTTGTGTCGAGAGGCGAGAGAAGGTTCACATTTTCAGCATTACAAGGAGCAGTGATGATTACTCTCTATCGTGATGAACCACGATTCAGTCAACCACATCAAATTCTCACTGCTCTAATGGATATTGATTCTCTTATCACAAAATGGAGGTGTAAGACACCACTGTTTAAAAATTTTATTTAAAAAAAAAACATAATTAATAATAAAAAAATAATTCCCCCAAAAATTAATTAAAAAAAAAAAAAAAAAATCTAAAAATTTGCAAATTTTAGTCAAAATTCATGATTTTTCAGATAATCATGTCATTATGGTTCAGAGAATGATTGGATCACAACAATTGGGAACTGGAGGATCGTCTGGATATCAGTATCTAAAATCAACTCTAAGGTAATTTAATAGTAATCAATTTTATAAATTTTATAACTGATTAATTCTTTTCTTTTTTTTTTAAAAAAAGTATGAAGCATTATATTTATTTAATTAATTAGTCAAATATGTAATTAAATAATTATTTTTATCAAATATTAACGGTAATATTATTTTCAGTGATAGATACAAAGTTTTTTTGGATTTATTCAATCTCTCAACATTTTTGATTCCACGACCTTTGATTCCACCGTTAACAAAACAAATGAAAACTAAATTATCAATTGGTTGGGGCTGTTGGGTACCAGAGGATGAGCAAAGCATCTCTTCAAATTCCGCAGAAGCGTCATTATGATGATTTTTTTTTAGAAAAAAAAAATTCATTCAACTATTAATAATAATAAACATTGAAATTTTTAAATAAATTATTTTATATTTCTATTAACAAATTTATATATTTTAGATTGTATACAGAAAAAAAAATCGTAAGCAATTTTTTAAATTAATTTTCCAAGGTTATAAAAAAAGTAAAAAAATATGAGTCTTCAGTCTATAAAATTTATTGTTTCAATTTTTCATTAAAACAATTATTGTTCTTAGTTTCATTTTCATTAAATCACATCAATTGAAGAAACTTGATTTGCAATTCCTGAAAAAAATAAAATATAATTTTATTTGAAATTTTATATAAAAAAAAATATATATATATTTATTCATAAAATTTATTATATACAGATTGTGTTCAATTAGCATTATGCTAATATAGTTCATTTAGGATTAGTTTCCACGTATTGTATATATATAAACTAATAGTGTAAATTTGTAGAAATAAAAATTAAATGAAATTGCGTTAATAAAATAAAATATATTAAATAAATAGTAAATAATACTGTTAATCATCTGTTAATTAAATTAAAAAAATAAAAAACTAAAAAATTATATTTTACTAAAAATTTTAAATTTTAAATTATAATTTTTTTTTTTTTGAAACAACACTCACCACACATATTGTTACCAATAGAAATATATAAATAGCCGTTATCACCGAAAAATGTTCCCCATGAATTTCTCACAATGTAAAAAGGAGTTGGTGCTGAATTGTCATATCCCACGATTTGCACTGCATGATTTAAATTACTAAATGCACCATCGCAGTGAAATTGAATCACTCCGCCGAGATAATTTTGCCAAGATAGGGCATTGACTGCTGCTGCAACTGGTCCATGTGTTGCAATTGAATTTAAAAGTTCATCTTCCGCACCTACAAAACTAATAAAAAAAAAACATTTTTCTTAATATTTAATACATTTTTAAAATTATTTATTTATTAATTAATTATTTAAATTACAAAAAAACAATATTGTTGCAAATATTATTATACTGACTGCAATAATGTCAAAGTGTTATCTTAGAAAGATTTATATTCCTTATTGTGGTATAACAATAATGATTATAACCATCAGACAAAATAAATTATAAACTCAAATAAAAAATTTTAAAAACCTAATAAAAAATAATTTTCTAAATTTAATTATTTTAGGTTTAATTTAACAAAAATTTGCAATAAATTTGTTTAAAATTTTATTTTATAATTATTTGTTTATTAAAAAATTGAACTTACTTGTCACATGTAAATTCCGTTATTTTTATTCCCTCCGTTTTCGAAACTGTTCTAAAAATTGTATAATTTACATTTTATTAAAAATTTAAAAAAAAAAATAATAATTGAATTTAAACAAATACTTACTTATTAAATTTACATTGATCGGTCCTTCTTGTAAGTGGATATGAAATTTCTGGGAATATTTTGATTTTTGCTTTCAACAACCAATTGAGAAGACTACAAATATCACCACCGTCACATCCTAAATTTCCATTTCCCGCACAATCAATCATCTAAAATAAATAATTTATATAATAAATATTTAAAAATAATTAATATAATAAATATTTAAAAATAATTAATATAATAAATATTTAAAAATAATTAATATAATAAATATTTAAAAATAATTAATATAATAAATATTTATTTAAAAATATTTTTTAAAAATATTTAAATACCTCTTGAACACTAAAAGAAGTAAGACTTCCATTTTTAATTGCAAACATTGTTTCAGCAACTTCAATTGTACTGAAAGCCCAACATGCTCCACATGTTCCCTGTGCTTTTACAGGTGTTATTAAATTTTTTGTTCGCCAATCGAATTTTATTGGAATTTCATTATTTATTGTTCTTTTCAATCGAACAGTTACTCTTGATAGTGACATTGATTCATCCGAATGATGTGAATGATAATGTGGACTTATCACATGTTTTGCACCTCTCACCGATATATCAGGTCGTAAATGTAATTTCAAAAATTCCTCCTCACTCAAATCCGAAAATTGAGTTAAACCATAATATGCACTATTCTCAGATGTTCTCATTTCATTCATTTTATTGATGTGTCGTAAAGATCTCTGAAAAATAATTCAATTTTTAAAATATTTAAAAAATAATAATAATTAAAAATAATTTTCAATTTATAAAATACTTTATAGTATATGTTACACATTGGCGATAAGGTATATCAAATATCAGAAGCCCTTGTGAAAAAACGAAGGGCGCACAAAAACAAGTTTATTTCAACTTTCACCGAAATTAAGTAAAAAATTTTGCTTAAAAATTTTATTTTATTAAAATTAAAATTATTTTATTAAAAATTAAATTTTAAATTTGCTTTAAAATTTGCAAAAATATTTTTATTAAAATTAAAATTATTTAATTAAAAATTTTATTTTATTAAAATTAAAATTATTTTATTAAAAATTAAATTTTAAATTTGCTTTTAAAATTTGCAAAAATATTTTTATTAAAATTTTCTTTAAAAAAAAATGTATAAATACTTCTGCAATTGAAAAGCAGATTAAAAATTATATTTATCTGATTCAAAATATATATATACATATATCACAACTCACCTGAAATCGTTGAAATCTCTTATCATATTCATTGGGATTGTGTCTATATGATTTATTAAAACGAACGACGTATGATTTAAATAATTTTAATTCCTGATCGGAATTATTATTTGGACCAATTCGAATGGGCACAGCAAAAAAACACAAACTCACTATTAAAATTGTTAATACCACTGTTTTCCACTGCATGACTTCACAACAGCCATGCAAACATGATCATCAAGTCTGTCGATGTGAACTGACTTATATGCTTAAGAAAAAAAAAAAAAAATTCAAAGCATCGTATTATAAATCCGTACACTGCATGACTCAACATTTGCTCTCACTGATAATTAAATAATGTTTATTATTTTTAAATAAAGAAAAATTATTTAATTTCTATTTTTTGAAAATTATTAAAATTTACTGGCATTTAAATAATTAATTATTGTCTAATTATTTAAAATCAAATTTTTATTTAAATCACAATTAAATTAAATAATTTTAAATAATTAATTATTGTCCAATTATTTAAAATCAAATTTTTATTTAAATCACAATTAAATTAAATTTTACTTATTAAGACATAAAAAAAAAATTAAATAATTGTTTCCAATAAACAAAATTTTATGAATTTAAATAATTGTCTGCCCCTGTAAAACATTCCAGTTCAACACCGAATTTTTAAAATTTCGCGGCACATTCGCTGGTCTTTATTTTGACTTGCCATTGCATCCGGTTTTACGGTTTCCGGCTTCTATGGCTCTTTTTCTTTTCTCTTTTTCTCTGGACACAGAAACATGGCTGCACGCTCAATATCAAAGAAAAGGAAGGTTAGTTAAATTAATGTTTAATCCAAATAAAAGATAAAAAATACAAAGTGTCACGTTTTCTGTGGTGTTTCATTTTTCATATTTTTTCGAAATATCACCAAAAAGTGAAGTTTAATATTGCAGATGACAGGGATAATTTTACACTTTTTTATAACCTATAAAATGTTATGTTTAGCATTATTGAATAGTAAAAACAATAAAATATAAATTCAAGTGATAAGTTTTTATAATAGTGTCAAGTGTTTATCAACAAGAATAATTAATTTTCATTGTTGATAATTGTTTTATTTGTTTACTCAAAGTTTGGATTGATACGCGGATTTAAATGACATTTTGAGGTTATGTATGACCTAATAACAAACTGACGTTGAATGTGAATTATTACTTTTCTTTATTTTTATTTAATTCTGAAATATTTTAATTAACAAAAAAACAAAGTAGTTTGTATTTAATTACTAAAAACTAAAAACACTTTTTATATACGAAATATTTTGTAAAGACATAAATTTTTTTTTGGGAAAGATGAAAATCTGGAATTCGTGCACCAAATTATAATTAGAATAATAATAATTCTATTAAATTATATTAATAAACGAAATTTAATTTTATTTCAGTTTGTTGGAGACGGAGTCTTCAAAGCTGAGTTAAACGAGTTTTTAACTCGTGAACTCGCTGAAGATGGTTATTCAGGAGTTGAGGTACGCGTTACTCCACAACGCACTGAAATTATTCTTATGGCCACACATACCCAAAGTGTCCTCGGTGAGAAAGGACGCAGAATCAGAGAATTGACTTCTGTCGTTCAAAAAAGATTTAATTTTAAGGATCACAGCGTAGAATTGTACGCTGAAAAAGTTGCAACCCGAGGTCTTTGCGCTATTGCTCAAGCCGAATCATTGAGATATAAATTGATCGGAGGTCTTGCTGTTCGAAGGTAAATTTTATTTCATGATATAAAATACTATTATATTCGTCTAATTGGAAGAATTAAAAAAAAAAGCAGTTTCGAAATTTATTTCGTTTTCTAGGCGAAACATTTAATTAATTTTCATTCATTACTTTTTAGAGCTTGCTATGGAGTTCTCCGATTCATCATGGAATCGGGTGCTAAGGGATGTGAGGTCGTAGTTAGTGGTAAATTGAGAGGACAGCGAGCCAAGTCCATGAAATTCGTCGATGGACTTATGATTCATTCCGGAGAACCAACGAATGATTATGTTAATACCGCTACACGGCACGTACTCCTCAGACAAGGTAAATATTTTATAACATCATTTTTATTTGAATAAATTATATTAATTTGAAATTAATATTTGAATTATCTCCTTTTTTAAAAAATCTAAATTTATAATATATATTAAAAATATATTACAAATTTAAATACAAAAAGAAAATATAATTTAATTTATAAAATACTTTAAATAGTTAACATTATTGTCTAATTTTATTTTTATTTTTCAGGTGTCTTGGGAATTAAAGTTAAAATTATGCTTCCGTGGGATCCAAATGGCAAAACTGGACCTAAAAATCCATTGCCTGATAATGTTTCGGTTGTTGAACCCAAGGATGAAGTTTTACACTCCCAACCCTCATCTGAAATTAAAGCAGCGAAGGATCTTCCTCCAGCTCCACAAATTCCCGTTTAAATTAAGTATGTTCAATGTTTTGCATTGTTCATAATAAAATTTAAAAAAAAAACACACATTTCTCTTATTTTTTACAATAATCCTAGAAAATTCACATTCTCCAGAAAATTAATAGACAAAAGAAAAAATAATTTTATATTACATATAAAAGATTAAGGTATAAAATAATAAACAATTTTCTTTTCTTAATAATTTAATTATAAACTGTGTAAATTTATAAATAACCACAGTGAATAATGAACATTTACAATTAATACAAAGTGTAAAAAGAAGGCCAGTAATAATATAAAATGAAATTTTTAGAACAGACAGTTTTATTTTTGGTTTCATTGTTGAAAAAAAAATTTGAAATGTATTATAAAATTTAATTATTGCTGAAATAAAAATAATTATTTCTAATTGTAGATTATTTATAAAATAGAAATTAAATTATATTAATTTAAATTTTTTTATGTTAATGTAAAGATACATTCACACTTGTTTAATTAATAATAATAATTAGCATTTTATTAACTATATAAACACACTTCACGTTTGTGCAAAATATATACGATATTATTGGAAATTATTGAGCAATAATAATAATAATAATAATTTAACATATAATTCACTGCAAAAATTTATTATGGTCATATTATGTTTTTAAATTAGAAACATTTAGCGTAATATTTCATTTTATTGTACAAAAAAATATTTTCAGTACGTGCAAAATATTTTTCACACTTTAGTCAACAATGAATTTATTACTAAATACTAGTTTACAAAAGCTATCCAATATTAATTTTTTCGATAAAAATATAAACTGTCTGATCTAAATTATTAATATGATAAGCAATGAAAAAGATCTGTTGAATATAGACATTAAGACAAATTCTTTTTTTTTTTTTATTTTTAAGATTTAAAATTACGGTAAAAATTGTAAATGTCTAGCATAACTAGCATTCGATTAATCACTTTATTTGAAAGTTACGCCTAGTTTAGTTTTAATGAAAAAGAAAATACTTGACAATAAAACATCCAAGAAACAAATTTTTATTAATATTTACTCTCTGAATAAATAGGAACTATCAAATTATTATTTTCGAGAGTAAATTTTAATATATTTAAAAAATTAACCCCTAAAATTTAATCTTATAGAGAAATGGACAATTTTAATTTCATCGAAAAAATAGCAACAAGATGAAATTTTTGACACAAAAACTTTTCTCAATTACTTCTCTTTGTTGTAAAAATGTTGTTTTTTTAAAATAATTTCTATATATATATATAGATTATTATTCACAAAATTGTTTTCAAGATTAATTTGAAAAATAAATTAAGAGAATAAAAAATATTGGTATAGCTTATAATGCAAACAGCATTAAGTTTCTCAGTGTCTTTCAATTTGAAATGTGCAAGTATCACATTACGTGAAATGTCTATAACAAATTTGTGGGGCTTAAATTTAAGACATCACGTATACAAAAATCCTTGACATTCCTCACAGACATTATATTTATATTTATATATATATACCTAAAACACGATCAAGGAACATTTTAAAATTGTAATCGAAATTTTAAATTGTTCCTCAAAATGAAAAATTTACAATTTTTTCCCCTCTCCAATCACGCATTATTGTTGTTGTTGACGAACAGGTTCCATCATTTGAAGAAAATGTAAGAAATAACTTAAAACACTTCTTATAATTGGAGGTATAGATTGTTTTGCAGCAAGACTACTGATTGAATTTTTAATTTCATAAAAAACGTTGCGTGTATAGGGATTTCGTCTTGAATTGAGACGTAATCTCAAAAAGTGGTAATAGATAAATGGCGTTAGTAAACCGGCACGACCCCTAAAAAGAAAATTTATATAATTAAAAAGAAATCTAATAAATTTTTTTAAAAAATAATTTTTATTTTATTTTTATCATAATACTTACGAGAAAACTAAAAATATTGAAATTGGCATTAAAATGACCTCAGTCAGTGCAATGAAACGTAAAATGTTGCCTGATTGAAATTCCACCAACGAGATCATTAATCGTGCTGCCCACATGCGATTTTGACCTATACACTGTGAATAAAAATTATATAATTAAAAACGATGACCAGAAATTAATGGTCTATAATCAATTTATATAACAATCTAATAATAAATTACAAAAAAAAAAAAATACTACTTACGTCGAGCAGTGTGAGAGAATAACTTGAGAAATGAAGTAATGCGAATAAAAATATGGGAATAAGAACCACTATTTTTTTTAATTAAGGAAATAAAATTTCTCAATAGTAATTAAAATAAAATTATTTCAAAGATTAAATGAAAAAAAAAATTGTTATCCTATATTTAATATTTTGAATAAAATTTTGTTCATTTGAACTCTTTTTTTTTACCACAGAAAAAATAATTTTATGCAATAATGCATTGAAAAGGATACACGCTATTGGAGAAGCATAGAGGAATATTGATGCATAAAACAAATAATGGAATGAATCTTCTAAACACAGCTCTGCAAAAAATGCTGCTGAAAATTGAATAGGTGGCATTCTTTGATGCAGTCTCAATGCATTGATTGCTGAATTACTAATTAACGCTTTATAGTATACATTGTAGGGATTTCTGAAAAAAAAATATTTACAATTAGAAAATAATTTTTTTAAAAATGAAATATAAATATAAAATTTTTTTTTAAATTGAATAAAATTGACATAATGTATAATTTTTCATTTAGGCCTATACTTTCTTTTGAGATAAAATGTCTGAAGGCTAATACAAAATAATTGGATGAGCCTTGATGGGAAAATCAATAACACTTTTATTGATTTCTTTCATGTTTATATTAAAAACTGTCCTCTTATAGGCATTTATGAATGAAAAATAAAAAAAAAAAAAACAAGAAGAAAACAAAAAAAAACTTACCCAAATATAGGAATGAAATACGCTACTGTAAAAAGTATAGCGAGTAGTCTCAATGCCCATAATCCAGCTTCAATTTTATGTTCAACCACATGTTGTTTCAAATTTGCCCATCCTCTCTCAGGTTGTGTCGTAGTCGTTGGCTCTGCCATAATTCTAAAATTAAAAGTGAGAAAATTTTATTACTACTTTTGTTTTATCGTTTATCCTTTCACTGAATCAATCTTAAAAGATATACACACGCGAGCAGAAATGAGGACGTGTAAAAAAAATTCAAATCACGAGGTTTTTTAATAAATAGAGAACATTTAAGAGAGCGCAGTAAACAGAGTGACAAGGCAAATTAAAATAGTATTAATAATGTCCCTGATTTTAAATTATACAATATGAGAAACTTCTTTTAATTTATTTTTAATTTTTTTTTTTTCAAGTGATGTGTGACGTTTACAGAAATGTTGAAAATGAACGGTAAAATTTTAGACTTTGGAGCAGGTAAAAATGTACTTACCTTGGAGATGAGCAATTGTTATAGGTTAATATTTCACTTTAAAAGCTCTTCTTTATTAAAATAATTACTTTTATTATATGTACAAAAAAGCAAAAAAAAAAAATAAAACTTTCTCAACTGTGATCACTTTTATATAAATATTCACATAAACTGCTATGAACGTCCGTTTATTGCAATTAACGATATGCAATTTAATATTTGATCAACCGCTTTCGCTTTTCCACTTCTATGAGCTGTTGCTGGCTGCTGCTGAGTTGCCGTGTTTTACATTTGAAAGTCAAGCATCCGTCAACAGATAGCTCTGCATTTATGTTTTGATTTTGTTGTGTAAATGTCAAAAAAAATTTTGAAATTTTTTTTTCAAAAACAAAACAGTTTAAACTCAAATAAAAATATAATGAAGAAATATCTTTTAAATAAAATAAATGTAATATTTTACATAAATATACAATAAATATTTTAATTTAATTTTCAATATTAAATATGATTATCCATTTATTTATAATTGTAAATAAATTACAAAAAAAATTATTTTTTTCAGAAAAATAAAGAGAAATTGTTGGTTTTATTTTTCAAAATTGTCATATAAAAAGACTATAGGGAAAATTAAAATTTTAAATTGAAAAAAAAAAAACGTTTGGAGTAAAATTAAATATATATATGTGTTGTAATATATTATTGCTGACGTTTTTTACGTGGAATAACGTTAATAAGCATCGACCGAAAGCAGTGAACGAACTATTGCAGTGTGATTCCTTTCTAAGCTCAAAAGAGACCACACAACCGTTTTGACAATGATACTCATCGCAGGTTCGGCTCTTGCTTTTATCGCGGGTATTTTACTTTTTCATAAACCACGAAATAAAATGATATTTTTTATAAATACAATTATTTATGAAATTAAATACAACACTATGGGAGTACAAGAAATTGTCAGAGAATTTGTATTTGCAAGATTCAACAAAACTGGTGAGAAAATAATTATATTTTTGAATAATTAATTTTTTTTTTTAATTTACCACACATTAATTTAAAATGAAAATTATCTAAATATAATAATTTAAATCAAATAAAAACATTAACTAATAATTTTATTTGATTTTTTTCTCTAGAAATTGTCCGTGACCTATATTTTATTCAATTTCTCATAATTTCTTTAAAAATCGAACTTTTATTATTTTATATTAAAAAAAAATAATTTTTATAAAATCTTAATTTATTAAAGAAAATATTTTTTTACAATATTTATTAAATTTTAATGCTGACAATATGAAAAAAAAAATAACAAATGTTCCAACATTAATTCGGTCAACGAGAAAAGAAAGTTATACGAAAGTTGTGAAATAAGATTTTGGTTTTTAAAGAGAAAATGAAATATAATTTTACTGTAATATTTATTTTTTTAATTTGTAAATTATTAAAACTAAATTTCCAACAAGAATAAAAAAAATTAATAGAAAAAAAAAATTTATAAATATTCGATATTTTATTGAGAAAAATGATATGTGGTAATTTTAATAATTAATTAAATTTTATAATTTTTTTTTTGTTATTTAAAGATTTACCTCAACGAAAGGGAAAAGTGGCAATAGTGACAGGTGGTTCTCGAGGAATCGGATGTTTTATTGTAAAAATGCTAATGCAATGTGACATGGAAGTAATCGTTGGTAATTAGAATTTTTTTTTTTTTTTTTAATAATTAGGACTTTAAATAAGACAATTTTTTTTAATATTGTTAATTATAGCCTGCAGAAATATTAAAGCTGGTGAAGATGCTGTTCGAAAAATCAGAGAATCAGGCGTGACCTCAGGCACTGCAAAAGTTTATCATATGGATAATGCTAGTTTGGAATCTGTTCGAAAATTTTGTCGAGAGATTAAAAACGATTACACAAGAATCGATACTTTAATAAATAACGGTAATAATATTGAGAAATTTTAGAAATAGTTTTCTATATTTTTTTTTCTATATTAAAAATTCAAAATTTTCATCCAAAACGTATTTTAAATTTTAATATTAATTTTTTTTTAATTTTCAGCTGGCATTATGTTTACTCCTTATTTAAAAACCAAAGAGGGCTTTGAACAACAATGGGTAGTCAATTATTTATCACATTTTCTATTAACATCATTATTATTACCTCTTTTGAAAAATTCTGGAAATTCAAATGAAAAGGCAAGAGTAATTAATGTCACATCTTGTGCTCATTTAGTTGGGACAATTGATTTTAATCATGTGGATGATAGGTAAATAATGTTTTTATTAATTAAAAAAAAATTTTTTTTTTAATAAATAAAAAAAATCTTGTAAATAAATTAAATTTAAATTATGTATCGTAATTTAAGTTCATGAAATTTATATTTCATTCCTGATAGGAAATTTTAGATAACAGAAATGTAAATTTTCATTTACATTCTTAAAAAATATATATATTTTTCTAATATTCTGGGAAATTATAATTTTTTTGCATATGGTCAATGGGTCATTCAAATATTACATAAACATATTTTCAAGGGTTCCTTCTCCTTTAGATACTTACGTAATACTTGAATAACACCTTATTAAACCTGTTTTCTATACATAGTACTAAACTAATTTATATTATTAAAAAAAAAAAAGAAAACAAAAAATATTTTTAAACAAATAAAAATTAATTTTCCAAAATATATGACTAATGATTTTTATAAATTTTTCACAGTCAAGGATTTCTTAGAAAATTTGCCTACGCTCGAAGTAAACTTGCTCAAGTTATGTTTACAAAGACAATTCAAGAACTATTTTCCAATAAAAATTTACCAATACAATCTTATGCCGTTCATCCAGGACTTGTTAATACAGAAATTTATCAACATACAAGCATGAGGCATTTAAAAATTTTATTTAATATCCTTTTTAAGGTAAATTTGGGTTTTTTTTTATATGAAAAAAATTAATTATATAAATAAGCAAAATAAATTATATATGAAAAATTAATTTCAGACTCCTGTACAAGGAGCGACACCAGTTATATACGCAGCTGTGAATAAATCAATTGAAAACAAAGGTGGAATTTATATTACAAATTGTCTAGAGTGTCCAGTAAATTCTGAAGCTCACAATTCAAAAATTCGAGATCGTCTATTTAAACTTTCCCTCGAGCAAGTTCAACTCAAAGACTTTTTCGAATCGATTAGTAATTAAAATTCATCGTATGTATATTATTTTTGTACAAATTATCCATTCCTTCCATGTCCGATAAAATCAAATATGCATTTATTATAATATTACAGTATTAATTTTAATAATGTTAAATAAAATAATAATATATTAAAGAAATTTTTAAATAAAAAAAAAAAATTTGTACTAAATATTTAATATAAAATAATCTAATAATAATAATTATTATGATTATTATTATACTATATTATATTCTATTTTTTATAAACGATTAATAATTTATTTTACGACATCGAATTTTGTAAATTCGAAAAAAAATATTTTAAGGGGACCAATAAAATTAACAGTTATGTTTTCAAATAATTTAATTATAAATGTACGCCTACATTTGTAGCAAGTGAGTGTGTTTCATTACGCCGTCTAGCGTTAGCATATAAGTAGAATCATAAATCTTTAAAACATTCGTACCATTCTAATTTTTTTTTTTTATGTATATAAAAAACACTTATTCTCTCAAACTTTTCAATGTTCACATGCATTTCATAGTATAAATCGTGAAACTCATTGTAAATCAATAACAAAAAGAAAAAACAAAAAATGTCACGACTTTTTTAATAATAAATATTTTACTATAGCGCAATATCATAAATGCGTAAAATTTCATCGAAATTTTTTTTTTTTACAAATAAGTCCCCTTCAGAAAAATCTCAATGCAGAGAGGCACTAAACTTGGTATTACATATTAATTCGCAAATGTTCCTCAATTTCCAAACGTTATTACATTAACAATAATTTTTAATTAAAAAAAATTTTTTTAAACAATTTAATTATTAAATTAATTAAATATCAAATTAAATATTTGAATCGAATAAATATAATCGTAATGTCATAATCGTTTGGTACTCGAGGACTTTAAGTCTTTGATTATCGAATCAAGAAAGTAATTTGACAATTTTTTTTTTTTTTTGTTATCGCAGACTTCATTTCAATATTTTTGGAAAGTCTTATAGTTTTGTATATTTTATTGACGATTCGAATAATCTTATACAATTAATATATTATGTATGTAAATGGAAGATGCACGAATTTTTATCTAATTCTTATGTGTGCAGACAAGGGGAATCTAAATAAGTGTTTTCATGAATAAAACACTAAATAGATTGACAATAAATTTGAAATTAAATATTTATAGGGACCACGAAATGTGATATACATATTATAAATTACGCGGTATTTGATACATTAATAACGACGATTATCATTTTCGACGAATAAGCAATTGTTTTTTTTTTTTCTTACAAAAAATTATAATGCCCACAAAAAGCCGCTACATTAATTTATTGCAATGTAAATTAAATTATTTTTTTTTCCTTTTTTTGAATTGATATGTCTTTTTTTTATAACTGTATATCTTCATTGAAATATTATCAGGAGAATATTGCAATGAAAAAAGTATTTGTCATTTTTTAACATAATAATTAGCAACTCGAGAGAATTACTCGCAACATTGAAAACTTAAACAATCAGCGATTTTTATACAACAAACTTTTAAATTCGTTATTTTTAAACAATTTTCATAACAATTCACTTTTATCAATTACCAATATAAATGGATTATTTTACTTAAAATTTTTTGTTTTTAAATAAAAAATTTATTTTTGATAAAGAAATAAAAATATGTTCTTCATCGTAGAACGTACAAAGAAATTAAAGTATTTGAAAGAAAATAGAAACAAATTGCGTCGTTTATATTTATAAATTATAAATCAATTGAAGCAATAATTTGTCGCAAATTTGTTAACTAATTCTTTTTAATAATTTCAATATTTTTTGTAAATTGTACATAATTTTGTAATTGTAATTAAAAATCATCACTCATTTCTTTTAATATATAATTAATTAACAAATTCGTGGCTACGTTTAGCTTTATTAGACTTACAAAATTATTCGATTTTTTTTAAACAAATTGTATTTTTAAACAATCTAAAATTATATGAGGCACTGCGAAATGTTTAAACAGTTAATGTTTAAAAATAATTTTATTTAAAGTTTACTTTCGGCAAAAATAAATAAAATTAAACACAATGTGCATTTTTTTTTTCAAAGGCAAACATTATATCAAGAGAGTGAACTTTTGATTATTATTATACTATTTCTAAATTTTTTGAACTTTTACAATTGGTCGTTGAAAATAGAAAAGTTCGCTATAATGCCTCATCTATAATTTGATAAAAAAATACAAAATGTGCAAATCGGAGTAAAAAAAAAAAGGAAACTCATGAAATTACTTATAGCACCAATCTACATGTCTACTTTAATAAATAAGTTTCAAAAAATTACGATTTCGATAAATTGTTACATGTTCTACTTTCATATATCGTTTTTAAGTTTAGAAATTTATTACATACTCATATACGCAGTAATTGCTAATAATGGAGTATATTCAATAATATTATCTACTAATAATAGATTGACTAAAAGGTTCATTTTCGTTGTTACCATTTAAATAACTTTTACAGTTTTTTTTTTTTTTCCCAAAAGATCACGCAATCATTCATCTTCGGTAACAATGTAACTGTTTTGCGATGAGTAAACAAATGTAACGATTGCGTTTGCATAATATAAATGACGAATATTTTCGTACAATAAAAAGTTGACCTTTTTTTTAATCTTAAATGTGTGTGAAGAGACTAGAGCAATGATTTAACAAAAAATATAATTATATATAATATATGTAATCAAAACTGCAAGAAGAAACTCCCAAAAGAAAACTAAATCACAGTCAAGAAGAAAATATATATTCTCAGTCAATTTTTCATTTATCAAATAGTTATGAAAAATCTTTTTCAATAAAAATAAAAAACAAGTATAGCATTATTTTTTTTAAATTGAAAAACAGTCGTAAATAACATTTGAATATGTAATTTCATAAAAAAAAAATCTTTGAAATACTATTCATAATTACTGATTTTTAGAATTTAAGTCTTGATTACGAGAAAAAGAAACGTCGAAAATCATCAATTGTTATATAATTGCTAATTTTTTGTGAATTATATAATAATTCAAAATCATTGATGATTAACGACGTTATTTCTTTTATCTTGTGCAACATAACTAATAAGCCTTTAAAATAAATATATACCCACTAAAAAAAAAACTAAAAATGCTTAAATGAATCCAAATTACTAGCTTTTAGCTATAATAAATGGTTATTTAAGCAAGATTCAAGTAGGCGATAGGAAATTATTTTTAGTCAAGTCTCAATTAATTAGAAATTAATTCTACCTTCTAGAATTGAAATCCTATGAAAAATTAATTTAAACAAATTATTTCGTACCGCCTAAATAAATTTATACTCAAAGTAATAATTGAAATTGAATGAAAATACAATTTGTAAATTTCAATTCCTCTCAATAATATTTTCGAGTGAATTAGAAAATTGCAAGTGATGTGTAGGTAGAAAATAGTTTGAAGTTGGTGTAGAGAATAAAGCACTTTGGTGAATTTCCATAATTAATGGAACAACCTTGTCAACTGAAATCTGTCCCTTGTTTTTCTTTTTCGTTAATAAATCAAGCAACTAAATAAATATTAAATCACTTAGGTAAAACGACCGCATCCACAGTTGGTATAATCTCCTATTGATGTTGTTTTTCCTTTGATGGAAGTTGTATTCGTTTCATATCGCGGTAACTCCTTGCAACGTGCTTGCTGTAAAGAAAAATTTAACAATTTAATTAAAATAAATTTTAATTCGCCAATAATTTGTTATATTAGAGAAAAATAAAAAATTCACCTCCATAAGTTCAGCTGCAATTTCCATAAACAGCCTTTCAACATTTTCTGCCTCCTTTGCCGAAGTTTCTAGAAAATACATACCATGACGTTGAGCAAAATCTTCGCCAACATGCGTCGGTATTTCTCTATCTTCACGATCAATTTTATTTCCTGTAAATTATAATTACCATTTATCAATATAGTAATTTAATAATGGAGAAAGTAGGAAAAAATTATTTAAATCTATTATATACCGACCAACTAATATCCTCAGTACTTTATTACTCGCGTATTCTTCGATTTCTCTAAGCCAATCAGGTAGACAATCGAAAGTTGGTTGACAAGAAATATCATATACTAAAATTAAAGCATGAGCAGATCTATAATAACTTTGAGTAATTGAACGAAATCTCTCTTGTCCTGCTGTATCCCAAATTTGTAGCTAAAACAATTACATAAAATTTTTATCTTCGTCAAAAGAAAAAATTAACCATTTTAAAAGAAATAAATTTTTCTTTTTATTATTCATACACATATGAAAATTAGAGATGTACCTTTACTTTCTCATTTTCCACTCCGACAGTTTTTATCATAAAATCAACTCCAATCGTTGCTCCTTGTCCAGGTGGAAATAATCCCTAAAAAAAATTAGAAAATATTTAATTTAAAAAAAGAAATGATACATGAAAGCAAAAAAAAAAAAAATTATCTTTACATATATTTCTTTTAAGACGCGCATAGAAGAAAAAAGAAACTTTTTTTTTATCCTGACATACTTCTTAAATTAAGCATCAAATATTATATTATGATAGTTGCTTATCTAACTTTCATCGATTTTTGTTCGAGATAAAGGTGTGTAATCACATTAAGTATACTAACAATAAAAAAAAAGAGACAAGCATTCTGCAAAATATAAAAAATGATATGTGTAAGAAAAAAAAATCAAAATAAATAATAAAGAGAAATCGTTTATGTACAGGTGAAATTTAATATAATGAAGCAATAATACTCACTTGAGTGAATCTTCGAACTAGACATGTTTTACCAACACCGGCATTGCCCACAAGAACAACTTTAAACAAAAATTTATAATCTTCCATCATTTTTAACAACACTCCAAAAAAAAAAAAAAAAAATCAGAGTGATGAAAAAATTATTCTTTATCGTTGCATTTACAGAACTAAAAATGCACAAATTATCCTTGAAATTTATCCTTGATAGATTATTGTAAAACACATTAACTTTTTTCAATTTCTTGATCACTGACACTATTAGATTCTTAAAATGATCGCATGATTCGTTACGATTGGTTAATAATCACTGATAAACAATCAACAACATACACTGTAAACTTATAAAAAAAAAACAATCTGACAACGGTAAATATAGCAGAGTCTGTGATCTGTCATCAGGTCATCACGTCTAAAGATAGGGAGTGAAGTCAGACTTATATAGTAGAATCGATTCACGAGATTCAACATTTTCCGCGATTTATTGTGTGGGAAATTCAAAACATTTTGTTAATAAATAACGGCGAATTAATTTATTTAAAAAAATATTAATTTAGATTGTTTTTGACAATCTAAAAATGATAAATTTTTGTTTTAACACTCTCAAATGAAAATTTAAACAATTATAAAATAATTTATTATTTTTATTTTATAATTGTCAAAGTAATAAAAAATAATTAAGTAAATTGGAATTAAAATCATAAATTATTATAGTTCCTTATAAATTATAATCATCTTCAAGTATCTCTTTGTTTTTTTGTATGAGCTTAAATAAATATTGTTAATCATTTTATTTATTCATTGAAATCAAAAATCAAACTAAAACGAAACACTAAATTATAAAAAATCCGGCCTCAAATCGAAGAGACACTTTGTTATTATGCATTTGTTGTCACACTTATCGAGGGCATAACAAACAAAAGTCGAATATAATTAATAAGAAAACCAGAGTCAAGTGTGTGATTTCAAAATATAAACATTATAACCTCTAACAATATTTGATGGAAAGTAAAAGAAAGTTGCAAAAATTCACTCACCGGTGTTGCCCAGCATCCACCAACTGAAAAATTAAACATACATATTTATTAATTACAATGCTCATTTGATTTCTAAGAGTACATATATACACAATTAATAATGTTAACAAAATTTGCATACCTTTGGCGATGCTGAGAATAAACATAGCGATGATTTTCCTTATAATAATCCTTTTGGCGCTCAATTTTAACACTCACTGACACAATTATTTCCACATACATTTTGCACTTTTCTCATTAACAAAATTTCACTAATTCACTTAAATAAATACACTAAAAGAACCAAAATCTCATTATTCTTTGGAGAAATAATGATAAAAACACGTATTCACTGTGAAACACTGCGACAAAGAAACAAATGATGTTTAGCGACAATTTGCATAACCTAAAAATGACACCATCCTGATTTGGCAACAATGTCACACTCCCGAATAGCGCGGAATGTAAAGTAATTATCTGAAAGTGATAATTGAATATTGACAATTACTTTAATCACATTAATATCTAAAATTAACATCACTGATTATTCTAAAACTAGCGAAAATAATTGCACAACTGAAACTGGTAACCGCCAAAGACAAGAGAAAATTTTCTACTGTTCAAATTTCGAGAGTATCGAATGGTCGTAGCTTTTGCGCGCACAACTTCAGACTGTTCTGGTAATTTCGATTTATTTGGCGGCAAAATTCAAAATTTATTTATACGTAACAATAAATATTTATTATTTATTTTGAATGTAAAATTATAATATATTGACTATAATTATTATTTTATATGAAAAATATATTTACTAAATAAAAAGTTTCTTTATAATTATAAAGAATTATTTATATTGCAAAAATGTTATATTTATTTACTAATTTACAATTTAAAAAAAAAATAAGTTAAATATCAAACTAATAATTAATTAACAGAAAAATATAATTAATAGGTACTATCAATGAAATTTAATTTGTTACAAATTGTTCTTTTTAATTGTAATTTAATATTACTGATAAATATTAAGATTAAAATTTAATAAATTAGATTTAAATAGAACATAATTTAAGTAATTTTCTCTACTAAACATTTAAATTAAAAGCTACAATTTATTTTTATTAGCAAAACTTTTAAGTAAAGTATTAAGACGATTAATTTTTTTTAATTTTAATTTTCTTTAAATATTAAAAATGAATTGCTTATTTTAATTATTTAATTTTCTATTAGAAATTTATCAGTTTTTTTTAATTCAAATATTAACAAATAATTTAACGTAATTGTTCATAAAAATTCTTATTCTAATTAACAATTAGGTAATAAGGGGAAATTATTTATAAACAAAATTGACATTTTATCTTTTTATTATAATTAAAAAAGTAAAATACAAAAATAATGTAAATTACTTTTTGCCGGACAATATGATACCATCATATTTCTGCTGGAACCATTTCATTGCGTCTTCTTTATTCAGCCTGTGTGGAGCGCCAACTTTTCCTGTCTTTCTCCTCCTGTGAGCTACATTGAATCCTGAAAACAAATTTTTTCAATTTTAGAAAAATACTCTTTTATTTATTCAAATTATAATTGTAATAAAACAATATTCTTTCTTATTAAAAAAATCAAATAAAACATTTAATCAGTTAAGAATTTAAATATTTATATTCTATTAATATTATTTATTTTATTTATATTGTCGCCTCCATTAAGTAACACACCCAGTAAAAGAAGTGGGCATGGGTTGCAAATAAGAAGCTTTTTCTCTTGCACATGTTTTATAAAAAAAACTTTAGATAAAGCATAAATCAGCAGTGTCTAAAATACCAGAAAATGTGCGAAAAAAAATAATAAATTTTTTTGTCAGAAAAATCTTTAAACATACCAGGTCGACCTAATACGACGTAAAAGTCCAAACCGTAGATTCCAATGCTTGGATCGTATTTAATTCCCAAGTCAATGTGTTCTTGGATTCCAAAACCGAAGTTTCCAGTGTCAGAGAAATTCTCCTTACGCAATTCGTATTCTCGTACCTAATAAATAAACAAACGAACATTATTGTTATATTATAATAATTAAAACAAAATTTGTAAATTAAATCGAATGATAAATTAAAAATGCATAAACAAATGCAAAATAAGTAAATAAAAACAAATGTTTTTTGTAAATTTACTCACTTTCAAACCACGTTCAAGAATTTCCTCGGCCTTAGCTCCTCGAACTGTGCAGTGTACGGCAATTTTTTCATTCCTACGAATACCAAAGGAACGAACAGTGTATCGAGCTTTTGAGAAAACTGGTTGTTGACCTGTCAATTGTTCCAATACCTAAACAAAAACAATGTTTTTTTTTTTAATGTTTATTAAATCAATTTATAAAAGATTCAAACATAATTTATGTATCATTTAAGTTTGAAAATACAACTCCAAAAGTCAATATTATCAATTTAGAGGTTATGTTCCCTTGAATACACAAATTAGAAAAAAAAATTAACACAACAAAATAGAAAATAAATAAACTTACTTTGGATGCACGAGTTAATCTATCTCCAGACTCGCCAACACAGATATTTAAACATAATTTACGGATACGGACTTCTCGCATAACATTTTTTGATGGATCTTTAGGTTCCTTCTTGGTTTTATCTTTTTTCGCACTTTGCTTGGGTGGAGCTTTTGCCGTGTCCTGTAAAAATAAAGAATACTTAAATTTACATTTTTAAATAACAAAACTAAAAAAAAATTACGATTAAATAAACAAAATTAAAAATAGTTTGTCATATGTATAGGTTAAGTGACAACAAGCGTGACACGTCGTTTGTTGTTAAAGATTCACAACTATCACTGAGATAAAAACGATTGTTGATTATATAGAATAACATATATTTTATATTGTTTTCGAAAATTAAATAACCATTTTTATTATTGATTTCGATGATAATGAAGGATTTTAGGAAAAAAAATTGACAGACTTAAAGAAATAGATTTCACTCACCGCCATCTTGGAGAAAAAGAAATATTTTCCCAGTGCCCTCTAGCGGCGGACGACAAAAAACATGGCGACTTCCGTTTCCGGAAATTGACAGTATTTAAATTTTTAAACAGGTACTAAAAATTAAATAAAACATTTAATTTTATTTTTTTCCCTAATTAAATTAATTAAAAATATTAATTTATTGCAAGAAAAATAAATAACTAATAACTAATTATCAATAATGGAATTAAAATAAAATGCAAAAAAATACAAATGCAAATTATAATGGAAAAATATTCACTATTGTGCATAAGATTTTATCGTATTAGAATTTAAATATTCATGAAGTGGTATAAAATATTTTTTAAGTTAATAAACATTTTTATTTATTATTTACACGAAGTTTCCTTTGGTAAAGGGGATTTTTAAAGAAAATATGCCCTTTTAAAAAATATACGCAGTAACATTATGCGCAACAAAAATCTAGTTTTTTAAAAAATGTGTTTTAAATCAGTATTTACACACGCACATATCAGATAAATTTAAAAAAGAGGTGGGGTCGAATTACAAAGGTATTAGTTACTCTTTGACCTTGACAACATCCTCTCCTGCCAATCGAAACCTCCAATTTTGGGAGCCCATTTGGAATAATTGCATTGCATAATGTGTGTTATAAATAAAAAACAAAGAAATCAAATTGACCATTTTTTTCAATGAATTGTAGATAAAAATTTTTCATCAGTGCTGCTACCGTTTTCCATTAAGTAAGTATATATATTTGTAAAAAAAAAACAAATGTGACAGGTGCAATGCGTAAATAAAACCGTTTCTACTCCCACTTTTTTGGTGGAAGGTCGGCTGCGCGCGAGGTTATGTTATTGTAATGTCATTCAGTGTTTCGAGTCTTCCTATTATAAACGTGTGTGATTTTTTTTTCCTTACTTTTCCTACTTGTTTAATTGTATTTTTCTAACTTGTATTTTTTTTGATCACAGGAAATAAAGGCCTAGACGGATAAATAAACAATCATCGTATGTGAAGTGTGACAAAAAAAGCTACAATACTATTAGACAAAAAAGGTATATTTATAATTTGGTCCTAATATATTCGTTAATTCAATATCAGGTCAAGGCTTCAAGTTTTTTTTTTTTTTGATTTAATGAATTTCACGTGAATTTTCTATGTGGTTTGATGTTTTCTAAAAATTTTAAACTGGTGAAATATCGATTTCTTTTTTAAACTTTGTCATTTATTTGAAAGTTGGCACAAAAATTGTTTCCTATTTTTGTAACACAAGTAGAAAATACATTTTAGTCTCATATAACAACACGGGTTATTTATTATAAATTACATTTTTTGCAAATTTTTAAATAATTATAAATATTTAATTATTATTTATTTAGTTATATTAAAGTATTATTTAAGTACAATGTTTTAATGTTATTCTATATGTTTTAACAGGTTTCAATAAAATCATTAAAGAAACTACGTATGGGTGTGCAAATGCAAGAAGTGAACACACTTTTACTTTGTAAGTATTTGTAAATTTTTAGACGAATGAATATTGCGTAACTTGAATTATAATTAATCGTTTGTCTAGTGTTTCTTCTATACCAAATATGAATTGTTTTGAAATTATTTTCCACTGTTGTATAGCGTGATCGCATAAGTTTAAATTTGAATAATAGAACTGATGATATTTTATTTAAATTAAATTCATGTTAAATAATTGTTAAATTATATAGAAGAATAGTTATGAAGTTTTATTAATATTAAGGGAAATTTTTAATAATTCAATTAATATTTGGTTTTAGATGTACTTTGAAGTTTCTTTTTTCTGTAAATTTAATAATTCTTTTTTTTTCATTAATAGAATATTGTTATGAGTGGAGTATTATCCATGTACGATGGTTTGGAACAAGGGACTACTTCAAATAATGGTCCCTTGGAAACAGTTGAAGGAGCTCCTAAAAAATTATCCAGAGGCATTTCCCGTGCGACGGAAAATGATGCCCTTGTGAACAAAGCACGTTCTCAATTAGCTTCTGATGGTTTAGAAGCACCGGAATTTACGTTTTCATTGCCTGACTTATCAGTATATCCAGGTAATTTTAATTGAGATTTTTATCAACTCTCAATTATCAGGAATCGTTAAGAATTGACTTTTTTTCTAGAAAAAATATGATTTCTATTTTTAAATTTAAGGAAATAAAATTTCAATTCTGAATTATTAATATTAATATTATTCGTAAATGAAATTAATATTAAAAATTATTTAAAGATCCATTTCTTCAGTTTTTGGAGAAGGATCTATTTGAGGCGGGCTGTATGTCATCATTAGAGGCTGCTGGTCGGCTAAATTGGTGGTGTGGAGGAAAAAATGATGGATCGAGAGCACTTTGGCCTTTGCAAACTATCGGCGATGGAAATTGTCTTTTACATGCAGCTTGCCTTGGAATTTGGGGTTTTCAAGATCGTAATTTGACAATGCGTGAACATCTTCATAATATGCTTGCCGAGGGAAAATACCGTGACGCAATTTTCAGGTATATTAAAAATGTAATCTACATTAGTCATCGTTAATTGTTATCATTAGCTAATATTAGAAAACTTAACTAAATATAACCTAATCATTATTATCTGATTGTGAGTAATTAAATAAAATAGTTAAATTATAAAAAAATTTTATATTTGTATTTTAGGAGATGGAAATGGCGACAAACGACATTAAATGCAACGGCAGGTTTGGCATATACAGAAGCGGAATGGCAACAAGAATGGCAAAGTGTTGTTGACATGGCTTCGATTAATCCACGAAATCAAACAATAACGTCTTATCAAAGTTTAGAAGAGGTATATTTCATAGAAATTTGTCATTTTAATTTTTATTTATGATTCTTTTTTTTGTAGGTACACGTATTAGCTTTAGCCCATGTTCTTCAACGTCCAATTATAATCATAGCCGAGACCATGTTAAGGGATTCCGAGGGCGTTGCTTTGTCACCTATTAATTTCGGTGGAATTTATCTACCTTTGGAAATTCATGCTTTCGAATGTAAACGAACGCCTTTATTATTGGCCTATCATTCGGCACATTTTTCGCCATTAATCTCCGTTGCTAAAGGACAAAATAACGAGGAAAGAATTTATGTACCTTTAGTTGATCCTGAAACAGGACAACTTTTACCTGTACCATTTGCTGTTGATCCTGGACCCGAATGGGATTGGTCGGCATCTCAAGATTTACTTTCATGTTCACAAGATACGGTATGAATATCTTTTTAGTAAATTTATAGGCAAGAAAAAATTAAATTGTTTAGAATAAAATTGAGAAAATTAAGATTTTAATTCGAATTTTGTAGATGGAGATTTTAGTGAGGAAATATTTGGACTGTGAATATCAATTATTAGCAGTTGATGACATGGAACGTTTTTATGATGCTGATGGTTCGACTGTAAATAGAAATAAAACCGCAAAGCAGCTTTTAGATGTAACAAAACACTTTGAATCGTTCAGTAGATCGCTTAGTATGAAATTAGGATTTAATTCACACAAGAGACCAAAGAGCCCTCCATCGTCTTCGTCATCGTTTCCAACTGGTCCAATTGGCGACGGCGTTCTAAGTGTCAAAGTCAAAATCACAAGAATTGATTACATGAACCAAATGATACAAAATTATCTCGACTGCGCACAAGAAAGGTACTTTTTTTATATTAATATTAATTTCGTTGCAAAATTTGTAATTTTTTTTCTAAATATTCAGATTTTTGCAAGATCATCATTCGGATATGACTGGTACAGTGATGAATTACGGAGCTGGAAAATCCAAATTTTACACAGCCAGCGATAGTTGCAGTCACGCAAGTGTTAATAAATTGACACCGAGTACGAATTCTAATACTCCAGATGCTCTTTACCTGGCCAAGTAAGTTTAAAAATTCTCTTTTTCTTAAAATAAGATTTCAGTTCTCGGAGTTTGATAACTGTTTGATTTACAGTTCAACTTTCTTCGTAAAATCTTCAGAGGAGGCTGACACGCCGAATTCTGAACAATGGCATAATAAAAATACTGTGCGCAAATGTCGTAATGACAAATGTACTTTTTATGGAACTCCTGAACATCAACACTACTGTTCACAATGCTGGGCAAATAGACGACAACGTTAATCTGCCTAAAAAATTTTTTTTTATCTCTCCATGACAATAATCACCGTCTGAATTATCTAACCAGTAGGAATATATCGATATAATTATCTTTCTAATCGTATTAAATCGCTGTCTGACTGAATAGGTTTTTTTTTTTTTAAATGTAACGTCTTAATAATACTTTGCTTTATTTATTAACTATTACAACTTGACCGCATTAAATGAAACGTTACATTATTTTTATGATACGATACATATCTTTAATGACTCTATTAAGAATCTCAGTTTTCGGTATTATCAACAAATTAATATTCGATTTTCAATATAAGTAATATCATTCGACGAGATTACAATTTGTTTAACAAACAATTCTTCCATTGTTTGGAAAGAATGTCAATTGTTTCTGATTATCATTGTAAAAATGAACAAATTTACTTAAAACTGAGTACAAGTTTTAGCTGATAGCTTTAATATTATTCAAATTTTAATATAAATGGAATTTAAAATAAGTTTTATATAATCAAAGAGAATATGTTGGAAATTTTTAAAATTTCGTTATTCAAAAAAGAATTTTTTAAAAATAATAATTAGTCTATAGTGTTATAGTCACTAGAATTACTAGTAGTACTAAAAAAAAAAGAAGAAAATTTATCAAACAATACATATATATATTTTAATGAGAAATCTTAAAGTACAAAATTATCGATTTTTCAAGATATTGTTTTTTTTTTTAAAGCTACAGATTTATCGAACATTTTTCATAAATCGTGCCTTGTCTCGTAAATTTACTTTAGAATTCCACTTTATTCATTAATTCTCGCTTTATATCGTGCACATATATATATAAAAAAATATATATATTAATAAGAATATTGCATAATAATTTCAAAGATTAGCGCTACATAGTTTTAAAATCAAGAAAAAGATATTTAAGAATCACGCGACATTTCACGCACTCTCTTATATTATCAAAAACATATTTGACTCGTGCCTTGTCAAGTTTCAAAGAAATACTCCATACTAATATTGTGCTGTGATTATTCTTTTTTTTCTTTCTCTATTTCTTTTTTTTTCATTACTACATCTTGTAGAAATTAAAATAGAAATCTATAATTCATTAATTTGATTTCAATTTTCGTGTAAAACTTGACTGGTTTTTTTGTATTTATATTATGATTAATGAAAATTAAAATGCTAAATATTTCAACTAAAAAAAAATCTCCGTATAGTAACTTCAATATATTGTTCTTCGGATTCAGTCGTTCACAAAAAAAATAGTTGATCTACAAAAAAAACTCAGTAGTTTCACTTTGAAAATGACTGTAAAACTGTGTGAAAAATAAAATAATATTTTTATACAGTGCTTGGATAATTCTCTCTTAGTTTCCTCTAAAAGGAGTTTTATTATTTAGCGTTTAGTTAGTTTTCTAATTAATTAATATTATTAGTTAATTTAATAATAGGTACTTTATTTCAATTAAATGAAATTATTTTCCATAAATAATTTTTTAATTTTTAAAAATTATTTTACAATCTAATTTATTGGTAGTATATTTTTTTTTATAAAGAATTTTACATAAATATAGAAAATTGGATGTTCTCGTATATAGGATCAGAAGATTTAATGGGGAAGACGGCTGATATTATAATTTATGAACTAAAAAGATACCAGGTGCTTCAAAAGACTTTTCTGTTTTTTTTTTTTCTTACAGATTCTTGCATATTCCACTTGTAGCAAGAAATCACGTTCTTGTAGGTTCATCAAATATTTACAACGAGCTTCATTATGTTTTTAACAATGGTAAACTTTTATCTGGAATAGAGTCATTAATTTTCCACACAATAACCACACAATTGAGGTACGTATCAAAATAATTAATGAAAATTACTTAAAAGTTTCTCAGTTAAACATTTATCAAAAAAAATATGACAGAATATAAATTATAAAATTTTATTTTCTTTATTAATAAGTTTTAATTTAATACAGAAAATTAAATCCAGAAAATTTGAATTATTACTATTTTTTCTTTTATATTCTGAATTGAAAAAGTAAAATTTTTGTGAGAAGTAATAAATTGTTTATTTTTCAGGTTGCAATTAAAATATATCAGTTTGATTGGTTTTTTTTTGGTTTGGAACGCGTCTGGAAAAGGAAATCTTTCTCTTGGGTCACGAACAGACGCAAATGTATACCTATATATAGACAGTGAAGGATAATTCACGACTTGAGGCATCATGTATTCGCTCAGCAGTCGGGGGTGTAATTTGCGGGTTGTAATACCAAGCGCATCGTTTGTAACCCGCTCGCGACAGGAAGCCAGGTACACGATTGGAGTGAGAAACATCCCAGAGAACTATGTAACCACATCGTCGTCTTATCGGCCTGATGGCTCCCACTGGTAACTGTCCTCTCGTTGGCATCGTCCTGTGCCAACAGACGATTAAAAATTCAAAAAGTCAAATTTCAAATTCCATTTTATCGTAAAATCTTGAAATTTTTACTCTTTCAAGATCTTTAAAAATTTTATCTCACTCAAAAAACTTTATTTTACAATCCCTGAAAATTTTTTATAATTTTTATTGAATAATTTATTTCTTTTAATAATTTTTTTTTTTGTAAAATAATTAATTACAATTTTTTTTATATTTTCAGGACAAAAAAAAAGGAAAACAGAGAGAATTTTACCGGACAAGGAAATAAAAAGTAATTTTTGAATAATTAATTAGATATATTTTTGGAACGAGGGAAAAACGAAGGAGGCGTTTAATAATGCAGGGGTTTTATTTAAAAAAAAAAAAGGAAGATAAACTTTTTTGTTGGGGAAATCGGCTTGGCCGACATTTATGAAGTTCGCGGCGTCTTTTCTTTCCCGACAGGTACAGCTCTTTCTCACTATTCCCTGGAGACGAGTCGTATGAAGCGTCAAAAAAAAGTAGCATATCCAAAAAGTTGAAAGTACGTTCTTGTACGGATGGTTTTGCACGGATATTCACACACTGTGTGAAAAGTTTGTGAGTGTCGGGGAGAGAAAAAAAAAAAAAAAAAAAAGAAGTGGCGAGAGTAGGCGATTCCGAGGCCATGGAATAGGGGGTTAACTCGTCCCCAAAGTGCAGTAACCTCAGCGAAGAGACTCACCTTCTCTCGTGCGCGCTACTCAAGCCGCCAGGAGGACCTTATGACCCGTGCAAAATGTATACCCTGTCCTCATCCTCATGTTCTCTCTCTCTCTCTCTCTCTCTCTTTCTCTCGACCCGGATAAATCGAGCTCAGAATTTCATTTCGTATCACACTTTCTTCATCCTTCGCTTTTCAATGAATATTATCAATGATCTCAACGATTCCAATATTTTTATTTTTTATTAAAAAAAATATTAACAAAATTTTATAATTTTCATTTACATTTATAATAGAATCACAAAAAATTGTCTGATTTCTTTTTTGTAAATTTTCTATTAGAATTATTTTTATTCAATTTCTTTTTTTTATTATTATTTTAACAAATATAGTATTAAATTTTTTTTTAATATTTTCTATATTTATTATTATTTTTCCTTTTCTTTTTCGCAAAAAGAAAATGGAGTGAAATTCGATATATTGAGATTAGAATTTAGGTCATTTAAAGTCCATTTTTAGAATTTCATCAAAAATTGGAGGAAATAAATTTGTATGAAATGACAAAAGTGTCCGGTTATCGGAACAGTGACTGAAGGACAGGTGGGGATTAGCTATTTCCGTGGAGAGCAGTTGGGGTGGGGGATTGGGGGGAGGGAGTATAAATGGGCAAAGTGCGGAAGAATCGGATTTGGGGACAATTGCAGAAAAAGAAAAATGCTGCTTTATGAAAGTATCTTTCCTCTTCGCACCACCTTTTCTCTATTTCGCATTGTAACCCCTTCCCACAATCCCTCTTGGATGAAACTTCACTTTATACATTTTTTTTTCTTTGGAAATCGCTTAAGAAGTAGAACAAAAAAAGAAAAAAACTCTTTTCTTTTCCAATGTATCTTTCTGCGAAGACGGAAAAATGGAACAATTGATATCGAGAAAATGGTTTATTAACTGTTAAAAGTTTAAATTTTTCGTGAAATTGAAATATTCTTATTTTTTAAAAAATTTCAATTTCTCAATACTTTTTAAGTGTTAATAATTTGTTCTTTATTTTAATTTATATTTAATATTATTTTCTGACAGAGTGAGTATTATAAAATTTTTATTTTATGCATTATTAAACGCCTCAGAATTACGTAGATTTATTTTAATTATTTTTAAAATTGTTGTTGTTAATGACAACAATAATATTAAATTCAAAAATTTGAATCGACTTTCGCGGTAAAATTTTAAAATTGTGCGCAAGCGCATTGCAGTGTTGCTGATTTGACTAGTTTATATAGATGTGAAGTATTTTATCGCTTATATGGAATTCCCGGGTTTTTAATACTAATTTTATCGAAAATGTCCTTTATTTATTTACAAAAGATAGATTATCGTAATTAGTACACATTATTTTGTTAGCAATACATAAAATATAAGCCAAAAATCATAAGATGACGACGTAAGTATAAAAATTGTCAGAAAATTACTTTGTTATAGGTTTGGTTGAACAATTCACAAAATTTTCATTTATCGAATAAATCAATGATTTTTTAAAAGTTTTTTAGTAATTAGATAATATATTTTGTTTGTATTTATAAAAAATTAGATGTAATTTTTATTTTAAAGAAATTTTTTTTATAATTATTTCACATCTGCGCATGCGCAAAACAAAGTTCAATTGTTGATTTGACTAGCTGCCCATTCTTGTCGATCTTGTTGATCTTGTTGAACAGTAATCACATCATGTGATATTCCGAGTAATATTTTATTAATCTATTGCAAAATTTGTGTTATTTTCCAGTAAATGATCGATCATCGTAACTAGTGTACATTCATATACAGATAATGAATAAAATTTTGGCTGAAAATCGTAAATTGGCAACGTAAGTATGAAAATTGTCAAAAAATTCTTTTTTAGGTTAGGTTAGACAATTTACATTTATTGAATCAATCGATTATTGTTTTATAGCTCTTTTTTTTTAGTAATTCGATCATTTATCTTGTTGTATTTATAAAAAATTAGATAAAACTTTCATTTTAAATAAAAAAGTTTTAATCGCATTATTTCTCATCTGCGCATGCGCAAAAGTAAAATCAAGTTTCCAGTTGTTGATTTGACTAGTTGATCATTCTTGTCGATCTTGTTGAACAGTAATCACATCATGTGATATTTCAAGTATGATTATAGTAATTTGTTGCAAAATTTGTCTTATTTTCCAGTAAATGATCGATCATCGTAATTGGTGTACTTCCTTTTAATATCAATGAATAAATTTTTGGCCGAAAATCGTAAATTAACAATGTAAGTATGAGTTATTTTTTTAGGTTAGATTAAACAATTATCAAAATTTTCATTTATATATCGAATCAATCAATTAATGTTTTTAAAGTCTTTTAGTAATTAGGACATATATTTTGTTGTATTTTTGAAAAATTAGTAATTAACTTATTTTAAAGAAATTTTTCTATTACATGAGATATTTCACATTTGCTCATGCGCAAAGCAAAGTTGTTGTTTTGACTAGTTTATTTATATTGTTGACAAATAATAATTATCTATTGTCATTATTGAGTATTATTATATTAATTTAATGAAGAAATTCGTGTTATTTTCTTACAAGAGATTAATTATATAGTAATTAGTGCACATTTTTTTAATAATGAATAAATTTTTGGTCAAAAATCGTAAGTTCACGGCTTATAAAAGTTATCACAGTAACTTTTTTTTTAGGTTAGATAAAAAAACATGATGCTTTTTTTAATTGTGATAAAAATATCTTAAAGCTTTCTTTAAAAATATTTTGTCCTTTGTCAAATTTTTTCTTAGTGATGTGATATATTTTAAGTAAATCATAAATTATTGAAATATTGAAAATAACTACATTGTTATGGTAAATTGAATTTTTTTTTTCTTGTAAATGGAAATGAAATTTCTTTTCTATTTGCCAAAAATTCCCGAAATTCATCAACTCCATTTCAAATTGTCCTTTATCTATTTAATCTCCCTTTATTCACCTTTAATTGTCAGGCCATCGACATTCGATTGGCTTCAACCCAATATTGATGATTTCAAAATCAAATAATCCAATTCTAAAATTGCATTATCTGATAATTCGTAGGCATTTGCAAATGGATAAATCATTTCATGATATTTTGTCAGAAATATGTCATTCTAAAATACGTATATATTGTCATATTTATTATTTGTCGCTATAAATACAATTGAGAATTAAATTTTAATTCTTGTTTTAATTGAAATTTATTTTTAAAAAATTTGTAATTATTGATTAATAATAATTGAATAATGTGATTATTTTTACTGTCTAATTTGTAAATTTTAATAATGATGAGGGCTCGTTTTTTTTTATTTTTAGCAAGTCTGGAGCAATTCAAGAATGAAGAAATCGCAAGGGAATTGAAATTAAAATTAACGTCCCTGTGGGTCAGAATGAAAAGTTAGCTTTTTGCGATTAAAGCTTTTTTCTCTTCAAGTTGGTGACCACCTTACCCTGACGATTCTTGGTTCTTTTCTTCTTTCTGGTAACATTTGGTTGCTAAACTGCTGGATCTCGCCTCTCGATAGTGCTTTGCCGTCTGCCAAATGAAATTTTAATTTTTGATAAGGCGCCAGACGCCGTGACGTCCTTTCTTTTTTTTCCTGACCTCCCTTCTTCCTCCTCCTCAAACACTCTTTTACACTCTTCACTACCAACAGTTTTGTTCCACTTTCTGTTCACTTTGTCCTTATCGTTTTTCTCACAATATAGTTAAAGTTTACGTTTAGAAGGAAAAAGAAAAGCAAAAGTCAAACTTAAAAAAAAATTCATTTTTGGCATGACGTAAATGTAATATCGAAATAATCTAGTTTACATTTAGTTAATTTTGTAAAATTTAGTTTAATAATTGTTTTTATTTTTTTTAAGTAATGTTTTTTAAAAGTTATTTTTGTTTAAAAATTTTTAAAAATTGATATCTAAAAGAAATTCAAGTATTGTTGCGTATAAATAAGGAACTTATTATTTCATTATTCGGGAATAATTTATTGACTAATTTGATTTCAGGGCTAATTAATCTTGTGTGGTGGAATCGTTTTTGGAAATTTTCAATCAGAGCACCATCGACTGTCGGAGGAGGGTTGATATGCTTGTGGTCTGGTGAAACGGAGTGAGAGAGAGAGAGGAAAATCGGATAGAAAATGCAAAAGAAGAGAGCGAGAGAGAGAGAGAGAGATGACTTCCATAGGATTGAACGAAAACCAAGTGCAGGGGGGAATTACGTCATGTGTGAAATTACAATCACCCTCAACCCTCCTTTCTCGCTAATGTGTTCACTCGCCTCGCTTCAATATATTCGTATCCTCTTGTTATACCTGTACATATAGGAATATTGTACCCTCATATTCGGATATTTTCTGAACAAAAAAAAGGTATGTATAGCGAAAAGCATCTAAGAGCTTTCGTCAAAAAAAAAATAATCGTTCCTTATTCTTTATCTCTCAATTACGTATATTTTTAAAAAATATTCAATTTCTACACACAAAAAAAAAGGATTTTTAAAAAAAAATAATGAAAACCAGAATAATTTAAAAAAATTAAAATTATTTTAAAATCACATTCAATTTTTCCTTTTTTTTAAATTCAATTTTTATTTTACCACGAAAATTTTTTTTTATTTCCTAAATGGATTTTTTTAAAATAATGTTTTGCGAAGAATATTTAAAAAATAATTTTCGTACGTTTAAAATATTTTTTTTTTTCAGAAAAAAAATGAATTATTTTCTGTCTAGCGTTAAGAGATAAAAATAATTGTATGTTTTAAAAAGTCTTTCCAATTTTCAGGATTAATTTTTGTCAGTATATATATAAATATAGGAAAGTGTTGCAGTTGAATTGAACTTAATACTATAATTTGAATTATAAACAAGTGGAGAGTCGTGCTTAATTTTGAAAGGGTCAAAACAAAAACAAAAAGTGTATGACGATATAAAAATGAATTCATATTTCATTTTTGTTGGGACAGTTTTATTATGGAGAGAACGTGGATCCACCAGTTTTCAAATAAATAGAAAAGTGACAAAAGGTTGTCTGGGTAAGGCAGCAGTTAATTACAAAAAATCGGTAGATCATTAAAGCCGTACGCCTCACGCCAAATCCTTTTTTTGTTGAGGCATTATATTTCTTCTCGTTCCAATGCAATCCTCCTCCCCCTTCTTTTTTTTCCTGGCGAAACTCAAGGTCGTAGACTGTGCTAATTCAATTTTCCCTGAAATACGCAATCTCAAATTTATGACTCTCTCTCGCACAATATTATACCCTTTGGAAAATAAACGGAAAAATCAACAGTGGAAAAATATGAATCAACATTGCATCTCTTTCAATCATGACATTTCATTGTCTTCATCATATATTTGCAAACTCGTAATTATATTTCACTCAAAAATCTTTGTAAATTATTTTTGAAATTTTTTTTTCAATTTCTTTTTTTTTTTGAGAATGTTCCTCGCTTTTTTTTTTGCAGAGTAGAATGTAATTTGTTGTGTATTTCAAAAAATGTTTTTTCCCTCGAGCTGCGGATAGATTTATGATATTTTTTTTTTTGGTTTAACAAAAAAGGCGAAATTTTGTTGATTTTATATGAATGTAGGAGCAGGTGAATTCTGTTGAGAGAGAAGTTGTATCGATTTTTATACAGTTGTTGTTAGAGTTGCGCTCGCTTTTGTAGCCATCCGTTTTCACTGGTACAATCAACTCTCCACAAACCATCAGTGTGTGTTGTTTCTCCCTTCTGTTCTTTCTCTTTTGGTTTCTCTCTGAATTCTGAATTTTTTCTTTTATAATTCGAGTCACTTCCCACAAGTTTTGGTATATCTATTAGCTTTCTTTAGAAAATATAATAATAATAATTTATAATGAAAATACAAAAGGAGGCGAATTTTTAGGAAAGTACAAAAGACAATTCAAATTATTAAAATAATAATTGAAGAACAATTCAATTATATTTATTTTATAAGGCATTTGTTTTTTAATAGAATTTTTTTATTTTTTTTATTATTATTCGAATTATTAAAATAATAATTAAAAAACAATTCAATTATATTTATTTTATAAGGCATTTGTTTTTTAATAGAATTTTTTTTTATTTTTTTATTTATTTCTTTTTTTAATCGAATTATGAATAATATTGTTTATATGCAGGATATTTCAGAAACTGAATTAACTTGTATAATCAGAATATACTTGTAGTATATTTTCAACACGTATAATTTATGGTAATTTAAATTTAATACATCTTATAAAGGAATTTTTTATTTGTTACATAATTTACTTTATTTTGTCAATTATTTTTTAATTCATATTTTAAATTAAAAGAGAAAACATTAATTTCTAAAATATACATATAAAAAGTTTAAATTAAATTGATAAATAAAAATTAGTAATTTATTAATTTAAATTAAATTTAATATTTTTTTAATTATTTTATTCAGAGTTTATATGTATTTTTTCTATTGTTTTCGAGAATTCAAATTTGAATTAATTTTCGCGGTACATTTGTAACATTGTGCGCATTCGCAGAAAATTTGCTGATTTGACTAGTTTATCGATATATCGATGTAAAGTATTTTATCATCGTGATTTTATCTTAGAGCTCTTAGAGAAACATTCCCTGTTTTATTATACTAACATCATTTAAAAAGTGTTTCATTCTTTTCCTAAAGATACATTATCGTAATTAGTCAACATTTTTGTATTAAAAATGAATAAATTTTGTGCAAGAAATCGTAAATTGACGTCGTAAGTATGAAAATTTTCAGAAAGTTACTTTGTTAGGTTAGGTTATATAAGTAGGAAAATTTTCATTTATTGAATCAATCGACGAATATTTCTTAATATTTTTAGTAATTAGGTCATATATTTTGTTGTATTTATAAAAAAATTAGATAAAACTTTCATTTTATTCAATTTTTTTATTACAATAAATGTTTCGCATCTGCGCATGCGCAAGGCGAAGTACAGTCGAATTGAACTGACTAGTTGATCATTTTTGTCGCTTCTCTCAAGCAATAATGACGTCATGAGAAATTCCCAGTTTTATTTTATTATTTTACTGCAAAATTTGTCTTATTTTGTCGCAAAAGAATGATCATCGTAATTGATCCACATGCTTTTAATAGCGATGAATAAATTTTCTGACGAAAATCGTAAATTAACAGTGTAAGTATGAAAATTGTCAGAAAATATTTTTTTAGGTTAGGTTAGATAATTATCAAAATCTTCATTTATCGAATCAATTAATAATTGTTTTTAGAGGTTTTTAGTAATTAGGGCATATATATTGTTGTATTTTTGAAAAATTACATGAAACTTTCATTTTAAAGAAATTTTTCTACAACTTGAGATATTTCACATCTGCGCATGCGCAAAGCAAATTCCAATTGTTGATTTGACTAGCTGCCCATTCTTGTCGATCTTGTTAAATAATAATCAGTTTTTTATGATTCCAAGTATTATTATATTAATTCAGAGTAAAATTTGTCGTTTTTTCTCACTAAATATTGATCATCGTAATTAGTGAACGTTCTTTTATTATCAATGAATAAATTTTTGTATGGAAATCGTAAGTTGACGATGTATTTATAAAAATTGTTATAAAAATATTTTGTTAGGTTATGTTAGACAATTTACAATTATCAACTAAATTTTCGAATTTAATTTTGTTTATCAAATGTTTGGATAATTTGGTAAAAAAAAAATTCGAACAAAATAAAGATTTTAGAAATTAAATACTTAATAGATTCTCACGCACAATTAGTTATTTCGTATTATCTTATTGATGGTTTTAAACATTTATTTTGTCATATTTCTAGTATTATTAGTTACTTATTAATAATTTTCTATAAAATGGGTTACTTTTTAAAGGTAACAATTATTTTTCCTGAAAAAAGTGAAAACTTTATTTAATTTTAAATAAATTATTTTTTGTTGCTAGTTTGTATTATTAATTTGGAATATTTTTTGTCAAATTATTTTTTTTTATAAATTATAAATGAAAGTTAATTGAATAATAATTTTTTGTTTGTAAATCTAAATAAATAAATAATTTTATTATTTCTTTTATGAATTAAAAAAAGATTGAAAGTATATTTGAATTTCAGAAATAATTTTTAATTAAATTAAAAAAAATATATTTTATGATAAAAATTAATTTTGTAATGATAACTTTTGTTTGTTTATATATAAATTTTTTTTCAGTTATCCAGTGTTTTTTTGATGGGTGTTTGTTGCGGAGCAGCTCCTGGAGGAGATCTTGCATGGCTGAGCGCAGTTCAATGTAAGTTGATAAACATTTTTCCTGTAATATTTTACATCTTGAGATTATGCAGTTGAAGTAATTAAGAGCAACGTGTTTTCAAAAAATTAATTATATCGATTAATTGACAAAATAAATTATTTTTTTTGTATTTTTCATAATATTTATGAATTTTAATATTAATTAATATTTTATTATAACGTTATTAATTATTATATTTTTTTCTAAAAATTTTCAGACAGTTGGTGCAGTGCAGAGGAAGTTTCGTCTTTTTGCTGTCATCGTATCTATCTTTCACAGTGTGTAAATAAGTGAAAGTAAGTCTTTTTTTCAATAGTTTATTTTAATATTTAAAAAATAATGTCGAAATTATGTGTAAAATTGAAACAAAAGTTAGTGATTTTAGTTATTTTTTTATAATTAATTAATTTATAAAAACGCAGGTGGTTGCGATTATATTTTTACCATTACCATGTGAAATTATTTATTCTTTTTTAATAAATTTTTTTTATTTTTTCAGAGTGTGCTCAAGAAAGAAAGGACATGAAGGAAGGATGTGGACGAAGAAAAGTGGCCCCAGCATGCTGCCATATTATTTTCCAAATGTAGTCTATTTTTTTTTATTTTATTTTTTTGCTGGCAGCATCCCCCCCGACCTGTGCAGAAGTGCAGGAAGAGACAGGGATCTCGGGGGTGGTCCAAGAAGAAGCCAAGGTAGGGGCATTGGTTATCATTGCTCCAACGTTGGATCGCCGATCGGTGAGTCGTATTTTTGTTTAAAACCTTCCCTGTTTTAATTTGTTTCTTTAATCAATTTTCTTTGCATCAAAAAATTAATTACAATGAAATTTAATTCATAAAATGAAAATTAATTTGTTTTTAATATTTTTAATTTATTAATTTTTGGAATAATTTTTTCTACATTACGAAAAAATGAATGAATTATATTATATTATATTCATTCAATCGTAATATTAAAAACAGGGAGGGAATCCTTTCAACATGGTGACATCATTGACAAAATTTATTATTTTATGTAGTAATTTTTATAATTACTATTTTGTCTCGAAATTTGAATTGTTGGTTAAAAATAACTAATTGTTAGCAAAAGCTTGGCTCACTTTTTTTTTATCAATTCTTTAACAATAACTAAATTTCAGTAAAATATTAAATAAAATTTTTTTTTTATTTTATAAAAATTTTTTTTTTTTAATTCTTTAGTGATTTGTTACTTCCAATTAAATAATTAGTAGAAACTATTTGAATCAGTGACTGATTTTTTTGCTATCAATTTACAGTTATTTTTGATTAATTCAAATTAAGAGAATGAATTAATATTTTTGTCAATTTTTTCTTCTTTATTGTTATTGTTTGTGTATGTATGTGTATGATTTTGAGCTCAGGTGACGGTAACGGTCCCGGGACGTTAGCCCTAGTTTAGGTCCTTTGCACCTGGGCGGTATGTGAGATTCGGCGTTTGAAAAATAAAATTTTTTATTTTAAATATAGCTATAGGTAGGAAGGAATAGCTTTTTTTTGTATGAGTGTGTTTTATTTCGATTTAAATTTACGGGCAGGTAGGAAAATCAGGAATACACACATAATTTGTGTGTGTCACATTTACTGGTGAATCCAGTAAAATATACTTTACTATTTTCTTTATGTCACTATGTTGTTGGGATATATTATTTCTTGATTTTCTTTCTGAATTGTATATTAAATATTTTTTGTTTGTTTAATTATTTTCTTTTTCAGTTATTTTGGTGAGAAATATTTTTATGTTTTTTTATCTTTTTAATTCTATTGTTTATTTTTCAGGAATTTATTAATTAATTTTTATTTATTTTCAGTTTTTTTCTAGAAAATGATTACAAATATTATAACACATTCTCTAGAATTTATAATATTTTGTAATTATAGTATTATATAATAATTTCGTATTTTAATATTGTTTAGAAAAAATCATCATCATGGAGTTGTGTGATGACATTATTGTAATGTCATCACACAAAAAGGGAGGATGTCTATTTCCGGGTTACCTGTGATTCGTCATCTTGATTATTTTTGTAAGTTAGAGTGAATTTTTGCAAAATTTTTTTTTATTCTATATTAGGTGAAAGCGTCATTTTTCTAGTTTTATTTTTTTGATTATTGACTATTTAAAAACAGTTTTACTGGTATTTGATAAAATTTTGTTTTTACCCTAAAATTTAAGCATATGGAATTATGGCAAATTTTCTGTTGTAATTATACACGCAGAGAAAAGATTTCTTTGATTTAAAGAAACCAGTTTCTTTCACTTGTTTTCTTTCATTCAAAATAAAATTTTCTTTGAAACAAAAAAATCTTTTTAGTTTCAAAGAAAATTTCTTTGATTCAAAAAAAATTTATTTTAAATGAAAGAAATTTGTGCATTAAATCGAAGAAATTCTAATATTGATATAGGGTCAAAGGAACATTTATTTGAATTAAATAACAAATTTCTTTGAAACGAAGATAATTTTTTTTTGAATCAATAAAATAATTTGTTTGAAACAAATAAATTTTCTTTGAATCAAAGAAAAATTTGTCAAAGAAATTGATTTCTTTAAATCAAAGAATTCTTTTTTCTCGGTGTATATTTCCTACTCTCTGAATCTGAATTAGTAAAAATGTTTATTAATTTAAATTAGTGACTCACTTTTTGCTTTAGAATTAGTTAAATTTTACTAATTGTTAGTAAAAGTTACTCATAATCAGTAAAATTTTACTAATTGCGAAGCAAAAAGAGAGTCACTTATTCAAATTAGTAAACTTTTTTACTAATTCAGATTTAGAGAGTATACTGTATTTTGGTTGAATTATAATTCGATATTAGTGAATTTAGAAAGAAGGGAAATTTTTTTATATAAATATATTACGTGTTTAATAAATTAAGAAGGTAATTCCTATTTTTCTTGTTCTCTCGTATATCGTTTAAATTCTGGTGATTCAGAGTTTGAAATATATATATAGTATACTGTACTATATAACAGTGTAAGAAGAGGGATGAGTTAGAAGGTTGAATTCTCTATATAGGTTGGTTTGCGCAGGGGTGTTAGTCACAATTGTTCGTCCCTGCTATACTCTGGGTAGAATGGAGGGGTGATTATTTAGGGGTTGCTTTGCGCCGTTCTTCAACAACAACACTAGCGCCACTGTGTGTTCTCCCCTAGAACTATTCTTCGTTTTTCGTCTATAACCTTATCATCTGGTTTTGCTGCTGCTGGCGAGAGAGAAGAGAGAAAGAGAGTTTCGTGCGCTGTCACGTTTCTCAATTTCTCGTGTTATATACTTGTTCGTTTTGTTATTATTTTTTTCCATTCATCACGCACACAATTATTTGTTGCAATATTGCACGCGAATTATTCCAAGTTTATTTGTAAAACGTAGATTAGGAAAAAAAAAAAAGAAAGGTAGACGTGTTGTGAAAAACAGTGACAAACAAGAAGTAGAAGAAGGGTAAAAAAAAAAAAAAAACGAAAGGACGATCATCCCTGAAAAGCAGTGCCCGGGAATTCTATCAACAGCTGCTTGGCCTTCATGGCAAGTTTCATTAAATATTTATATCTGTTTATATTGTTTTAATTGTTTATCTTGTATGATATTTTGTCCTTTTGTTTTTTAAAAGAATAGTTTTGTTATTTTTCATCAACGTGGCTTTCGTTTGGTTGTTGTTGTATTTGAAAAATGGTTTTTTTTTACTATTTAAAATATTCCTTATTTAGTTTTTTTTATTTTAAATTATTCTTTACTGGAAATTTTTGTCGTCCTGAATTTATGTTTATTTTGTTTTTTACTAGTTTTTATTTTTTGAGAACGAATTTTTTTGTACTCGAAAAATTTATTGTTTATTTTCGTATAGAATTATGTGGAAAATATTTCGAATATTATATATTGTTTATTGGATTTTTTAATATAATAATACATACAATAATATAATAATAATAAATAATATATACAATTAAAAAAAAATTTGATTCAAATAATCAGTTACTTGACTATTATCAAATAATTATAATAGTTGAGTCAACTAATTAGCATTTGTTTCAAATACAGAAATTATTCGTTCAAATACAGTTTACTTGATTTAAGTAAAAATTATTTGGTTCAAGTAAATATTTATTTGATGATAATCAAGTAACCGATTATTTAAATCAAATTTTTTTTCAGTGTATATAATATATATAATAATAAATATATATTAATATATAATAATTTATAATAATACTTATTATATAATTACTATATTATTATTATTATTATTATTATTATTTTATACTTTGCTTAAGTTTTTTATTATAATTAAAAACAATATGTAAAATTTGTATTACATATTTTTTTTTCAGTAGGTTAGGGGCGAATTTTTCTTTTCTTTTTTTTTTTAATTTAAATTTTGAATTTGTTGTCAGTCAAGTATAAATTATAGAAAGTTGGAGACGAAATAATTTATGGAATATCGATGTCTATCCTTTTAAAGGCAAGGCTAAATTTCTCTTGTCAGTAGAAAAGAGCTTTAATGGAACGTCAGTCTGACCAAGTCAGACAAGCTATTACTACTGAACCATTATTCTCTTTTCCAGTTCTCATGCTGTATGAAGATGAGAGATATAGAAAAGAGCTTTTGGTAGAAACTACTTTTTCCCAAAGGTTTTCTTAATAGGTAATTCTTGTTCAATTCCAAACTCTTGTGATTACAATTTAAATTATGATATATTCTTATAGAAATCGTATAAAAATGCCAGATAGCAAGTTTATATATATATATATATTACTATGATGATACCCGGTTTATATGCTGTTTGAATCATAATTTTTGTTCTTTTATCATTTCTTTTAAAAATGGATAACTTCATAAAATATTATAAGAGAATTTGTATTTGAAAAAAATACTTTATTGCAATTTATTATTCATTTATTAAATTTAAAAATTCCTGATTTATCAAATTATATTGAATTTAATTAATTTTTAATTAAAAAAAAAATTTATATTAAAATTTAATATATAAAATTTAATTTTTAAATTAATTTCAAATTTAATATATAAAATTTAATTTTTAAATTAATTTCAAATTTAATTTCAAAATTCCAGTTATAAATTAAAATTAATTAATTAATTTTTGAAATTCTTTGCTCATTTTGCAATGATTTTATAATAGAGTGTCATTAATAACCAATCAAAGTTTTAATAATAAAATAAAAAGAAAAATTCGATTTTAATCTAAAGTTCGCGGTATTAAAAAGTATATCAAAAGTTTATTTTCACTATACAAAGGAGATTAAGAAAACTTTAGGTATTCAGATCGCATATTCCGTTTTTGTATCTACATATAAAGGCTTCCTTGGTTCAGAGCATGGTCGAAACTAGAAAATAGGTCAGGGATTTTATTTGAGTTTCCCTTGAAGCAATGTTCTCTCTCTCTCTATATATATAATATATATTTATATGAAAAGAACGTGTTACAAATAGAGAAAAAAAGAAAAATTTTTGAAAATCAAAAAATGTGCTAGACATTTTTGTTCTCGTATGATTTTATTTTTTGTCGTCGTTTTGAATTTTAAATCTGATAAATCGAACAATACAAATTTTAAATTTATTTTCAAAAGTATTTTAAAATTATTTATATAGGTATTTTAAATTTATTTTCAAAAGTATTTTAAAATTATTATTTTTTGGTATTTTAAATTTAATTTTAAAGTGTTTTAAAAATTTGTTTAAAAATATTTCTTGTGGGTGATTTGTTGATAAAATTGTAAAGTCTATATTTGTCATTAAAAATTTTTTTTTTAAATTGGAAACGTATGTAAAAACGGCCATTTACATTCTAACACTTTCAGTTTGATTGCCAATCGAGTTGAAACGTTTCACAGTTTAGTTTGTTCATTTTCTGAAGTGTTGTTTTACTTCGTATTTAATTGTTTCGAAAACCAAACTGTCGTTGAAAAGCCAAAAAGGTCTTGTTGATTTGTGTAAATTTATTCTAAACGACTTAATAATGTATAGAGAGTTGAAAAGTTTAAATTTGAAAACTATATATTTAGAATTCTTTGATTTACATTTTTAAATTTAGAATATTTTTTTTTGTAAAATTAAAAAAAATATATATTATAAAATATATATTAATATATACTAAAAAGAAATTTATTTGGTTGAAATAATTGGTTACTTGACTGTTATCAAATAAATATTTATTTGTATCAAATAAATTTTATTTGAGACAATTAAATGTTATTTGTTTCAAATGCAAAAATGGTGCAATAGTTTATTTAGTTCAATTATTTGGTTTCAAAAATTATTTTAAGTAAATATTTATTTGATAATAGTCAAGTAACCGATTATTTGAATCAAATAAATTTTTTTTCTGTGGCATATATATTTTTAAGTTTTGTATTCATTGAATTTAGGAATAAGTTGGAAATATATTAAAATATTGAAAATACCATGGATTTATTAATAATTCAAGATAATTTTTTTCTTCGGTGTATATATATATATGAAATCCGGAAAATTGACGACGAGAGTATATAATAAATGCATTCTTTTTCCGAGGAGTCTTGTGTTTTAGAAATTCGACTCTTGTCTGGTTGGAAGGAGTCTATTTGCTGTATCCTGGGTGAGCCGAGGCCAGGGATATTTTTCTTTCTTTCTTTCTTTCTTTCTTTCTTTCCTCTGACTCTCCTTTGTCTCCCTGGAAACCTTGCGGTAGTTATGCGACGTTCGGCTCCTAAGGAAACGCTGGTGTGCAGCATAGACGGTTGCGGGATGAGGGTACGATCCAGAAACGTGACTTGGATGCAATATTTAAAAGCAGCTCTCGGCGTCAATACTCTCTGGCGACATCCTTACGCACGAAATTCAAAGTTTTGCTTGTCTTTCGCTTTCTACACTTTTTTTTTCCTTCATTTTATTACCAACACACTCTGTTTTTTTTCTTTTTACTATACACAGTGTAATGTTCTTTTATCTCTATTCTCTCTCCTTGGCTCTTGTTCTTTTTCTCGATATGCGTCTGCCTATTTCTTTCAAGGTCTGACCTTAACCTCAAAACATTTGATCTTTTTTTTTTTCAATGCAATACAATGCTCTTGTTTGGTTATATTAAAGAAAATATTTAGTGTTTATGGTTGATGGGATAAATTTCGTTTTGACGTTTAGAAGAATTAATATGTGAAGAGAAATTGTTTAAAGTTACCACAGAGGTGTTTAAGTTTTTTTAATTTTTTCTAATTTTAGTAGATCAAATCGTTTTTAGTTAGACACAATAACTAAATTAGAAAATCAGTAGTAAAAGTAAATATTTTGTCAGACTTTTCAAATATTTCCAAAATTCCATTTTTTCAGTAGTACAAGTCAATATTTAGTTCGACATTCTATTTTTGTAATTTTATCAGTATTACAAGTGGGATTTAGTCAGACTTTTTAGATTATTGGAAATATTATTTTTTTAGTAGAACAAATCGTTTATAGTCAGACACAACTTAATTTTAAAAATCAGTAGTATAAATATGAAGTCAGTCTTCTTAAATTTTCCTCATTTTATCAGTAGTACAAGTAAATATTTAGTCATACTGTCTATATGATTGCAAAGTTAGAAAATGTAATTTTGTAAGTAGAACAAGTAAATTTTTCGTCAGACTTAGAAAAAATTTGGAATTTTATTAGTAGTAGAAATCAATATTTAGACAAAATTTAAACATTTTTAAATTTATATGTAGTACAAGTCAATATTTAATCAGACTTTGTAAATATTTGTTATTTTTTCAGTAGTAAAACTTGGTTTTAGTCAGACTTTTTTGTTTTTTTGTAATATTATTTATTAGTAGATCAAATCGATTTTAGTCAGACTTTCTATACATTAGTAATTTTTTTAGTAGTACAAGTCAATATTTAGTTCGAAGTTTTGCATTTTTTTTCATTATTAGTACAAGTTGGTATTAGTCAACTTTTCTAGTTTTTGATAATTTTACTAATTGGTAAAATCGTTGTTAGTCAGACACAATAATTAAATTAGAAAATCAGTAGTAAAAGTAAATATTTAGTCAGACATTCGTATAATTATGACTTTTTTCAGTAGTACAAGTCAATATTTAGTTCGACGTTTTGCATTTTTTATTTTAGTTAATTTTTTTCGCCTTTTTAATTTTTTGTAATTATACTAGTAGATAGAATAGTTTTTAGTCAGGCACAATAAATAATTTAGAAAATCAGTAGTATAAGTAAATAGTTAGTCAGACTTTCCAAAGATTAGTAATTTTTTCAGTAGTCCACGTCAATATTTAGTTCCACGTTCTACATTTTTATTTTACTAGTAGTACAAGTTGATTTTAGTCAGCCTTTTCAGTTTTTTTTTGTAATTTTACTAGTAGATAAAATCGTTTTTAGTCAGACACAATAAATAATTTAGAAAATCAGTAGTATAAGTAAATATTTAGTCAGACTTTCCAAACAGTAGTAATTTTTTCAGTAGTACAAGTCAATATTTAGTTCCACGTTCTACATTTTTATTTTATTAGTAGTACAAGTTGGTTTTAGTCAGACAACGAAA